TTTAAAATACATTGTAAAACCTTACAAAACACTTGTAAATACTCTGTAAAACCTTTAAAATACCTTGTAAAATTTTCCCGCCAAAAATTTTCCCCAAAAAAATTGCGGAATCACTTTTTCCGCAAAAAAAAATTTTTGGCGGGAAAAATTTTTACGGGAAAATTTTACAAGGTATTTTAAAGGTTTTTACAAGTGTTTTGGCGGGAAAATTGCGGGATCACTTTTCCCGCCAAAAAATATTTTGTATTTTGTGGACCTAATTTTGTTTCAAATAAGGGTAAAATGGTCATTAAAAATTAAAAGAGGGCAAACTTAAAAATGGACTCTCAAAGGAGACATTTTTGAAAAGGAGTATTGAAAAAGGGGCATTTTTAACAATTTCTCTAATTTTAAAGTACATATGTCGAATTTTCTAACACGAACAAATATAAGGAAAATAAATAAATGCAAATGGGGAATTGAACCCACCTAATTAAAATAAGTCGGAATATCCAATAAGGTCGCATAGTATTTTACAAAATATTGAACCGACTTAAAAGTTAGTCCAACAACATCGCATTTCTTTAATTTAATTGGAATAATATACACAAAATTAGTGTGATTTAAGTACATGTTTTATACAAAGTCAAGGCCAACATACATTGCCTCAGAAGTCGACCAGTATAAAAAAGAGTAGAGAAAGTGAAAATCTCGTATTTTCTGTAAATTTTAACGTATGTATTATTTTTTGTTATTACCTTCATCTGATATCATAGCGTATGTTTTAAGAACTCTTCGTTTGGATTTATGTTCAATGGTCAATGCTCATTTATATTAATATATCTTCTTTTCAGCAGTTTGATAATATAATAAACATGTGTCTAAAAGTATATTAAATCCACCATTTAAAAACGAGTAATATGACAAAATATTTCCTTTCAAGTCTTTTTTTTCCCACCTAATTTGTATATTTTAAACAAGTGGTTCTCGACGAAAAAAATGGTAGATTTGAAATTAAACTATCAGTTACAATTTAAACTTTGACCAGCTGACTACAAAGTATGCATGTGAAAATATAATTTTCACCTATTTACACCGTCAGTATATATATTTTTTTTCTTACAAACATCTATGAATGAACCTAGATAATTAGCCAATGCATAATTGCATATGATTCTATGTACAATTTATAGATCGCAGAATGTAATTATCTGAACCCATATATTATTCTCAACAATCTATATATTTTAAGCCTTTTTATCAAAAAACAAAAACAATCTATATATATTTTGGATTTGAATCCTTATGTCAGAAAAAGTTTAAATATCTCCAAAACAAAAAAAAATATTTCATGACCCTGAAACAATTAAGCCCAACTTATCGGTAACAATGTAAATCTTTCTTAAAGTACAAAGGAAAACAATTCAGCCCAATACAGGCCCAATATCGACCCGTTTCTAGGCCGAATCCTGAACAATGAACATGCATGAACCAACTGTTAGAAATATAATAATATTTACCATCAGTTTTTTATTTGTAAACATCTGAATATTTACCAAATTACCATCTAACTATTCGATCAAAAGCATGAGTGACTGATAAATATACACTAAAATTTGAGACCACAATTTTTCACTAAAGAACGTAACGGCAATGGTAATGGCTATAGTTAACAATTTTTGTATGATTTTTCAGATCTAGTACGGAAAGGACCAGGTGATCCGATCGAATTCGAAAATGCATATAAGTCATGAATCATAGGAAAAATCCCACCGATCTGATTAAATTTTTGGTTTTGTTTTTAATTTCTAAAGTTAAACTGATTAGTATATCTTAAGGATTATAACTAAAAGTATATCTTAAGGATATATCAAACGAAACATTGAAAAGGGCACTTGTCTCTCTCGACACTAGTTGGTGTGGTTTCGGTTAAGGTCGTTGCCGCAGCACCTAAATATAGTGACGATACAAATTTTAAAATCTAAGAGTGACTTTGAAGCTAACATTATTAAACAATCATACGAATATATGTCAATATCACTTACTGTATTTAAACTTAATAATTATTAGGATCCCTTTTCTATACATACATGCGTGTACGTTGTATTGTTGTTTATAGATAAAAGTATGCTTATTTACATAAAACAACTAAATTTATTTTATATTTTGCTTCTGCAAGAAGCATGCAGTCGAACATTTGGACCGGTGGTTTTTGGAGTTGTTGGATTGTTGGAATCATATGATAATTTCAGCAGACGCATATACATTATACTTTCATTGTGATTTTTTATATTATATTTGGACTAACTATCTGACACCGTAACACTACGTGTAACCATAATTTCTTTTACTATCTGCAATTTATGTAAACTGATTCATATAAAATCCGAAAAATCTACGGTACATGATAACTATTGAATGACCAGCATCATACAGCAAGCTACAAAGTCAATTAATCGATGGTTACTACTTACTAGGAAAATTCACACAATAAGAACGTCACTAAAAATGGAGTCTAGTTACTTGAATGTTCTCTTCAGTGTGTGCATCCAGCCATATTTGGTCACAAATAACTAATTTATTGTTATGTTAGCTTGTGTTTCTTCTATTGGCATCCTACCAAAAAATGAAATGATTAAAAACAAACAAAAGATAAATATTATTTTACTATAGTTATGTTTGGCCTTTATTTTTTTTTATTGAAATGACTAAATCCATTTGCATTGCATCAGCAATGTATTTTGTTTATTGCTAAGTACTAAAGCCATCTCTGCTCATAGATTCCGCGCATGCGTTTGTATCTCCACTAACCATCTCAATATTTATTTCCTTGGTATCTGATCTCTATTACCATTTTTTTTTTAATATCAGATAGTTATATTCAACAAATTTGGTAACACCTATATCTATGGTTACTGGTTAACGTTTTTATATGCAAATTTTCTATAACATTTTCTATGTTATCCTATTAGTTAGAGTTAAAATACTTTAAACAACTAACAACTACTCAACTAGTAATTAACTATAAAACAAAATTAAATATATTGCAATTTGTAAAATTGTTCATGGTATTTGTATAATGTCTAAAACATACAACTTTATAAAAGAGTGAGTAACTAAGTATTGTAGATCTTATCTTACTGCAATAATTTCTAACACACTATTGCAATGTTGACAGCGGTTGTTAAAAACTTAAAATGACGTTTAACATTAGTTATTGCTTTCGAAAGTTAAAAAGTTTTCAAGTGGCAAACATTTGTCCGCCTCGACGGGAATACAACAAATAAATATTCATAAAACCAAAACTGTTGCTTTTCCTAAAGAAAACTTTATGCTACATTTTTAACAAGAAAACTTTATGCTAAATTTTATATTTTAAATGTGACAATTAACAGATCACACGCTGGAAACCAGTAGAGATATTAAATCCGGTTTTAAGGAAATAAATTTTGATTTAATCTTAATATTTACTGATTACATTTTCAGTGACAATATAGAGAAGATAATCAACATTAAATTGTAGGAACATTAGGTTATTTTAAACTCATTATACAGTAGTAAAATAAACAAGAGACATCACGTGAAGCATCGGATTGTTTGTTATAATGTCTTCATCGTACGGCAACGCGATGAATTAAAACAGAAGACATCACGTGAACCAGTGCTAAATCATTGACGGCGTTAATTTTCTTGTATAGATTCTTCTCCGGATCGTTAACTATGCTCCCGATTTAACACCGTCAGTTCAATGACTATAACCAAAATAATACTGTATACGGCGCAATAAATTACGATAATGTAGCCTCTTGATGAAATATTTTGCGGGTTTGACTTTGGAGAAGAAAATCATAACCTATCTAAAAAAAATCGAAAACGATGAATAATTTATCGTTTTAAATGAGAAATAAAATTATTGTAAAGCGAGAGTGCATTAGGATTATGTGGTCTAATTATGAAAAGAAAAAGATTATACCAATAATGATGATATCGAATAAACACCAAGCACGATCCTTCTAAAATAATCCGTAACTAAATAAACATAAGGCGTTTATCTATTTTTATTTTTAATCTTGAACTACTGAAGCACGACTTGAGCTATCTATGAGTTGTTAGAAAAATATGATGTCAGTTTGTCACCGAGCGTTTATTAGAAAAATTACAAACCACTTTTTTTTTTTCCTTCATATAATTTCACTTAACGGATCATGAAAAGTAAGAATCAATACGATACAGAATGTTTAATTGTGTATTTGACGTGATAAAAGAACAACGAACCAATGCACATGTAACCATGTGATAACGTATCCCAAAAACAAAAAATAGCCAGGACACTACAGCGAAGTCGTCTTTTGTGATGTCGATTCTAAATCGTCGCCCCCACTTACAACGACGTCGTATAGGTTTAATCATCAATCATGGTTTCATTTATAAACAATCAAACAAAAAACCTTCGTATACGTTCTAATTGGTAAAAAAAAAAAAGAGAGAGGGAAGGATCCTAACATTGAGTTACAGAGACAGTAGAGCCTTAAAAACAAAATTGGTTATGACTTATGTCAAATATAAAACAAAATCAAAGAAAGTTCCAAAAAACAACACTGACTCGTATGTCCCCCATTCTTACTTGTCACCCGTCTCATCTAATCATCTCCTAGGCAGCTTCACGAGCCGTAGTCTAATCTAAAATCTTATCATTAGACATTTCTATATATCTTTTAATTTATTTATCTTTTTCACCACTGTACAAAACCATGAATTTTACTCCATAAGTTGATATCATTTTCATTTACGTCTCCGTCACTCTTTCTCCCTATCCACTAAAACACAGATCCCAAAAAAGAAAAATATAAGTAAAAAATGAAAAGAATCGTCCCTTTGTTTCTACGCGATTTTCTGTAAAATTTCCTTCGTTTTCTCGCAGTTTCTTTCTCACCAAACAATCCCTTATATCTCTCTCTATCTCTTTCTTTCTCTCACATTCAAAGCTTCTTCTTCTTAACTCTACCATTAACATTACATTCTCTCATATTATCCGGCAGAGACAGAAAAGAAAACGATGACTAACTTCTCCCGATCCAAATCCACCGGAACTATCGGGTTCCCGGAGTTTAAACCGACTCGACCTGGTCCAGACATATACGAGAACATCCACAACGATGACGACGAGTACGAGGAAGGACATAGCACTACGAGCACAGACTACTACGACGCTTCAACGCCGTTGAGCTCACACGTGTCAAGATCCGGGAACGGGTCCGGGTCCGGGTCGGGTCAGTTAACGATCGTAGACCTTCTTGCGGCGGTTTTGAGGAAGTCGCTGGTGATGTCGTGTGCCATGGAGAGAGGGGACGATGACGTGGCGGCGTCTATGGATATAGGTTGGCCGACGGAGGTTAAGCACGTGAGTCACGTGACTTTTGACCGGTTTAATGGTTTTCTTGGTCTTCCGTCTGAGCTCGAACCGGAGGTTCCTCCTCGAGCTCCTAGCGCCAGGTCCGTCATTAATTAATTAATTAGTTATTACCTCGAAGAGGAATTATGGAATAATATTTCAACAAAAAAATGAAATTGATATTTTATTCCATATATCTTGAAAAAATTATTAAGATAGGAGGAATTAAATAAATATTTTCATAGCTGGAAATCTGTATATGGCATGTTACTGTGTTGGATAGAATCATTAAGATGGTTGTTGTTTGGATTTGATTGCATGATTACGACACACTCGTTTCTTCACAAAAGAAGATTCTCTTTTTGTTTTTTCTCTCTATATATCAAGAATAATCAATGGTCCGTAAATTCAAGAACTAAGTTCTAACCCACAAACAATATGAAACTATTTAGACATAAAGTTTGGTCTTTAACCAACTCATGGCTTCATGAAGTACTGATTGAGTGCACATCCGGGAATTGGGGATTAGTGTTTAAGCTTTCACAACATCATGATATGATGATTTTTGGGCTTTCCTGCTTAGAGATTGGTTTGTATAGACAAAATTTTGGGTCCTATGGACATATTAAAAAAAACACGATTACACAACAAATTTGCCATAAAAAAAAAAGAGTAATTAAACAAATTATAAAATCGACTTCTTATTTTTTTTTTTCCTAAAATGTACGACTAAAACAATGGAAATCATGAATTTTTTTAAAAGAAATAGATTGCTCATCTTGATTTGTAAAACTTATGGGTTTCCTTAGATGGATTTGTGAAGTAAAAGAGTGACTGATTATTTTTAATGTTACTTGTGAGTTTTCACTAAGTTGGTTACTTTGCATAGGATATAATGATTGGTTCTTTCTAACGGTTGAGCTTATATATTTTCTCTAGATTCATTTGTATAAGAGAAAAATGGGTTATTATATAATCGAATATATTGGTTTGTCTATGAGTAAAGATTGGTTATTTTTTTATTCAGTGTAAGTGTATTTGGAGTATCGGCAAAGTCAATGCAATGCTCTTATGACGACAGAGGAAATAGTGTCCCAACAATCCTTCTCAGGATGCAAAAACGTCTATACACCGAAGGAGGTCTTAAAGTAAGTCTCTACCCTCTTCTGTTTCGTGAAAATTTTGGATTAGTTTGGAATCAAAAGAGTATGATATAATGTATGCTTTTTTTGTTACCTTAAGGCAGAAGGAATATTCCGAATAAATCCAGACAACGGCAAAGAAGAGCATGTCCGAAGACAGCTAAACCGCGGTGTGGTACCACGTGGAATTGACGTACATTGCTTGGCAGGATTAATAAAGGTGGAAAAAGGAAAATTTTTGATTAAGTTTTATAACATTTCAAGTTCAAAAGATTTGAGTTTTTTGTCTTTCGGTTTTCGGATTGAAACAGGCATGGTTTAGGGAGCTACCTACAGGAGTGCTTGATGTGTTGACTCCAGAGCAAGTAATGAGGTGTAACACAGAGGAGGATTGTAGCCGGCTAGTGACACTTCTTCCTCCCGTTGAATCTGCGCTTCTTGACTGGGCCATTGGTCTAATGGCGGATGTGGTGGAGCATGAACAGTTTAACAAAATGAATGCTCGCAATGTAGCTATGGTCTTTGCCCCCAACATGACTCAAGTCAGTGAAAAATTGAGTTTTCTATAAGCTTTGATACTTTAGTTATACATGTTTTAGTTCTCATGAAAATGTTTTTGATATTGTAGATGGCAGATCCATTAACTGCACTAATCCACGCGGTGCAAGTGATGAACTTTCTCAAGACTTTGATCTTAATGAACCTCAAAGAGAGGGACAACGCAGACGCGAAAGCAAGGTGGCTCGAGAAACAAACATCTAATCCATCAGAAGAATGGGAATCACAACACTCTGAGATATTAAGCCCTGAGAAACCCAACAATAATAACCCTAAGTTCTTGAGAGTGGCTACTCTGTGTAGGTTAGAGGCTGACAATGAAGAAGAGTTTTGGAACAAAAAGAAGAGAAACGATCATGAAGCTATTTTAAATGCTTCATCGGGTAATGAAAACATCGGACCGGTACAAAGGTTATGTAAGCATCCACTGTTTCAGTTAAGCAAATCCACAAAGAAAGCTTTTGTAAGTAATCGAGATGAAGGAAGGAAAGGACGAGAAGCTTGGAGTTCACGTCTCTCGTCTTTGCCTTGGTAAAATTTTCTGACCTCACTTTATTTTTCATGTTTTTGAGAGTGTAAAAAATATTGTGAGATATGATTATAGGTGTTAGTTGTTTGAAATAGGGATAAATTTATATCCAATCAATTAAGAAATGGAAACAAATGTATCCTACAGAGCCGTTCTTGTCTGAGAGAAAACTCATATATACTCTATTCACCAAAACAGAGCCGTTCTCTATTCCAACAACAGAGTCGTCTCTGTTCCTATAAGAGAATTTTAAAGAATCTCTGTCGTAAATTACAGTGATTAGATAAATCATACCATAGCAGGTTATATGAGGCATATACTAAACCGTCTAGTATCAAAATATTCCAGGTTAGTAAGTGTCAAAATCAATCATAGATCTTGCAATTAAAGCCGTGTAGATATTTTATCATGAGGTTCTTGAAACAAATACCAAAAGAAAATTGAATTCAACATTTAATCAACAATAGTTGTTGGAAGAATGTTTCCGTACATCCGAATTAAATCACGCAGTCAGAGAAGTAACTTTGGTTAGTACTTAATGCATATTAGGTCGTCCTAGGGTGGGGATTCTGGCTAAAATAAGTTAATAATCTTGATCACTATTCGAATTTCGAAACATTGATTTTATTAAAAACAAAAGAAGACGTTGATTTGTTTAGAAATATTGAATCATCATGCATCCTTTTATTGATGCGAAACTAGTATTATCGGTCAGATTTTTGTTTTACGTTTTCGTCATGTTTCAACTACAGGCAGTTACACAACTTACAACAGTTGAAAGCGATCAGCTACACCAGCAACAAAAATCTAAAGATTATACTTAAAAAGAGAGATTCATCTCCCCAAATTCAAAGACACGTACACTTCAAAATTGAAATAGTGAATGCAATAAATACAAGCGATATTTATCCACGTTCGTCGTCCATGTGAATTTCTTTATTACGATTATTTGGTATCAATGAATAAAACTAGGAAATATATTCGTAGCAACCTTACCTATATGATAATTAATAATCAGTCATCTACTTGTTTGTTAATATCAGAAGTCGTATTACATTAAATCTGACTATAACCTTTTTGTCGCATATAATAAATCTAAGCTTAGCTGTGAACATTTTAGCGTTAAACTAAAGTTAATCTTCGTTTTTTTTTAACCTACCATTCCTCTTTCTTTCCTTTTCATGATTTTTGACTAGTTGAGTGTTAATCAACCAAAATTCTTTGATCAGATCTAAACTAAATATGATATTCGTAACCGTGAAATATGATTGGGCGAGAGTGCATGCACAGAGTGAATATATTTATATTCCCTCTTCAAAAAAATACTACAACATCCATACACATCTTAAGAAAATTACTACATTGTAATCAGCAAATCAAGCTATCCCGCTAAGTGTTGGGCTAGTGGTGAACCATTAACGTCATACCTTTCCAAATTAAAGGAGCCAACAGTCTGGATCCACTAGTAATTTGAGTTTTGGTTGAGACTGAGAGGGTTTCTAAATGATTTTTGGAAGTACATTAATTTTGGCTCAGACTTTCTAAATTTACCATTATTTATTTTTATTTTTTGTCAATTTTTTTTTTATAAGTCACAAAAAGTCGAAAATGTAGAAGTATAGGCTTCAAATAGTACAACGATGCAATCAATGGACAACGAAACAAATGAAACATACGAAACAAATATAGTGTTAGATACGTGTGATCGTGTATGATTAGAATTTGCTACTCTCGAATTATTTATGTATAGTTTCTATAGAGTTTGTTTGGTTAGCTATTTAATTTGCAGAGATCATGGAGAATCTACTTCGCTTTCATTCACTGGGGACCATGTACTCACTAATCATCTTCAAACGATTTATCTTAATCAATATAATGACATTCTGCGTTTGGTGTTTTGAACTTTTGAATATGGATGATAAGGAAAACATATAGAGCGTGGATTTTCAGAAGCATGGATTATCAGATTCTTTAGAGAAGCGAACGTTGTAAAGCATTTACTTGCATATCTAATCTTTGTCAATTACAATGAGAGTTTGGATACAATAACATCCGGCTGCGAAATAATTGTGACTTTATATGTATTTTTACTAAATTAAATGGTCCAACCAACACACAGAAAACGTACGAGTACACTGTTGAGATATTAGTTTCTCACTGGTCCACTACCAACTTGGCCAGCCACTGACCACTTCAACTACAATTTAAAATGAACTGACAAATCTCCAACCAAACACTGACCCGTAATAAATTCTATCTATCTTTAGAGACTTAAGTACTTTCTCTTTTCTACTTTCCTCTTTTGGATTCATTAATTAACTACACAAATCAATTTGAGGAAAATCACATGATTCTAACACACTTCTTTCAGGTAAAGTGTCAAAAGTTTCACACATTATCAATTCAAATACTCTATGCGAAATTAATTTATTAATGTTATCAAAGTGTACAATCGGTGCATCCATATATGCGAAACAATCATTACAAAAATAATTGATTTTGTGATAAACATGGTACCAATTCGAATGGTTAAAATGTTTAATTAGTGAATTGAGATAACTTTTAACTCGATCGTGGCCAAAACTTTTTTTTTTGTTTAAAATGGTCGTATTCATGTGTTCTTGTACGTATAAAGTCACAAAAAGACGGCCAATTTTATAAAGTGCGTTCACCTATTTGTACAACTTGTGGTAACGATTTTTGTTTTAATTAAACGATAACCTTAAAAACGCAGATCGCATTTTCCGCGGCACAAACGCGCCATCACTATTCATATCCGAAATATTGGTACGTTGCTTATAAATTAAAACCTACCCAATGACCAATATTTTCTCATATGTTCATTGCAATGGCAGATTTCAAGCTTCTTTTACTTATACTCATCCTTCTGTCTCTCTTTGAACTTGATCTACTTCATTTTCACCATGACTTCTTCTCTTCTTTTCGGGTCAAGATCGGTTTACTCATGATATCCATCTTCTTCTATGCCTACTCAACCACCCGGTCTAAACCGGTTTACCTCGTGGATTTCTCATGTCACCAACCCACCGACTCTTGCAAAATCTCATCCGAAACGTTCTTCAACATGGCCAAAGGCGCTCAACTCTACACCGAAGAAACAATCCAATTCATGACGAGGATACTAAACCGGTCCGGTTTAGGAGACGATACGTACTCCCCACGTTGCATGTTAACCTCTCCACCAACTCCATCAATGTACGAGGCGAGACATGAATCCGAATTAGTCATCTTCGGAGCTCTTAACTCACTATTCAAGAAAACCGGAATCGAACCGAGAGAAGTCGGAATCTTCATTGTAAACTGCAGCTTGTTTAACCCTAACCCATCTCTCTCGTCCATGATTGTAAACCGGTACAAGCTCAAAACCGACGTCAAAACTTACAATCTCTCCGGTATGGGATGCAGCGCCGGCGCAATCTCCGTCGACCTTGCCACAAATCTACTTAAGGCAAACCCTAATACCTACGCAGTTATTGTTAGCACGGAGAACATGACTCTAAGCATGTATCGAGGCAACGACCGGTCAATGTTAGTCCCTAACTGTCTATTCCGAGTAGGTGGCGCTGCGGTTTTGCTCTCAAACCGGAGCCAGGACCGATTCCGGTCTAAGTACGAATTGACTCATCTCGTAAGGACTCACAAAGGCTCTAGCGATAAACATTACACTTGTGCTGAACAAAAAGAAGATAATAAAGGTATCGTTGGAGTCGCACTCTCTAAAGAACTAACGGTTGTTGCTGGTGACACATTAAAGACGAATCTAACAGCACTTGGTCCGCTTGTTTTGCCTTTATCTGAGAAGCTCCGGTTTATCCTCTTTATGGTAAAGAGTAAGCTTTTCCGGTTAAAGGTTAGTCCATATGTTCCGGATTTTAAACTATGTTTCAAGCATTTTTGTATTCACGCTGGTGGTAGAGCGTTACTTGACGCGGTTGAAAAAGGTCTTGGACTTAGTGAGTTTGATCTTGAGCCGTCTCGGATGACTTTGCACCGCTTTGGAAACACCTCAAGCTCGTCTCTGTGGTACGAGCTGGCTTACGTGGAGGCTAAGTGTCGGGTCAAACGAGGGGATCGGGTTTGGCAGTTGGCGTTCGGGTCCGGTTTTAAATGTAATAGTATTGTGTGGAGAGCGTTGAGAACGATTCCGGCGAACGAGTCATTGGTGGGTAACCCGTGGGGTGACTCAGTTCATAAGTATCCAGTTCACGTGAGCTAAGTTTAAGTAATATACTACACGTGTGAAGTCACGTTACAACTTACAAGTTATCATAAAAGTGTAGCTTTTTTTTTTTTTTTTCTCTCCCCTCTTTTATAGTTTTTATCTACCCACAAATATGTATTAGACGAATAATCGTCAATAATTTGCGACCTACTTTATTTGGTTTTTTTGTCAACAATTTGGTACCTATTTCTTATAAGAATATAAAACATAAGATCAAGGATTTTTAATTTATTGACAAACAAGTCGATTTTTTATTTTTTATTTTTTGATATGGTTTGAACTTTGATGTTAAAAAAAGAAAAAGAAAAATCATTTAGTAAGACAAAGATAAGGTAAGGAAAAGCAAATGTTGTATTCACTGAGGAAAAGATTATATTTTCATGCAATGGTCTCGGCCTGCCACAAAAGTCATTTGATTTAAAAGCCGGATAGATTTTATGGGCCTAATATAAAAGCCCAATAAGCCACTGATTAGAGTATATGTGGACTGGATTCACCACCACCGCAAAAAAAAAGGAGACTGAGATAAATTCGCACAAGCAATCGGAGTTACTATGTGGATCGTGAAACCGGCGGCGATGCCGGTTCAATTTCTCATGAGACCAACCGTAGCAACCTCCGTCGGCTATTCACATCCGCCGCCGCATAATTACGACGGAATCCACCGTCGATTCATTAACATTCCGACGAAATCGCAAACTTCCGAATCCGTCGGCGGATTAGGCCAACAAATCCTCCTCCGCACCGCCGATTCGAACAAACCAATCCCGAAGGAGAAGGAGATTAGTGGATCAGACGTGCTCTGGGCGATTCAGAGAGCGACGGCTCAGAGGAAGAGAACGAACGCCGGTAAAAAGAAGACGAAGAAGATTAGAGGTGGGGAGTTATCATCCTCTGCGGGCGAGTCCACTGAAGATAACGGTGTTGATTACAGTAACGTGGCGCCGTTAAGGATCAAGAGTGATTGGGGAAACAGATTAGAGGAATTCGAGAAGCTTCTCAAAGAGTTTCAAGACACTGAACTTTGACTTTGACCTTTTTCTCTTGCAACATTACATATTAAACCCACAAAGTATTTTTCTTTTTTAATTACATGTAAATTTTCCAATTCGTTATTGTGTTAACGATTACTGTCTATAAAAATAAAATTATGAAAATATCGCACGAACATGTAAATATTTATTGTCACCGAGGTCTTTATTTTATGAAATGTTAAGCAACAACGTCACTTAATTACATGTGTACAAACTCTAGCCTCTTTATAAACTTTTCCTGGTCGACACAAATAGCCTTTGGTCGGAGCACAGTGAGCATCTTCTGAACATATACACAAACCCTCCAATGCACATCCATCTTTTACTATAGTCGGGTTTCCTTTGATTCCTAGGATCTGATCCGTCCATTCGCTCGAGAATAAACCTTTCGGATCATAACTCTCTTTTACCCTCAAGAATGCGGACGCATTCTTGTACTTTTTAATCACTCCGTCAAACGCTAAGTTTCTATTTTTACCCCAATGTGGCAATGCATTATACTTGAACAATGCAATTTGCTCGATTTCTTCTATAAAATCTTCGTAGAGTCGCGGTGTTAACGGATCATTGGCTCGGTAATATGTTATATCAAAGTCTATAGCTTCCGTTTCTTTTCCAAGATAAGCCGGGGAGGATGTGACATAACGCATTAGGATGCCATAGTAGAGTTCAAGCCCGCAGAGAGATTTTGAATCGATCTTGACAAGAGATTTGATGTCGTTGATGAAACTTTTAACTTGCGTGAGAGGAACACTGAAACATGTTTGATGAAAAAAAACACCTTTTATACGTGAGTCCCATGCACAAGTCGAGATCGATCCATCTTCCAGACCATCTAGACACGATCCCGACGACATCATGTGATTTTGGCTTCCAATGACCGGATAGCCGGTGAATATAATACCTAATGGCGTTGAATATTTGAAACATAAAAGTGGTGTGAGTAAATATTCAGTGTGAGATCGCCATGTAATAATGTAACGAAAAAAGTTAATTACCATTGCTTGTCAAACCGTATGAGGTAGAAAACAGCGTAGATGAAACTGCTGTGGCTGCCACACACTTCCCATGGGCATCTCTCAATGTCTCTTGCTTCTCCTCTAAATTATTGTACAACGGAAACAAATTAAAAGAAATTTTTTACAGTTTTCACTACAAGATAAGTTAAGAGTAAATTTATACTACAAGATAAATTTATACAATTTTTCTATTATGTCTCTCTAACTTATCTTGTAGTATAAATTTACTCTTAACTTATCTTGCCAAAAAAATGTGGCCACAGAAAGATGTTGCCAAAAAAAAATAGCTAGATGATATTTGTAATAAATCGTTAGATATGTTTTTCAAAAAATATTTGCCGAGGCAAAATTGTATATTAAATATGTTTAATCCAGATAATCTCTTGGAGTCAACAATCAGTTTTGTTATCGAGGACAGCGATAGAAGAATTATTTTAGTTTCTACAACTCTAATTCAAGATCACCTGATTAATTACATCTGTCTCTATATCTTCTTCGAATATTGACCAACTACCTCTAATAGCGCTATTGAAGCAAAACTAAGTGGTTAAGATCATGTTTTTTTCTTATGTTTACGAAAATGTGATGCCCGAGATTTCCCTTCTTTTGTTTTCTTTATAAATATTAACTCTTTAAAAGCTTGAAAAATAAAGATAGCTAGCTAAGAACCTGATGATCTTGTGGTGGCTACTACTGCAGAGAGCTGTGAACGGAACGGCAAGAAATCATACAAACCGTTGCCCGACGTGTTGACCGCTACTCGATCGTCCATTCGATACACAACTTTACCTTGGCTCGGTAGCCATACAAAATCCGCAAACTCATGTTTTTTCCCGAATGTTAGAGCTTGATCATCTAAATCCAAATCGTTTTTCATAACATACTTTAACGATCTTTTGAACATCGGTTGTAATTTAAAAGTCACCTATTCAGAAAAAAAAAGATACATACAATGAAACAATTCTAAATTAAAAGGGCCGGGTTCCAACAATATGACATATATATATATATATATATATATATATATATATCTTGTAGTAAAACTCAAATATGAAAATTTAGTTGATCTAACCTGAGAGATAACGCCAAGAACGCCAAGAGAAACCTTAGCTGCGTTAAACTCATTAGGAGTCGTAGTCTCACTTAAAACTCTAATCGTTGCAAACCCGTCGTTGAGCGAACCAGGACTTACCATCCTGATCTCGGTCACGCAATCATGGACCGCACTTCCTTTACCCCACAATGAGCTCCCATGAGCACCGGTACCCATCATACCACCCACGGTTACTCCCCACCAATACGGTGCATAAGGCAACGCCAATCCAACTTTAGCTGCTTCAGCAATTAATTGCCTTAGCGTCATGCCACTCTCAACCGTCAAGGTCAAGGCCTTCGCATCGGCTCGCACTGTGTGGTTTAGAAACTTTGTACTTATGAACAATCCGTCGTTTCCATCTATGCAAACGAGCTTAGGGATGCTATGGGAATATCGAGTGGTCACACGCATTTTCCGTCCGGCTTTAGTGGCTGCAGAAACGATAGATACAAGCTCGGCTTCAGTTGTTGGGTACGCCACGTTGGCGGCTCCACACGTGGACCGGTCTGGGAAGGCTCCTATTGAGTTGGTGACTGTACAATTTGTGTTTCCCGACACACATTTAACAGGATCTTCGGGTGGTGTTGAGATTGCCGTGTGCACAAGTGTAAATAAACAATATAACCCGAGAAGGTTGCGCCAAAACGCAGCGTGGTTGGAACCATAGGAAGGAGAATAACCGAATGCCATGGTTTTTATTGAGTTCTGTTTAATCTCTTTACAAAATGGGGCGTTTGTAAATATTTGGTATATATAGTGGTTGTGTGGCGTAAGGGCCGGTTCAGTGACGCATCATGCTAGCTTGTTGAGATTTACATAAAATATGTTTTTTAAAAAACAAATTTTACATAAAATATGTTTGGTTGATATATTCATAAAAGGCTGGATGATCAGATGCATCATGCTAGCTTGTAAGATATATAATAGTAGTAACAAGTAACGACTAATAACATTCGATCCATTACTTTTGAGCTGTCAATGTTAGTTTCATTTATATCACATGGTCTCTTGAAGACTTGCAAAATCAAAGAAATGTAGATTTTTTATCTATTCTTTTATTAATTTGGTTTCATATATTATGGAAACAGTATCTTTATAGTAGTGATAATTAAACCCTTCAGCGCTGGCATGATATAATATTATCTTTAAGAGTTTCAAGACACTGAACTTTGACTTTGACCTTTTTCTCTTGCAACATTACATATTAAACCCACAAAGTATTTTTCTTTTTTAATTACATGTAAATTTTCCAATTCGTTATTGTGTTAACGATTACTGTCTATAAAAATAAAATTATGAAAATATCGCACGAACATGTAAATATTTATTGTCACCGAGGTCTTTATTTTATGAAATGTTAAGCAACAACGTCACTTAGTTACATGTGTACAAACTCTAGCCTCTTTATAAACTTTTCCTGGTCGACACAAATAGCCTTTGGTCGGAGCACAATGAGCATCTTCTGAACATATACACAAACCCTCCAATGCACATCCATCTTTTACTATAGTCGGGTTTCCTTTGATCCCTAGGATCTGATCCGTCCATTCACTCGAGAATAAACCTTGCGGATCATAACTCTCCTTTACCTTCAAGAATGCGGGCGCATTCTTGTACTTTTTAATCACTCCGTCAAACGCTAAGTTTCTATTTTTACCCCAATGTGGCAATGCATTATACTTGAACAATGCAATTTGCTCGATTTCTTCTATAAAATCTTCGTATAGTCGCGGTGTTAACGGATCATTGGCTCGGTAATATGTTATATCAAAGTCTATGGCTTCCGTTTCTTTTCCTAGATAAGCCGGAGAGGATGTGACATAACGCATTAGGATGCCATAGTAGAGTTCAAGCCCGCATAGAGATTTTGAATCGATCTTGACAAGAGATTTGATGTCGTTGATGAAACTACTAACTTGGGTGAGAGGAACACTGAAACCTGTTGAATAAATAAATAGGCCTTTTATACGCGAGTCCCATGCACAAGTCGAGATCAATTTATCTTCCAGACCATCTAGACAAGATCCTGACGACATCATGCGATTTTGGCTTCCAATGACCGGATAGCCGGTGAATATAATACCTAATGCCGTTGAATATTTGAAACATAAAGGAGGAGTGAGTAAATATTCAGTGTGAGATCGACCATGTATTAATGTAACGAAAAAAGTTAATTACCATTGTTTGTCAAACCGTATGAGGTAGCAAACAGCGTAGATGTAATTGCTTTGGCTGCCACACACTTCCCATACGCATCTCTCAATGTCTCTTGCGTCTCCTCTAAGTTATTGTACAATGAAAACAAATTAAAAGAAAACTGTTTGATCATAAATAAAAACAAACTTTTTGCAATTTTCTAATATGTCTCCTTTATTTTTTAAAACTGTTTCTAAAAGCTTGAAAAATATATATAGCTATCTAATTAAGAACCTGATGATCTTGTGGTGGCTACTATTGGAGAGAGTTGTGAACGGAACGGCAAGAAATCATACAAACCGTTGCCTGACGTGTTGACCGCTACTCGGTCGTCCATTCTATAGACAACTTTACCTTGGCTCGGTAGCCATACAAAATCCGCAAACTCATGTTTTTTCCCGAATGTTAGAACTTGATCATTGAAATCTAAATCGTTTCTCATAACATACTTTATCGATCTTTTGAACATCGGTTGTAATGCAAATGTCACCTTTTCAGGAAAAAAAGATTCACACATGGAAACAATTGTAATTAAAAAGGGTTTGAACAATATGAAATATATATTTTTTTTTTGTAAAACCCAAAAATGAAAATTTAATTGATCTAACCTGAGAGATAACGCCAAGAACACCAAGAGAAACCTTAGCCGCGTTAAACTCATTAGGAGTCGTAGTCTCGCTTAAAACTCTAATCTTTGCAAACCCGTCGTTGACCAAACCAGGACTAACCATCCTGATCTCGGTCACGTAATCATGGACCGCACTTCCTTTACCCCACAATGAGCTCCCGTGAGCACCGGTCCCCATCATACCACCCACGGTTACTCCCCACCAATACGGTGCATAAGGCAACGCCAATCCAACTTTAGCTGCTTCAGCAATTAATTGCCTTAGCGTCATGCCACTCTCAACCGTCAAGGTCATGGCCTTCGCATCGGCTCGCACCGTGTGGTTTAGAAACTTTGTGCTAATGAACAATCCGTCTTTTCCATCCGTGCACACGAGCTTGGGGCTGCTATGGGAATATCGAGTGGTAACACGCATTTTCCGTTCGGCTTTAGTGGCTGCAGCAACGATAGATACAAGCTCGGCTTCAGATGTTGGGTACGCCACGTTGGCGGCTCGACATGTGGACCGGTCTGGGAAGGCTCCTAAGGAGGTTGTGACTGTACAGTTCGTGTTTCCCGACACACATTTAACAGGATCTTCGGGTGGTGTTGAGATTGCCGTGTTCACAAGTGTAATTAAACAATATAACCCGAGAAGGGTGCGCCAAAACGCAGCGTGGATGGAACCATAGGAAGGAGAATAACCGAATGCCATGGTTTTTATTGAGTTTTGTTTAATTTTTTTACAAATGGGGCGTTTGTAAATATTTGGTATATAGTGGTTGTGTGGCGTAAGGGCCGGTTCAGTGATGCATCATGCTAGCTTGTTGAGATTTACATAAAATATGTTTTTTTAAAAAACAAATTATACAAAAAATATGTTTGGTTGATAAATTTATAAAAGGCTGGATTAGATGCATCATGCTAGCTTGTAAGATATATAATAGTAGTAACGAGTAACGACTAATAACATTCGATCCATTACTTTTGAGCTGTCAATGTTAGTTTCATTTATATCACATGGTCTCTTGAAGACTTGCAAAATCAAAGAAATGTAGATTTTTTATCTATTCTTTTATTAATTTGGTTTCATATATTATGGAAACAGTATCTTTATAGTAGTGATAATTAAACCCTTCAGCGCTGGCATGATATAATATTATCTTTAAAATTGTTTCACTAATAATATTCTCCTCGTCGTCCTATGCAAATTGTGTATATGTTCAATTAAAAAGGATAGACGACGACGACTTGCATATAGTCGACAATATATATATAATTATATATATATATGGCCCTATTATACGAGAGTCAATGGAAGGCACGGGACGTTCCGCATTTTGGGGTGGGGAGGTTATTTTTTCTTTTCATGCAATAATAATTATAACAATAATTGAGGTGTGGTCATGCGATGATTTACAAAAAATCCTCCTCGGCTCGGCCGATTGAAATGATATACTAACACTATAGCACGAATCTAAAAATAAAATTCTTGTAACCCATAGCAACCAACAGTCCAACATGATATTATAACTATTATTACAACAACAACAATAACAAAAAAAGGAAGATATCATTTAATTATCACAATAACGCACACATATAGACGATGACTTTCTGATATAAGAAGCAATGAAAATTAATAACTTACTGTTTAAATCACACTTATTATACCATCAACACGTGTACAAACCCTAGCCTCTTTGTACACTTTTCCCGGTCGACACAAATAGCCTTTGGCCGGGGCACAATGAACATCCTTTGAACATATACACAAACCCTCCAATGCACATCCATCTTTTACTATTGTCACGTTTCCTTTGATTCCTAGGATCTGATCCGTCCATTCACTCGAGAATAAACCTTTAGGATCATAACTCTCTTTTACTTTCAAGAATGCGGGTGCGTTATTGTACTTTCTAATCACTCCATCAAACGCTAAGTTTCTATTCTTACCCCAATGTGGCAATGCATTATATTTGAACAATGCAATTTGCTCGATTTCTTCGATGAAATCTTCGTAGAGTCGCGGTGTTAACGGGTCTTTAGCTCGGTAATATGTTATGTCAAAGTCTAGCGCTTCGGTTTCTTTCCCTAGATAAGCGGGAGATGATGTGACATAACGCATTAGAATACCATAGTGAAGCTCAAGGCCACACAAAGATTTTGGTTCGATCTTTACAAGTGATTTGATGTCGCTGATAAAACTTTTAACTTGGGTGAGAGGGACACTGAAAGTTGTTTGATGAAAAAATTCGCCTCTTATACGTGAGTCCCACGCACACGCCGTGATCAATCCATCTTGAAGGCTGTCTAGACATGATCCTGACGACATCATACGGTCTTGGCTTCCAACGACCGGATAACCAGTGAATATAATGCCTAAATCCGGAGAATATTGAAACATAAAGGTAAGGGTAAGCTAGAATATTCTCTGTAAAATCAATGAATGAAAAGAAATTATTACCATTGTTGGTCAAACCATATGAGGTAGCAAACAGTGTAGATGAAATTATTGTGGCTCCCACACACTTCCCATTCGCATCTCTGAACGTCTCTTGCGTCTCCTCTTGATTATTATATATTATAAAAGAAAACAACTTAGAGTTACGTGTAGAATTCTGTATATTAACATTTTGTTTTCCAGATAATCTCTTATTTAATTATCGGTAGTTGCCTAGTTGGATCCAAGAGTTATAATTTTATACAATACAAATTCAAAAATAACCTGATTACTTTGTCTTTCTTCTCCAATTATGGACCAACTACCTCTAATAAGGCCATTGATGCATTACTTTATCTTGTGTTTTTGGTTAACTAATGGTTCAAATTTTATACATCAAAATTTAATAGGTCTTAAATGAAAATGAAACGTGCTGAGTAAACAAATGCGTACAAAGTCTAGATCAGATAATGTTTTTCTTCGATTTAAAGATAAACGATATGGACAAGATTGTACCCTTTTTCTTTGTTGTCAAACGAACAAGATTGTACCTTTACGTTCATTTTCAAAACTAAATGCAAACCTTATAAATAAGGATAGGTGAGAATTACCTGATAATCTTATGATGGCTATCGCCGCAGTGAGTTGTGAACGGAAGGGCAAAAAGTCGAACAAACCATTGCCCGATGTGTTGACCGCTACGCGGTCATCTCTTCGATACACCACTTTGCCTTGGCTTGGTAACCATATGAAATCCGCAAACTCGTGTTTCTTTCCAAAAGTCACGGCTTGATCTTCAAAATCCGAATCATTTCTCATAGTATATGTTAGTGATCTCTTGAACATCGGTTGCAATTTAAAAGTTACCTTTAGAAAAAAAAAACAAAAAAAAAAACAAAAAGAACGTAAACATCTAAAACATTGTATGTTATTGTTTTTTTTGTAGTAAAAACTGCAAATGAAATTTTAATTTTTCCAACCTGAGAGATAACGCCAAGGACCCCAAGAGAAACCTTAGCCGCGTTAAACTCGTCAGGAGTCGTAGTCTCGCTTAAAACTCTAATCTTTGCAAACGCTTCGTTGACCGAACCAGGACTAACCATCCTGATCTCCTTCACATAATCATGGACTGCACTTCCTTTACCCCACAATGAGCTCCCGTGAGCACCGGTTCCCATCAGACCACCAACGGTCAGTCCCCACCAATACGGTGCATAAGGTAACGCCAATCCAACTTTAGCCGCTTCAGCGATTAACTGCCTAAGCGTCATGCCACTCTCAACCGTCAAGGTCATGGCCGTTGCATCGGCTTGCACCGTGTGGTTTAGAAACTTTGTGCTTATGAACAAACCGTCGGTTCCGTCGGTACACACGAGCTTAGTAATGCTATGGGAATATCGAGTTGTTACACGCATTTTCCGTCCGGCTTGAGTGGCTGCAGCCACGACAGAGACAAGCTCGGCTTCAGTTTTTGGGTATGCCACGTTGGCGGCTCGACATGTGGACCGGTCTGGGAAGGCTCCGTATGAGTTGGTGACTGTACAGTTCGTGTTTCCCGACACACATTTGACAGGATCATCGGGTGGTGTTGAGACTGCCGTGTGCACAAGTGTAAATATATAACTTAACCCGATAAGAGTGCGCCAAAACGTAGCGTTTTGGGAACCATATGAAGGAGGAGAAGTAAATACCATTGGTTTTGATTGAGTTTTGTTGAATATTTATTGTGAATGCTTTGTAAATATGTTTGGTATATATAGAGATTTTGTAAGGCCACGGTTTAATACGATTTAAATAAAATGTTTTGTTTAATTAAATTTGAAAAGGTTGAGAGTAGATGGTTTATGCAATCTTGTAAGATAGTATTAACCACTAATTAATCACATTCAATTCATTTTGATGGACTGTCATGTTAATTACATTTATATTACATTTTCTTAAAGACTTGGCCATATTCTTATCATAGTCAATCCCAATCCCATTGGCGACTGCACGTTCGCTGTTTCTCTTTACTTTTAAATATTTTAGTCAAATTATTCACCTCGTCATCTTACGAAATTTTTAAGAAAAGAACGTGACTTAAATATTTTAATGGGCGAATATTTTATCAATTATAAATATACACATGACAAATTCAACTAGAAATTTAAAACCAAACAAAATTTCAACTAGTAATTATCATACAAATTTCGTATCATTAATAACTCAAGTCTGTAATGTCTTGAATATATCAAACTATATAATACACCCATTAGTTGTGATTTTGTCCGATATATATATACAGTCACCAAAATCATTTGAAATTTGAAAGAAGATAAGATTGCCAAGGTACGCATGCCTTCACACACAAAGTAATGATTCAATCGTAGTCCATGGGAGTAATTTTAATAAATAACTACTCATAGTTCAAACTTTTCTCCATTCAAAAGTTTTTGACAAATCATATAGATATTACTGCGTTGTGTTATTTGATATGAAATCTTCAACTTCATATAATGATAGCATTAAACTAAAACATAATTTAATGTTAACATGTAAAGTTTCCTATTTTAATTCTAATACAAAATTAAAATAAAGTTATAATAGAAATATGTTTGTAAGAAAATATATATCGGATTTTTTTTAAAAAAAAACTAGTCTTCTATTTCCACACACATGTCAACGTCTTGATCGAGTTTCACAAATTCCATTTCGTATTCGGTTGAAATTTTGTAGTCCCCAATACTCAATCCTTAAAATTATATCTTTCTCCTTAAGGTACCTCACCAAGTTGTGTTTTATTTTTGGTTTTACTCTCAAGTAGTTTATTTGTCATGATTATTAACTTTTTATTGTTTTAGTAACAGAGGGTCTTATTTCTAGCGCAAGGCAGAAAATGACTTAATGATTTATGAATATGCGTATTTAGCAAAGTAAATACTAAACCCATAATCTTCAGCGGAAAAAATTTCAAGATACGCCACCGTGAATGTACTTTAATTTGAATTTGATTTTTTTTTTTTTAAATTCCTTTTCATTAGTCGAAACTCGAAAGTAGAAATTAAACCAAGACAGCGAAATTATTAGGCATATCGTGCCGCCCGAAATTTCGATTTTTTTTACTGCCCCTCCTAATATTATTATTGTTACAACAACATTAACAATAACTCATCATGATAAATATCGACCACACATAAAGACGATAGGTATCTGATATATAAAAGAAGCAATGAAGATTAGTAACTTAATGATTGAATCACACTTATGTCATCAGCACGTGTACAGACCCTAGCTTCTTTGTAGACTTTTCCTGGTCGACACAAATATCCTTTGGTCGGAGCACAATGAGCATCCTCCGAACATATACACAAACCCTCTAATGCACATCCATCTTTTATTATCGTCACATTTCCTTTGATTCCTAAGATCTGATCGGTCCATTCGCTTGAGAATAAACCCATTGGATCATAGCTTTCCTTAACTTTCAAGAATGCAGGCACGTTCTTGTACTTTTTAATCACTCCATCAAACGCTAAATTTCTGTTCTTACCCCAATGCGGCAAGGCGTTATACTTGAACAACGCAAGTTGCTCGATTTCTTCTATAAAATCTTCATATAGTCTCGGTGCTAACGGATTTTTGGCTCGGTAATACGTGAGGTCAAAGTCTAAAGCTTCTGTTTCTTTCCCGAGATAAGCCGGAGAAGATGTGACATAACGCATTAGAATACCATCGTAGAGCTCAAGTACGCATAGAGATTTCGACTCTATCTTGACAAGAGATTTGATGTCGTTGATGAAACTTTTGACTTGCGTGAGCGGAATACTGAAAGTTGTTTGGTGAAAGAATTCACTTTTTATGCGTGAGTCCCATGGACAAGCTGTGATTAATCCATCATGAAGACTGTCTAGGCATGATCCTGACGACATCATACGGTTTTGGCTTCCAATAACCGGATAACCAGTAAATATCATGCCTAAAGCCGGTGAATGTTTAAAACATAATAAAGGTAGGAGTGAGTTAATATTCGATGTAAAAGGATGCAAATGTACAAGTACAAATAAACAAAAGTTTAGTTAAATACCATTGTTGGTCAAACCGTATGAGGTAGCAAACAGTGTAGACGAAATTAATGTGGCTCCCGCACACTTCCCATTCGCATCTCTGAATCTCTCTTGCGTCTCCTCTTATTTAATACAAGACAACAATAAATAAAAGGTTATGTGTAACATTTAATAAATAGGGAACTATTATGTGTATATTTATAGATTTTTTTTTTTTATCATATACTATATGCAAACAACAAATAAATGATTTAGAAATAAGGATGAACCTGAGGATCTTATGATGGCTAATGCGGCAGAGAGTTGCGAACGGAACGGCATGAAATCGAGCAAACCGTTGCCTGAGGTGTTGACCGCTACTCGGTCGTCCATTCGATACACCACTTTGCCTTGGCTTGGTAACCATATGAAATCCGCAAACTCATGTTTCTTCCCAAATGTTACGGCTTGATCCCCAAAATCTGAATCATTTCTCATGACATACCTTAACGATCTCTTAAACATCGGTTGCAATTTAAGAGTTACCTTTTTTGAGCAATTATGATATAGAAAAAAAAAAAAAAAAGGTGTTAGAGCTATGAATGATATTTCCTAATAAGAATAAAAATATGAATTTTTAATTGATCTAACCTGAGAGATAACGCCAAGAACGCCAAGAGAAACTTTGGCCGCGTTAAACTCATTAGGAGTCGTAGTCTCGCTTAAAACTCTAACCTTTGCAAAACCGTCATTGACCGAACCAGGACTAACCATCCTGATCTCGGTCACGTAATCATGGACCGCACTTCCTTTACCCCACAATGAGCTTCCGTGAGCACCGGTCCCCATCATACCACCCACGGTTAGTCCCCACCAATACGGTGCATAAGGCAACGCCATTCCAATTTTAGCCGCTTCAGCGATTAATTGCCTAAGCGTCACACCGCTCTCAACCGTCAAGGTCATGGCCTTTGCATCGGCTCGCACCCTGTGGTTTAGAAACTTTGTACTTATGAGCAAACCGTCGGTCCCGTCGGTACACACAAGCTTAGTGATGCTATGGGAATATCGAGTTGTTACACGCATTTTCCGCCCGGCTTTAGTGGCTGCAGCCACGACAGAGATAAGCTCGGCTTCGGTTGTTGGGTATGCCACATTGGCGGCTCGACACGTGGAACGGTCTGGAAAGACTCCATATGAGTTTGTGACTGTACAGTTCGTGTTTCCCGACACACATTTGACAGGATCTTCTGGTGGTGTTGAGATCGTAGTGAAGACTAGTGTAGATATACAGTGTAAGACGAAAATGGTGCGCCAAAACGCAGCGTTTTGGGAACCATACGAAGGAGAGGAAGTAGATGCCATTAATGGGGTCTCTTTTCAAATATATTTTGCATTTGGTGTTTTTTTGTGTGTAGTAGATAGATATATACGTTTGGTGTATGTAGAGGTTGTGTGGCGTAAAAGGACGGTTTAGTGTGATTTAATTATTTATATCCGGTTGATAGGAAAAGAACTGAGATATGAGATGCTTGTAAGATAAGATTAATGATCTTCTCTCATTATTATTTCATCGATTCATCAGTTGGCTTTTCTTCGTTTTCATTTGAATATAATATCATCTGGTTTTTAAGGATATAGGACTCGAGATTTTGGTTTAAATAAAAGTCTATATAGCAATACGCATCACATTTTTTTATATTGTTGCTTCATGCAAAGAAAGAATGTAGTATATATTGTGGTATATGAGAGACCTCAATCAAACGTAAAAACTAAAGTCGATAAATTATAAAAAAAAAAATTGATAAGGGTTTTAAGTCCATAGATTATGATTGCTATGTAAATTTTCTAATAACCAAAGAAATGTGTCCAGCAGTAAATCAAAAGTGCTATGTCCCCCATCAACAAGGCAATGACCACATAGCTACTGTTACTCACTTGCTGCCACTTGGTAACAATTCAAGTTTTGCATGTATTTTTTTTTGGCATGCTTTGAATTCGTTACGAATCACATTTGTTTTATTTAGGAGATGAAATTTTCAACTTAAAATTGTACTTAATTGACAATAAATGGAGAGATCTCTACTATTTCTTATATATATCAAATTAGAAATACTTTTACTAGTTTAAGTTTTTGCGCCAGTTATATATGGTTTTTAAACCTTTTATTGTCTAATACATATTATAATGCTTTTTCTGTTACAAATTCTAACGGTAACTGTTACGAAAAATAAATTTAATTTATGCAGTCTGTTCAATTTTTTGCGCATTTTTTTTACTATCACTATTCATAGCTTTCACTTTTTCAGACAATATAAAGTAACTATGAAGAACTGTACCACGCCTGTACTGTAGAATCTTCACAAAAAATATGAAACTACAAATTATAAAAATATTAGGTTACTTGTGTGTTAAGATATTATCAGTTGATTTACCAAACAACTCAGTCTGCCTAATTTTAGGTACGTACGTATTAATCAGACTAGTGGAGCCAAAAAAATAAAATCAGAAAAAAAAGAGTGAGAGACACACGTATTGACTATTACCGTCCACTTGATTTCATTTATTAGAAAAGTCAACATACTGAACATGTAATGTCCGACTAGTCAAATGTACGAACGACTATAAAGAAACGTGTGTGTGTGTGTTTTTGGTTTTAGCTTTGTATAAGTTTTTTTTGGATAGATGATATTCTAGTTTTAAAAATTTAGAAAAAATAATAATAATTGTAGTACATATGAGACAACATTCACATTCAGCCCAGGCCCAGCATTTTATTTGGGAGTAGTAACCCGTTGCATTGCAAAAGGAATTAACTTGAACCAGTCTAAAACCCAACTAAATTAGATTTCTTATTATATAGCTTTTTAATATATCTTGATGCTCTTATTCTTATGTATGTGAATATTCATCGTGTTCAAACTTCAAAGTGTTCTCCGTGACGTTGTTCATTATTCACGAATTACTAACACTTTCCTTAAAAGTTCTATCAGTGCACTCCTCTATCCTCCTTATAAGTATTGTAAATGGAGGCTCAAAGTTTGAGGAAATGGATAGTTGCAGTTATAAAAGTTATTAAATGAACTATACGACTAGTATAACGGTTGGAATCAAATATAATTATAAAACACTTTTTACGGGTTAAGTGATACTTCCTCTGTTTCAAAATACTGGATGTTTTAGGGATTTATTTTTGTTTCAAAATATATGATGTTTACAATTTTCTATGCAACTTTTAAATACATTTTACATTTTATGACTTTTTGTATTCTGCAGTCTTTTATATCATTGGTTGAATTTTATTGAACTAAATATTAAATGGTAGTTGTTAAAAACAAAAATAAATTTCTTAAAGTATCTGTTTTTAGCTAAAGCATCCTATACTTTGAAACATAAAGTTTAACAGTTAAACAAATTATTTTATATCAAATATATAAATTTTCTTATAAAAACACCAAAAGCGTTCAACAAACGGTCATCTCACCTTATTAGTGGAGTTTCTATTTGAAAATCAATAACAAAAAAACATTATATATAAGAAAAAATAAAATAAAATATATAATGAACTAATTAGATTTTAAAAATATATATATAGAGTAATGCACTAAAAATATGAAAATAATTAAACATATATACGTTTATTACCAGTTAAACCCTTGTCATGTCATAACCGTAGAAATTCTATGTTATGTGTTAAACGAATACACATGAGACATGTTAACTATTAATCGAATCGATTTCCATAAAGCGGAATTAAGCTCAAAGCGTAATAGCTACAGACCCAATTCTGATCACATCAAAATGATGGGAAATTAAATTCAAAAAAGAGAAAAATTAAGCCGAAGATTCCAATCACCTTTTTATTGATTAATTTCTTTTCACATTCATTATCGAAAAAAAAATCACATTTGAAACACAAATATTCGACTTTTGTAATTCGTGGAAAATCTGTATATACATTTTTTCGACATGGATGTTAGACCTCGTTGGCACGAGCTTGCACTATCCCATCGCACCCACACCCTCAATCATCACCTTGATTATTATTTTCTTATAAAGAATCTTACAATACATATTATCTCGACCATCTTTTTTCAATTGATATATTTATCCCTCTTTGTCAAAAAAAATTTAGTCCACTGATCATCTTTATGTTGATCGATGTCGGAAATAAATTTGCATTCGGTGCATTTTCTCATTAACCATTAATTTTTTTAATGCATATTTCAAAAATTAATTAGTTTGATTTGGTTTATAACCCTGCGATTGTTATTAAGATGTAAGGTTTGATTGCGAAAGCAACTTATTCTGAGGTTATTAGAAGGTAGAAGGTGATTGAGTTGGCTATCTCTTTCTAATTATGATTTTAGTTTTTTTTCTCCATAATCCTTGTGGGTTTGTTAAAGATAAGATATGTGTATGATTAATGGTGAGAAATTTAATAAAGGTAAAAAGAGCAAAATGGTTGAGCGATATAGACATCAAATTAGGACTGTGAATTAAAGAAGCATCAACAAAAATATCTAAATATGCCTTGAGAGAATCATCCTCGAAACTCGTGAGTGTTAGATAAAGAAGTAACAGTGAGGGAAAACGATGATGGACTTTAGGTTAGTTTTTGTCGGCAAATCCGTTCTCGTCGGACTTTCTCTCCCTTATGAAGCGATTTTAGCTTTTGTGTAGTCGCGATCAGAAAAAGATGGTGTGTTATAGTCGGAAGTATGCTAGTGTGTTTGCAAATACCTATACATGCATGTATTGAAACTCCTAACCTTTTCTTCAAGTGATTTTTGATATTTTTAGTTATTATACATAGTCTACAGTCTACACCACGTTTTATTTATTTCAACAAGACAACCAACTTAACGTCTATATGTATATACATAATTAATACGGTGGACACGTGCATGGTAATTTTCGATTCCATGAGATCAAATTTCTTATGTATACAAATTAGGAAAAAAAATGTGAAGGTTCCACCCAATCACCCAACACAAAAGTGATAACGTACGTAAAATATAATATAGATTTGGCTTTTGAGTCGTACTACGTAGTTGAAAATTTCAGTCCTTATAATATGTCTTTTACTATAGTTAGTAACCCTTCGAATTTTAATTAATGACATGTTTATGTGTATATATTAATTATGGCGTTGAGGATGAATTGTCAATTTTGCGGGAAGGCATACTTGGATAATTGATCTCTCGAACTCGACCCATACCTCAAAATTATCATTTGAAATTATGTGACGAAAAAGGGAAATTTCATTAATTAGCTAAGGGAGACAATCCCCATATTGTTTATCTCTAAATGTCGGGGTATAATTTATAATGACGTGTAGAATAAGTTATTATTACAGATGGATAAGTTGAATTTTTAATCTAGATTTATCAAAAGTATTACTCCTTCTGTTACATAATATAAGATGTTTTAGTAAAAAATTTTTGTTTCATAATATAAGATATTTTCAAATTTCTATGTAAATATTATACATTAATATAATATTATATTATTATTTATATTATGCAGTTTTTTTATGATTGGTTGGATTTTTTAAAAACAGATATTTCTCGATCTGCGTATTTTTTTGCTAAAACATCTTATATTTTAAAACGGAAAGAGTATATGAAGTTTTGAAGTTATTATATTAAAAATAATTATAATTATTAAATTTAATTCATTTTAAATGACTATTGTTCGTACAATTAATTTGTAATATTTATCATGTGTTTGTTTCGGATGATCGTTAGGACTCAAGCTCTTCAAAGTAAATATATAACTAAATATGTATCGCAGAATCGTGATAATTAGAACACCAATGCGAATGACGGATTTATAGTGCTTTGAACACTTTTTTATAAAACAATAATGAGCCCAAATTTCCACTTCAAAATAGTAGATAAATATTATGAATATATTGGAAGTTGAAACAAGAAAGAAAGAAAATTTTCAAATCAAATATACAACAATTTTATACATAAAAACAAATTAAAATTACCATAAACTTGTAATTCAAAAACTTCTTTACAAAAAATATTTTTTTTCTATGATATTTTCAAATAAATTCGAAATTATGGTATTTAAAACCAAAAAAAAAAGATGGTTTGTAAGAGATATTTATATAATGCTCTGTAAAACTGAAAATGGATACTTGAGAAGACGAGATATTTGACCATGGAGCGTAAGAGAAAAAATAAACAAAACATTGATTTAGTTTTGATTTTTCTGGCTTTCTCGGTCACTACAAACATGGTTTTAATCAAAGACTTCTTAATTTTTATTTTTTACATAATGAAAGAGGAATTAAACTCGGATTGCTTATTCTGATCAAGAAGAATTAAATGAAGATCCGAATTTGCTACATAATTTTGATACAAATGTTTAAACGGTACATAATTATAGTCAATAAGAGAATATTAGCTAAGTTATGTTTTCTTTATGTACTATATCACTCGATACTATGTTTGAGATTAATAGATTATGATTGATTTCGATTTTTTTTTGTTTGTAAATAAGTGTACTATAACGTCGTTTTTTTTTCTCTTTGAATAAGAACAAGAAAGCGTATACTATTATGTCTACTGCTATTAATGATACTCAATCATAATCTATTAATCTCAAACATACAATCGACTGATAGTACTTAAGATAAGATAGTCCATTATTTTGTGTGCCTACTATGTATCTGTGAAGATAAATGTATTATATATGGCTAGAAAAGACACAATGTCTTATAGTATCTAATTATCTATCGCTTTTGGTCGTAAAATATTACTTTCCAAGATTTAGTTCTTGGAAAATCTTTTTTCCTTAAACCTTTATTTTCACGATCATGGGCTTTGCTCGTAATACTTTTTTTTTAACTTCTAGAAGGAAAACTATGAAATTAAATGGAAGACATTTTGAGTAATGAAATATAATGCTCTCCCCAACAATAACGAAATATCTCCTTTTTGAGATCTTTATTCTCCTCTTTTAAATTCTTATATTAATCTATTTTACAATATTTCACATAACCACTGTAATTATCACAAATCTGACTTTCTTTTTTTATGTTTCAACAACTATATGGTATGATTATATCTTTTTACACAAATGTGAAATGTCTTATGTGTGTGTGTCTCTCTCTTTTTCCCTCCATTTCCGTTATCCACTACCATTCGACACGTGGTAAAATGGGCCAGGCGATGACGGTAGAGACGACGTCGTCGTATTCCATAGCTCCATCTCCAGTGTATATTCCTGAGTTAAACCGGCGTGGTACGAAGCGGACCGGTTCAGGCTATGGTACGGAGATCGGACGGAAGGCAAGGCGAGATGATCTTGATCCACGTGGCTTTCATTGACGGCTGCGATCGAATATGATGTTGGTCCGTTAAGCTGCGAGGCCACGAGGCGGTCTAAAGCCGCCCAACTAGTAACGAAGCTAGTGTCGACGACGTTGCTGACGTGGATATTATGATTAGTATCGGGAGAGCTTACGTGGCAGTTGTTGATTGTTTGACTGTTAGGGCTTTCGAGGTTTGGGAGTTTCATGAAAGGGTCAAGATTTAGCTCTTCTTTACAAGATCGCCCCATAAGTTCAAGAAATTGCTCGAGAGTATCCTCGTTGAAGATCTGAGGCGACGTCGTCCTCGCCGTGTCTCCGCCGCCGCTCAGGGAAGATCCTCCGACGGGACTGTTTAGGGTTTTGTGAAGATTCTTCTTCTTGAAAATACGACACACCACCCATCCTTCGTCTTGTGATGCTTCCCCTATAATACTCACCTTAAATATTCAAAAATCAAATAAGATGTATATATCAGCAAAATTCATGTTTTGGACATGTACAGTCTGGTTAATAATCCCTTAGGTCCTCACTTCACTGGCAATTCGATTAAGTTATGTATGGTTCTCATCCTCGTTTTTGATTCTCCTTTTTCTAACAAAATAGGTGATATATAGATTTTTCAAACTCTTTTGGAATTCATTAGTGGAGCTTTTTAAAGCAGCAGGTTCAAAACCAAAAAGAAAAAGAAAATTCATATTTCAGTTTCATGTGCGTATATATATATATATACATATATATATGACAAAGGAGAAAATAAATATTTGTGGGAAGAAGTAACTATAACCATTGTCATTAAATATTATTTAGTTTTTCAAAATTTAATGAAAACAAAAAAAACTATTTCTGTATATTAAATGAAAATCACGATCATACTTTGCAAAAATATTTTTTTAAAAAAATATATATTACATAATATTTTTCTACTTGTACATGTTATCAGTAACAACTTTTATAATGGTCAATGAATCATAATCAAAACAAAATCGAGATCGTGATGTAAAATGAGACATAACAGTCTCACCATATTCAAAAAAACTAGTATATAACTCGTATTTAAAGGTTATGATGAAATCAATGCATACCTCATGAACGGTAACATCCTCAGGGGAAATAATGTTGTCATCGAGTCTATATTCATGCATGATCCAATCAGATTTTTGGCCGTGAGGAGCTCGGCCTTTGTAGAAAACAAGAGTCTTTCTCATCCCAATCCTACGGCCATTGCTATATATGATCTTGTCGCGGCCAGTTGCTTTCCAAAATCCGGCCGCAGTGGCTCTGTTAGTTCTCGTTCCCGTCGGATATTTTTTGTCCTTGTGGCTAAAGAAATACCAGTCGTTTTGTGGCGTTGTTCCTATTTTACACATCTCTGCATAGCGACAAAAGAATAATCTGAAAAACTTAACATAATTAAATTGTATAATTCTTTAACCAAACCTATCTTGGTATTTGCAGTAACTAACTCCTAATTTGAACAAACAACAGCAACAACTAAGTGTAGATTCTCTGTACTCTAGTCATATTCTCGTAAAAGGATACATAAGAACGTCATGTATCGAAAGTAGTATTGACAAGACAGCCATTTATATATAAGGAAAATACTATTAAATTCGGAAAATTGGATTAGGATAGTGTGAAAAAAGAGAAAATTAACCCATCAAAATTTTCTTTATGGAAATAAACCTTGAATATCCCAAGGCTCGAGCTTGTTAAGATCAACGTCGCGGATGACATCGAGATCGATCTCGATGCTATTAACTTTCTTTCGGAGATAATACTGCAACAGCTCTTCCTCTGTCGGATGAAACCTAAACCCAGGAGGCACTTGAGATTGTCCGTTCACTGATATGCTCATAGATTTCGACATCATCAAAGAGATTTCAGAGTAACTGATCAAGAATCAAGTAAGATAGAGCATATGTGAGGTTTATTTAATTGTAACTAGCAAACTGAAAGATGGGGATGAGAGAGCTAGCGGAGAATGAGTCAATATATATTGTTGTATAAAAACAAGATGCATGAGGAAAACGCATGTGTCTCTTTGTACACCTTTTTTTTTGTTTTTCTTAATTATTAAAATTCAACTCTTATCATAAGCTTTTCCATTTGTTTTCTTTCATTAGTTATAGTTTGAAAATTAATATATAACCCTCCGCAGAACAAAATTAATTTCACTTGTCAATTATGAATGATTATTATTCTTTTGTTCCTTTTTCACAATTATTAGTTTTCAACATTTTTTGGCGTCTAGTATTAAATAGTTATACTATTTTCTTGTCATTAACTAGTTTGAAAATTAAAACGTGACCCTCACAATAGTGATTTAGTTACACTTATCTTTTACAAGAACTTAAAATCATCAAATGTGACAAGAGCATGCATCGTAATTATTTGTGCTAATGTCTCTCAAATTCTAGGTTTATCTATTTATTCATTATTTTTTTAAAAAACCCCTGAAGAGAACTTAAAGCTTATTAAAAATCTATCTTGGTCTATTAATTATGTTTTTTTCATAGAAATATCCCTTATTTGTGTATTTTTACAGTTACAAACTTACAACGAGTAAAGAATTATTGTGAAGACAAAAAAAAAAAAAGGAAAACATAAATAGTGTATAGTTGTCGGAGAAAAAAAAGGTGATGTAGTTATCAGAAGGAAAAAGAGTAGGCCCCGTAAGGCAACTAGATTGTAGGAAGCAAGCCCACATCGTAACGATGACCCTTGACCTTAAAAATATCTATAGAAAAGCTCCCTTTAAACAAATTAACAACCCACACATCTTAATAGTAGTACATTGTCTTCTTCTCTCTTTTTCTCTTCTAATTTCGTGATATTTATATAAATGATCAGGTCTCCATTTATATGCCCACACTGTATTTCAAAAATAGAGTCGAAATAGGGTGTGTTAAAAAGTTTCCCTCCGGAATATGTGGCTTTTTTCATCGATTAAATAAACATTTCACTACAAAAGGTTTTTTGTTATTTTAAACGAAAAAGTTGATCGTTACTAAAAAACTAGTTGATGTGATAAAGAGTGTTTTTTTTTTCTCTGGGATGTGACGAAGAGTTATATAAATATATTTATAATAATGTGTATATGTTAAATATGGGAAAGAAAGTGGGAAAATAATGCCCCAAACGGTAGATAGTTTGGTGTTCGAGAGATGATAGAGTTGGGTAATGAGTGTTCCTGTCCCATCTGAAATAGGATTAACAATCGATTTCACTTTTCTTAGCTAATGAAAATCTCTAGAATTATACATTTATTTATTTTTCATATGTTTGCTCGATCGTTCGAGATGATTTGTAGCATGGTTAGTGCAAAACGAATGAGCCTAATTAAGGAGTGTTGTTTTTATTTTTTTGAACCTTTGGTTGTTACGTTCTGTTAGAGTCACTATATAAAGGTGAGACGATAGAAAGGTAACGATGACGTCAAAAACCACGTAGTTTTATCAATTACACTGTAGAATTGTAAGTGTAAGTACGTGTACTTATTGTGTAGAAACGTAATTAAGAAAACCAAAATTAATGGAGCTAAGAAGTGTTAATGTGGTTGGAACTAAGACTTTATTTAAGATTAGTTAAGAGGCCTTTCTGCAATTGTCTAAACACAGAATCATTTTGTTGCGTTTTCGGAATTTCATGCTTTTAATCATTATTTTTTTTAGCTTGATTGATGACATTGCACCCAACATTTTTTGTGTCTTAAGTCCATGTGTTTATTGGTTGCGCTATGAAAATCCGAAGTTTCTAACTACTATAAAACCCTGTAGAAATTTACAGGTCATTGATTCTTTCCAGTAGCCAATACAATTCGTTTTGTAAATTTTGTTTGATATAAGTTTTTTTCTATTTTAAACGTAACATTTTATTATTAAATACAGAGATAAATAGATAAACTGGTACTCAGAAAGATTATATTCTTTAAAGATGTAATAAATATTTTTAGAAGTGATGTATGTGTGAATTTTTTTAATTAAGGTTCGGTAAAAAAAAAGAAACTATAGGAATTAAATAAAAGAAATTTCCGTTGTTTCTAAAATATTCTCACTCCTCTATTATTTGAGACAAATAAATTTTATAATATAGTTGAATTTATAATGAAAAAAGAAAAAGTAGGTTTGCTTTCTGAATCTTCATTCTATTTTGGTAGAGTTTATGGATTTTTGTACATTCATATGTTTGATTGACATTATTTAGTACTCGTTTTTTTCATTGTGAAATTGTTGAATGTAACATTAGCATCATGTCAACTGTAATCAACACCGTTTATTAAAAGTAAAATTTAGCAAAATTTGGATGTTTGTTGTACTCCATAGAATCTATTGATTTTTTCCCCAGTCTTGTGAATCCTTATTGATTCTTAACAAAATTGATAACTGTATTTTGTTTCTCAGGTTTTTGTGTCATAGTTTATCCATATCATAACAACACGTGATTTGATTAGAAATTTAAATTCAATGATGAAATAATGTATGACTTCGTTGAAAAATTTAAATCCATTAAAGTTCACTGACCAAGAATAACTTCTAAGGTATCATGCATTTTTATTCGTACTTTTCCATTTTTGGTCTTTATTTTATTATTTTTTTTTCTTTCATTTTTGGTCTTTATATAGAGTCTATATTATATTCCATCAAGATGTTAGCATCTAATATAATTTTAAAATCTGGATGCTTAGCAGAAAAAAGGTTTAAATCTGGACAGTGATCCAACTCTATACAACAGTAATACAAACAACTAGTTTATATGTTTTGGTCTTTATAATTTATTTTTTGTTAAAGTTATTTAAATTTCTAATGTATGCGTAGCTTTAAGTAAGTTTTGAGGGCATTACGTATATAGTGTTGGTGTTTTTTTCCATGGGCACGTGAAGTATTGTAGATTTCATATGCATATGTCAATTATTGGTTTACAAAATGATGTCACAAAACTGTCACATGCATATTAATTATACATATCTGTACGCTCTCAACACCCTGAGGTATTCATTAATTTATTCACTTGATATTATTTTCTACTATATTAAATCATATTCTAACCTTAATATGTTAGGGATATTTCTCGTAGATGATAAATTACTGTAAATTTGTTCTTAAATTTCAGCTCTTAATTTCTGACAATTTACACTCACAGTTAAAGTGTTTAATCATATTTTTATATTACTGAATATACTATATACAGAGAAATTATTTTTTTCTGTTAAAAGATAAATTTGGTGATGGATAATACATAATGAAGGAAACTGATCGAAATATTGTGCTCAAATAATAAAAACTTAAATATGGAAACTCTCTAGAAGATGAAGAAAGTTTGCATGGGAAGCAATCTTAGTTTGGTGAATTTTCGTCAAAATTTGTTAAGCCTTAATGGGTGAGACGTCATGACTCCACGGACTCCGTTTTCTTTAATGGCGAGGGGCAATTCTGTAGTTCCATAGATTTTGGACCCTTTCACGATATCAACGTGTATCTTATAATATTTATTATTTTTAATGGTTTTGTAATTTGTTTAACATTTTTCTTTCTTATAAGAGTGTTTAGTCAACGTCGATTTAACGTAGTATTAATACTTTCCAAATTTTAAAACATATATTTTTCATAAGAAAATTAAGCTCGAACTAACGTTCATGTTCATCGCAGTAGTTTGTCTCTATTGGGAGAAAAATTTAGACACAGTGTACGCCGCAAAAGTTTGACATCTTGGGACGTTGTCATTATTCCAAACCAAAGGCGCTAAGTTAAATCGTTCTCGACTTGTCCTTAAAGCATTTCCAACACTAAATATTTAGGAGAAATTGTATTGACCAGCATTCCACTCTAGCTAGTTGATCAGGCTAATGTAGACATTTTCTGTTTTTTCAGAACGAGTCATATTAACGTTTTGATTTTTTTATTAGTTTATCCTTTAATTTATAACTGTTTTATAAAAAAAGAAAATCCCATTACCTTTCAAAGTTTGCTGGTTGGTGATGCTGTTTAATTTGGATTACCGATTGGCCGATTAGTCATTTGTTAGATTTTTAATGAAATCTTTGTCGTCTTATATTTGTGTTCTTCTAGTCGTTGGTATCTCTTGACGAATACGTATCTAATTAATTGCATGCATGAGAGGATCAGGTGATATCTTCTTTAATAAATAATTTAATTAATACGATTATTTACTTTCGTTTGAAGTTTGAACCATACATATTGCATATTGCTGATTTTCTGTCTTTTTAATACATGTATACGTACATTATGCAAACCATGCGTTCAAAATATTGATATTTAAAAGGATATAGTATAATGTATACGACGCATTTCTTTTTATTTTACATGATCAACCAATCGATTGTTACATAAGATTTGTCCCTTCGTGATGATTGTGTCCCTATAAGCTGACAAATAATAGCAATCTTTTGTATAACTAGGTGTCCTAAACTAGAGCATAGCGGTCTGCTAATTTTGGTTAAGGCGTGAATCGTTAATGATGAAACAGAATGTACATTTCATGGAAGTCGATATCGTTCAGCTTATAGAGTTAGGCACATGTTAGATATCTAAATGCTTTTAGTATCAAAATTAGAAGCTCTCTTTCGTTGTACTAATTATGTAAAAAGTAAAAACATATGAAGCTATTAGAACCAATGTTTCATTGTATATCTATATCAAACAACTAAAAGTAATGTACGAATGAAGTTTTATAACGGGTCTTTAACGAATGGGCCTAGTGTGCCACATGTATACGTAGATTTAGTGAGCTTCATAAATGGACTTTAAGCCCACAAAGAGTCTTGCTTCTTTTCGAGAACACGCTCGAAGTAAACAATACTCGTATTATATTATTTTTTCCTTTTCGGAAAAAATGATTTACCCTTTTTTATTAAAGTCCCATCTGCCAACGAAGATTCCACCACGTGGCATCAGAAACGTTGACGGTCAAAATAACGGAATCCGTATCATTCGCTGTCACGTTCATACGCCACGACCAATCAGCAGCGTTTATAACGGATTTTCAGACTTTAAGGAAACAAAATCGCTGGACACGTCACGCGTCAATTTTGTACTGTAATAAAAACATCACTGAGATCAATGATCCCATGCACGCGGGACCACGTACGCGTGATAAAGTCTTGTGATCCACACCGTTGATGAAAAAGTTCGATCCATCTAACGGTGGTTTCCTGCAAGTTGAGAAAAATATAAAAATTTTAATTAGAATTTTTAAAAATTTATATAATAATATTGGGAAAGTGGCTGGGCATAAACATGTGCATGCCTGCCTGTATCTTGCAGCCTTCATGTGGATTTATCAGTGCGACACTATCCATCATCAAATATCTCATATCTACACTTTTTTTTTTTTTTTTTTTATATGAAATTTATACATTACATTTAGAAAATAAATATTTATATTCCAAAACCAACGTAGTAGACGTGCCACAAAATCAAAGAGATGTGGAACGGCTTTAAAAGCGCAATCCAGGATTTGGAAAATAGTGATTATTGCCAAAATATTTCGTAGGTGATATTAATCACTGATTGATGTTGTTAAGGAAAATAAATAAAGTTTTGGGCTACCATATTTTCGAATGTTAAATTGACTTTTATATCGTGATCTGACAACGCATGTGTTGATACAATTGTTCACAAATCACATTGCTTAAAATTTCTATACGTATATTTTTTTCATTTCTCACATAGTTGGAAACTAGATATTTGATGAAAGTTTGCTTGTATTGTCATTATACAATGGGGCGTTTTTATAGATTTTTGCCACTAGTTTTACCAAAATCTTTTTTTCAGAATGCTTGAAGTCGAGAAAACGGCTAATGTCTATTAAAAAAACGGCTAATGATTGGTAGACACATCGATCATTTGTTGAGACTTTTCGTAATAATATTTTCATTAATTAAAGAATTCATTGAAATTTCATTCGTCGAGAGTTTTCAACAAGTTCTGAATATGGAAATAAAATATCATAGTCTATATAATATGGAAACAAAAAAAAATGCATATATTTCCACAATTACCGTTAGTACTTAACAGTAGTAAATAGTGACACATGATATACATTTGACGGCTCTGATCGAATAAAAAAGAAAGTTGTACTAACAGACTTTATTAAAAGACAAGCTAAAATGAAAAATAATTATTTTAGAAAAATATGAGAAGGGCAATTTCTGCAAATGTTTTGAGGAAGACAACCTGTCTTCTGTGTTAAAAACCAGGTCTGCCCTACAATTATATAGTTATCTCATTTTTTGTATATAATAAAGTGTTCATACTTAAAATTCAAAAATACAAAGCATCCAAAAAATTCAAAAAAAAAAAGAAAAGGAAAGAGAGAATTTAGAAGATTGTGCCAGAAAGTCAAGACCCACAAAAACATCATTCATATGTGGAATTTCTTTTTTTTTGGCTTATGTATTGCACACAAAAAAAAATGTAAACATCAAAAAAACCAAAAAAAAAAAAAACTTTTTCTACATAAAATTAGGAAGAAAAAATCACCAGATCAGTCTCTTATATCAGAAAAAAAACTTTTTTTCACTGTTATTTTTTTTAATTCTTGGAGAAGAATGGTCAAAGTTTAGAATTTTTAATAGTACAGTTTTATTTATCAAGAATTTGCAGATATCAAGAGAGGAGGTTGAAGACAGCGAAGCAAATGTTTATGCAGCGGACCCAACACAAAGATATATACACACACGCATATAAATATATATAAATACAGCGAAAAAGGTAAAATTGGGTCTCTGGCTTTTCCTCATATTTTCAATTGCTTCTCTCTTCTCTCTCTCTATAGCCATTGTCGTGGGTTCCCACTAGCAGCTTTCTTGTCTTCCTCCATTTTCTTTTCCTTCATTCAACAAAAACAGAGGTTTTTTGCCTCTTCCTCTATTGTTTCACTCTTTAGGTACACACAAAAATTCACTCTTTTTCGTTTTCTGTGAATCGTTTTTTTTTTCTTTGTTGGGAGGGGAAAAGTTACAGTTTTTCCTTTGTTTTGGATCAAAATTTCGTTTTTCTTAAGAAAGCTTTATAGAGAGAGAGAGAGAAAGATTGAAACTTTTGATGTGAATTTAGGGTTTGTGAATTGGGGAAAAAGCAATCCAGAGATGGCTCAACAGAGACAATTTCAGATGGAAGGTAATAATAATAATAATACGAACGATACCAAGTTGACGAAAATCTTCGTGGGAGGATTAGCTTGGGAGACGCAAAGAGATACAATGAGACGTTACTTTGAACAGTTTGGTGATATCGTCGAAGCTGTTGTTATTACTGATAAGAACACTGGAAGATCCAAAGGATATGGATTTGTATGTTCCTTCTCTCTCTCTTTTTCGTTTCTCAGATGATAAAGTTTTATCTTTTTTCTCTGAAAAATTGATTGATTGATCAGGTGACGTTTAAGGAAGCTGAAGCAGCGATGAGAGCTTGTCAGAATATGAATCCTGTGATTGATGGAAGAAGAGCTAATTGCAATCTCGCTTGTCTTGGTGCTCAAAAACCTCGTCCTCCTACTTCTCCTAGACATGGTTTGAATGGAAACTCTCTCTTTTTTTCTCATCTCTAGAATGCAATGGGAACTAGCTTTAGGGTGATTGAAAAAATCTCATCTTTTTACTTGATTAACACGTGAAGGAGTCAAAAAAAGTTGTTTTATGATTCTTCGAGGAAACTTTATTTGCAGGAGGAACAGGTAGATTCAGATCACCAGGATCAGGAGTTGGATTAGTTGCTCCTTCTCCTCAGTTTCGAGGCTCTTCTTCTTCCCCTGCTTTCGTTCATCAACAACAACAACACACTGGTCAATTCCCATTTCCTTACTCTACTTACGGGTAAGCATTATATCATCACAATCGATTCTGGTTACTGTGTGTGTAAGCTAAGCCTAAAATGTTTGTGTTTCTTCTTCTGCAGGTTTTCTGGTTATTCTCAAGAGGGAATGTACCCAATGGTTAGTTCATTTCCTTACAATGTAGAATCGTTTCCATTTCACTGATAAATCCTTTGAAGTTCTTATGTATGTGTTTTTTGTTTGTTTGCAGAACTACTACAATCATCATCTCTATGGAGGACAACAATTTTCACCGTATATGGGACACCCATCATCAGGATCAACAGGAATGTTCCATGGTTTTTATCCTTTCTATGCTCAATACAATGCAGCACAAAGTAGCAGTCAGGCACAAGCTCAAGTTCAACATCACCAAGGTTTCAGCTTTCAATACACTGCTCCTCCGGCTGCTCCTTTACTGCAATATCCTTACTTGCCTCATCAGCAACACTTCAGTTCTCAGCAGCAATTCAGCTCTCAGCAGCCTCCGCCTCCAATCCTCTCCCTCCCAACCTCTTTAGCTCTATCACTACCATCAACTTCATCACCATCCTCATCAACATCCACCTCAGGTTTGATTTCACAATTCAATCTGAAATTGAAAACCATTTGACACATTGTTTTGAATCATGCTTGATTGTTTGTTTTGTTGTGTATCAGCTGCAACAACAGCAACAAAAACAGTAGTTATTACTACAGCAACAAAGAATGCAGCAACAGCTGAAACTAGCACCAAAGATGGTGATGAAGCAATTACAACATCAACCATCAAGATAGAGGGTTGATTCAGTACTACTACAATAGCCAGAGCAAGGGACAAACTTCATTGTACACTAACTCATCATCGATCTCTCCATCAACGTTCTAGAAACATTCATTTATCCATCGCTTTTAGGATTCTAGAATCTTAATTAGTACTTAGGAGGAAGAAGAAGAAGAAGAAGAAACCATCATCACATTCTTTGTTTTTTTTGTTGTTTCAAGATTCACAATGCATTTTTAGGTTAAAGAATCAAGAGAAAGCATTGGTGGCTTTTTTTTTAGATTCTTAAGAAAACTTGGATTGATGCAGAAAGCATCATCAGATTATTACATTTATTTGGGGATTTTTATTTTTCAGGTTCAAAAGAAATGTTTTATGTCTTCTTTTGAACCTTTTAAGCTTCGGATAAGCTTAAAATCCTTTCTTTTACATTTGTAATTCTTGAAATTGTTATAATTCAATCACATTTCTTCTTCTTATTATTTGTTCGTTTATTATGATTATAATATTGGCTCGTTCTTAGGAAACCTAGAATCTGTTCATCGGTCACTTTCACTTAGAATTTTCTCGTATTTTTTTAATCAAAAGAGACTTAACCTTTTTTTATAGTAATTATTTTGAATTCGTATGATCATTTTCTTTTAACGGTTGTGAGAGTAAAATGATTATTGTCTTTGGATTCCAAAGGGGATCTTATGAAGACAAAAGTACCGGTCAAAAGACCGTTGGAATAAAACGGATCTTTTTTTCTCCCTCAATGGATAATACTATTTCACTATTACTCTTATTTAAACAATTCTAAAATAAACCCAACTGTTGTTTTTTTTAATAACCAAAACAGTTTTATCATATTTCTTTTTTAACTTTTGTGAGAGTTGTAGCTGGAGGGACACATGAAAGTCGTCTTTGTCTGCATTATAAAGAGATAATGGACAAAAAAAAGAAATTCGAAACTCTTATCTGCAGAATTGCTAAAATTATCATGTGAAATTGGATGATTGAGTAAAAACAACCAATGAACACATGATTAGAGTTGTGAAACAAAAAAAAAAAAATTGTGTGAAATCAGACTGAGGTTTTAGTTTTCCAATCAAAACATGATTTAGAACAACAAGTATACAAAAGTGATGGGCTTTTGAAAAACTAAGGCCTTATTATAAAGCCCATTAAATTTTTAAATGTAGACATAAGTTGGCCATAAAAAGCCTTGGATATGTAAACACGCAAGACAATGGTAAGTTGTTTATTACATACTGTCCATATCATCATAGATCGATAGATATTCTTTCCACGCAAAGCAAAGTTTTATAGATGGTTCTAGAATTCCTTTAGATATCCACAGAAAATTGTTATATTCAAAAAATAAATAAATTTTTTTTTCATTTGGAGTCGAAATTTACGCGGCCACTACCAAATTTGATTTAATTAATTAATGCTACTGGCATTTTAATATTGAAATCAATCTAACCCAATTGAAAAGTTAATAACATTGAATATTATTTACTTTTTTGAAAAAGAAAAAAAAGGCCATCCAATTTGAATGATAGATAGAGCAGCTGAAAAAAAAAATCTGACTTTTAAAATTTATTAAATCCAACAAAAAATCCCAAAATCAAAGTTAGCCACACAATTAGAAAAGAAACCCACGTGTCATCCACATGACCACTAGATGATATTCAGACGAATATCTCCACTTCCGTAGAGCGATTAGGTTAATGACACGTGTTAGTGTGGACCTGCGAAGCAGAGGACCACCTCCACCGAATCAGCCGCGATACAGAGAAAATCAAAACAATGGCTCATATTAAGCCACGTCAGCTCAGTGAAGGCCCGCTTTATTACTCACCGTTAATTAGATTTCTCAAATTGTTTATTTGCTCCTGAGAGCTTCTACAACAAAGTCTTCTTCTTTCTCTGAGAAGATATTTTCGTGGTTGTGATCGAAAGATACCAAACTAAAGAGTTTCTTTTTCTTCTTCCTTCTTCTTTACTTCAACATCTCATATTTTCTCTCTCTCTCTCTCCTTCAATCTGAAACGATTAAGATCTAAAGGAGTCTTGTTTCGTTTGTTGTGTTTTATTTTGTACTTTGTTGGTTTTACCAAGTTCTGCTTTTCTCTGTGATTTTGTTTGTTTTGAGCTCTGAATCGATGGGGGAGATTGTTGTTTTAAGTAGTGATGATGGTATGGAGACGATAAAGAACAGAGTAAAGTCATCAGAAGTTGTTCAGTGGGAGAAGTATTTGCCTAAAACTGTTCTTAGGGTTTTGTTGGTTGAATCTGATTACTCAACTCGTCAAATCATCACTGCCCTTCTTCGTAAATGCTGTTACAAAGGTCGATTGATCTTTCCTTTCATTTTCTTATGTTAAAGTTTGCATTTTTATTCATACAAAAATAGAAGTTTGCTTTTTTTTATGTCTTGATTTTGATGATGTTTGGTTTTGATTGAATACAGTTGTAGCTGTTTCTGATGGTTTAGCTGCGTGGGAGGTTCTAAAGGAGAAGTCACATAACATTGATCTTATACTAACAGAGCTGGATTTGCCATCTATATCTGGTTTTGCTCTGCTTGCTTTGGTTATGGAGCATGAAGCTTGCAAGAACATTCCTGTCATAAGTACGATGGTGATCCCCAAAGTCCTTTATACCTCTGAAAACGCCTCTTTGTTAGTTTTTTGTTCTCATGCTTTTTTTGTTTGTTTGTTGTTGTTTGAAATAAATAGTGATGTCTTCGGAAGATTCGATAAAAATGGTGTTGAAGTGTATGCTCAGAGGTGCTGCTGATTATCTTATTAAACCAATGAGGAAAAACGAGTTGAAAAATCTATGGCAACATGTGTGGAGAAGACTTACTGTGAGTTATTTTACTCATTTGGTGTTTGAGTTTTGTTTCCTTGTGTTGAAGTTTGAAAGACTTAATAATTGTGTTTTTGGTTATGAATAATCAGTTGCGTGATGATCCTACTGCTCATGCTCAAAGCTTACCAGCTTCACAGCACAACCTTGAAGATACTGATGAAACTTGTGAAGATTCCAGATATCATTCTGATCAAGGAAGTGGTGCTCAGGTATAATAAATATTACCATCGAGGTTTTACATGATACCATCTAATATGTTCTGGATTGTGTTTTGTTTGAGTTGTGGCTTTGGCTGTGAGATTTTTGCATTGTATAGTTACTTTTCCAGATCTCTTGTTTATCTCGTTTCAATAGACGCTGATATTGTGTACATGCAAATTATGCAGGCTATCAGCTACAATGGTCACAATATGCTAGTGGAGAATGCCAAATCAGTGGATGAAAGAGACGAGTTTAAGGAATCTTTTGATGTGACAATGGATTTGATTAGTGGAATTGATAAGCGTCCTGACAGTCTTTATGGAGACAACAGTCGAGATGAGTGTGTTGGTCCTGAGCTTGGACTTTCTCTGAAAAGATCTTGCTCTGTAAGTTTTGAGAACCAAGATGAAAGCAAGCATCAGAAGCTTAGCCTCTCTGATGCATCAGCCTTCTCAAGGTCTGTGTGTTTCCTTGCTTGAAAATAGAGTGTCTCAAATCTATTGATCAGTGTTTTAATCAATAACTCTACTTAACTTGCAGATTTGAGAATAGTAAGCCAGCAGAAAAAACCGTCGTTGCTTTAGAGGAGAGTAGTTCAGGTGAGCCAAAGACACCAACCGAATCACATGAAAAGTTGAGAAAAGTAAGATCTGATCAAGGAAGCGCCACAACGAGCAGCAACCAGGAGAATATTGGATCATCAAGCATAAGCAGACAATGTGGACAGAACGAGTTAAGCTTCCGTAACCAAGTTCAGAAGCAACATCCGCAAGATTCCCCCATACCGGTAGAATCAAATCGTGTGAAAGCAGATAGCAAGGAAGTAGAAGTTGGTTCTCAAAGCACCTGCAACACCAATGAGGGGATTGGTGGACAAAGCAGTAGCACAGAGAAACCAAAGGAAGAAGAAAGTGTGAAACAACGTTGGAGTAGAAGCCAGAGAGAAGCTGCATTGATGAAGTTCCGGTTGAAGAGGAAAGACCGTTGCTTTGATAAAAAGGTAAGAGACACACAAGCTTCATCATAAAACAGCATCTGAATCAATTACAGGATCGAACTGATTCAATGGATTACAGGTTCGATACCAGAGCAGGAAGAAGCTAGCAGAACAACGTCCACGAGTGAAAGGCCAGTTCGTGCGAGCCGTGAATTCAGATGCATCTACTAAATCATGAAGCTCTCTTGAAGTTTTTCTCTGATTTCTTTTGTTGAATTTATAACAGAAACTTATTTAGCTTTGCAATCTTTAGTGTGCTTTTTTTGTATTTGATTGGCTTCTTCTTCTCAGCTAATATGAGATATTGGGGTAACTTTTGTATATAAGTCTGCAAATGACCAGGCTAAGCTAAAGCACAGTAATTCCAATTTCGTTATGTTGAGAAATATTTCTTCTTTAGACACATCAATAAAAGAAGCTCTCAAAAGTAAAAATCAAATACATGAGAGCAGATGCAAAGAAGACAATGACGTGGTGTGCATAACGAAACCTCTGACTCTGAGGGAACTGAACATACATAGCCATGGAGTTGTAGACGTAGTAGTGGTCAGAATCAAGATTGAGGATACGATCCTGCTTAATTTTTGTGATCTCAAATCTGACTTTGGAATGGGCTTTGCTATATGGACCTTATTTGCTACCAAATTAGACAAGGTATTCCTCTTCTCTTTTCTTATTATTATTTTTCTTTATTTTTATTTTTTAAAAATTAGTTTATGTTTTGTTTTTAAAATATTAATGATTTTAACTAATAAAATTTTAATTTCACTAAAACTTTAAACAAATTTTAAAAAATTTAAATTAATAATTTTAACTAAAACTATGTGAATTTCACTAAAACTTTTTAAAAATTTAGTTTAAGTGTTAAATTTTAAACACGTCGAAAACTACCGCGCCTATGCATCATGTCCTTAGTTGGTCCGTAAGCTTTGGTGTTTGAAGTTCGACATGTTTTCACGTAATATAAGATTTAACACTTGAACTAGTTTTTTAAAAATAATAATGATTTTCACTAAAATTTAAAACAAATTTAACATTTAAACTTTAAGAAAATAATAATTTAAACTAAAACCATGTGAATTTCACTAAAACTTTTTAAAATTTAGTTATACTAAAATTTAAAATAAATTCACCGTAAGATAAATTTATTACTTAAACTAATATTTTCAGAAAATAATATTTTTAACTTATAAAATCATGTTAATTTTGACTAAAAATTTTAAATAAGTAAAATGTTTTTCTTTTGTCAAATTAGTTTAAGTGTTAAATTTTAAATACAATGAAAACAAATCAAGATTAGGCATCATGTTTGTTGTTGGTCTGTAAGCTTTGGTATTATAATAGGTTCAACATGTTTTCACTGATTTAATACTTAAAACTAATTTTAAAGGTTTTTAAATATTTTTCAATAAAATTATTTTAATTTCATTAGTTTTAAAATAAATTTAACACTTAACTAATATTTTTAAGAAAATAATATTCTTCTTTAGACAATTCAATAAACCCTCAAAAGTGAAAACGAAACCCTAATCATTTTGCTAAACCGCTTCTGCGAACCAATCTATGAAACCGATAAAAAAGCCACATGATTGATTGGTTTGAATTCAAAATTTCACCGGTCAGACAAGAAACCCAATCATTGTACGAAGGTTAAAAAAAAAGACAAGAAAATATTACGGTCCATAAAAATCGGCCACGTGGTCGTCGTGTTCACCGTCAACCAAAGAGATTCCGATTAAGAGATGTCGAGGAGATAAGAGAGAAAGGGGACCCAAAAAAGGTTAGGTGGATCTCATGAAATCGGTGGAGAGCTCGCCCATATCTTTTTTTAAATAGCTTTCTTCTTTTGGCCCTGTCCCGAGAGATTCTTATATTCCACCGAATCTTCGATTTCTGCAACTTTTGTATCTCGTCGACTCTTTTCTGGTGAGCCCTTCTTCCTCTCGTTTTTAGGGTTTGGGTTTTCTTCAAAATCTCACCTTTTTTATTTAGCATTGGTCGTATGGTAACGCTCTTGAATCAGTGTATTTGCCTCTGTTTTTATTATTCGTGTTAGGGTTTGTTGATTGTGACACTTTGATTCTCTTTGTACAGTAGTTTATTTACTGGGGTCAAACTTGAATCGGTATTTTAGGGTTTTGACTCTTAAGTTTTGATGATTATTATATGGTGTGAAAGCGTTGACACTAGCTTGTTTTTAAAATCCGTTGTATGTGTTTGCTTGACGAGTTCCTCCTTTCTGTAGCAGTAGTGGGAATGTGGGATACATGTCTTTGTCCTTTGATTTGATCTTTCTGGATAAATTTGCTTTCTTTTCTGTTGAAACAGTTTACCAAGTTCAGAAAACTGTTGTGGTTCTATTGAATTGGGTTTCCTCTATCTTTATTATAGAGGTAACTTATTTGTGTGTTTGTTGATTTTGAGTTCTGTAGATCCATCAGGATTTTCGTTGTTGTCTCATCTTCCCTTAACTTTCTTCCTTTTTATGCAGATGGAGTCTTCAAGCCCCCACCATAGTCACATTGTTGAGGTTAATGTAGGAAAATCGGAAGAAGAAAGAATTATTGTGGCAAGTAAAGTCTGTGGAGAAGCGCCTTGTGGGTTTTCGGATTCTAAGAATGCTTCCGGTGATGCTCAGGAACGCTCTGCTTCTATGCAGAAGCTTTGTATCGCGGTCGTGCTGTGTCTAGTGTTCATGAGCGTTGAAGTTGTTGGTGGCATTAAAGCCAATAGTTTGGCCATTTTAACCGATGCAGCTCATTTGCTCTCTGACGTTGCTGCCTTTGCTATCTCCCTCTTCTCATTGTGGGCTGCTGGCTGGGAAGCCACTCCCAGGCAGACTTACGGGTTCTTCAGGATTGAGATTTTGGGAGCTCTTGTATCTATCCAGCTCATTTGGTTGCTCACGGGTATTCTGGTTTATGAAGCCATTATCAGAATTGTTACAGAGACCAGTGAGGTTAATGGATTCCTCATGTTTCTTGTTGCTGCGTTTGGTCTAGTGGTGAACATCATAATGGCTGTTCTGCTAGGGCATGATCATGGTCACAGTCATGGGCATGGACATAGCCATGGCCATGACCATCACAATCACGGTGGAAACCATAGCCATGGGGTGACTGTTACCACCCATCACCATCATCATGATCATGAACATGGCCATAGTCATGGAGAGGACAAGCACCATGCTCATGGGGATGTCACTGAGCAACTGTTGGACAAATCGAAGACTCAAGTCGCAGCAAAAGAGAAAAGAAAGAGAAACATCAATGTCCAAGGAGCTTATCTGCATGTCCTTGGGGATTCCATCCAGAGTGTTGGTGTTATGATTGGGGGAGCTATCATTTGGTACAACCCGGAATGGAAGATAGTGGATCTGATCTGCACACTTGTCTTTTCGGTTATTGTCCTAGGAACAACCATCAACATGATTCGAAACATTCTTGAAGTATTGATGGAGAGTACACCCAGAGAGATTGACGCCACAAAGCTCGAAAAGGGTCTGCTCGAAATGGAAGAAGTGGTGGCTGTTCATGAGCTTCACATTTGGGCTATCACAGTGGGAAAAGTGCTATTGGCTTGCCATGTCAATATCAGACCAGAAGCAGATGCAGACATGGTGCTCAACAAGGTAATTGATTACATCCGCAGGGAGTACAACATTAGTCATGTTACGATACAAATCGAGCGCTAAAAGCAAAGTAAGATCTGATGAGGGGTTTTTGTATCAGCATTCTCATTAACAATAAAATCAATAAAGTTTCTACATTTTTCACTTTCTCGTGTTCCTCTGCTTTGGTTTATATAGTTATAGTTATATGTCATCATCGTTTGGTTGAGCACAAGTAAGCACTATTCCTCTTCAAGGAAGAAACTTTTTGTCCTTGTTTCAAAAAGGGTGAAAGGACACAACTGCTTAGGACAGATACGTCATCTTAGGTCTGCCTTCATTTAAGATTCATTATCTTCCTAGGAGTCACAGGGCTTTGTGATTGTGTTAGAAACAGAATCTGACTGATTGTTAGGGGTTTAATTGATATGTCACAAGTGGACCATGCTTGTCCTGAGAGTAAGTAACCAGAGCTTTAAGTTACATCAGCAAGTACAATGTAAAAGATGAAATCTCCACAAGGCATTCTTAAAAACCTATGTAAAAGTTGAATCTTTTTTACTTGGTAGGCGGTTCTGGTTCTCTTATTACACAGTAGTATGAACGAGATCTCTAGAATGCAGACAAATTAATTCGTGTTTTCTGGGAAGTTTTTGTGTTGGATCTTGTTTTGGCTGTGTTAGACTTACCACGTGAGATAAACAGAGGCCACAACTGAGAGAACATGGATAAGGTTTCTTCTTGTGAGCTTATTAAGATCGAATCTGTGTTCTTGTTTGTCCTCAAAGAGGTAAAAATTTCGGATTTAATCGATAAGAAAATGTAGTTCTTTGGAATCCTGTAAATATTACAAAGAGGTAAGGGTTAAAAAGGGAAATCTACCGTTTATTTTATACAATAGCTTGTAAATACAAAATTCTAAACAAAGATATTTACAGGCAAACACTGGTTAGTACCCTTAAAGCCAAGGCATCGACAATTGCATGTTTAGCAGATAAGAAGCCACAATTCACGGGTTAACGAAATAAGAGACTTCAAAAGATTCAATTTTTATCTATTGGGTTGCAACGAAAAGCAAGCTTTTTAAGAAATGTAAGAACACAAACCAATGGAAACTCTCTTCTTCTTCTACTTCTTCTTCTTCATCATCATCTTCCGTGTGTTAACAGAAGTCCCCACAATTGTCTGTCTTCGCTGCCAGACAAAACTGCCACAGCCAATAATGTTTCTCTGAGGGACCTTTCTTCTGTCAGAGACTCTCTCTCTCTCTCCTCTTCTTGCTCTGCTCATCCCTCTCACCAACTCATCTTCAGTCCTCAAACAAACATCTCTTCTCATCTTTGTTTTCTTTCCTTTCTTTCTCATATCTCATTTTCAATTTTCCCATTTTCTCTTCAACATCTTCATAGCAATTTAAGACCACTCTTCTATATAAAGCTAACAGCTTTAGCTTCAGAAGCTTTCATAACAAGAAGTGACTAGATGAGTTTTCTGTTTTTACTTCATTAAACTCCACACATTTATTTCTTCCCCATCATTGTCCTTAGAGAGAGAAAGAAAAAGAGCTCAGCTTTCTAATGGAGAGGAGTATTCAAGGACAAAACAAGCTCTGTGTAATGTATCTTATCTCAATTTGGAACGTTTTTGGTTTTTTTTCTTCCTTCTAATCTTTTCTTTCAACTATTGATTCAAAGATGTGGACTTGCATTTACTCCTTCCAAAAGAGTCCACAATGGTTGCATTCAATGCTATCTGTGTTTGTTATACCAAAAACACCAACAAATCTGCTCTCAACTGTTTCCCTCTCTTTGAAACATTCCATTTTTCATTCTAATTTTGTTTCTCTGCACTGACCCACTAACCAAAACCCACACTAGTCTACCCAAAATTAATATCTCTCTTTTCAATCTCACTTTCTCTTTACTCACTTGGTAGGTATCTCCTTCCTCTGTTTTTCTTTTCTTGCAGTGTTTGGATCAAAAAGTGAATGTGAGAAGAAGCCTACAAGTTCAAGGAACTGTAGAGGATCATCAAAGCGTTTCCCTCGAGGAAGAACAACTCTCAACTCCGAGCTTGCTGCAAGATACAACAATTCCATTTCTACAAATGCTGCAACAAAGTGAAGACCCTTCTCCGTTTTTGCCATTCAAAGACCCAAGCTTTCTAGCATTACTATCTCTCCAGACACTTGAAAAGCCTTGGGAACTCGAAAACTATCTCCCCCATGAAGTTCCAGAGTTTCATTCACCGATCCATTCTGAGACCAACCACTACTATCATAATCCATCTTTGGAAGGTGTCAATGAAGCCATCTCAAGCAAAGAACTTCCATTCAACCCACTAGAGAATGCAAATCCAAGACGCAAGCGGAAAAACAACAACTTGGCAACATTGATGACCAGAGAAAAGAGAAAGAGAAGGAGAACTAAACCAACAAAAAACATAGAAGAGATTGAGAGTCAAAGAATGACACACATTGCGGTTGAAAGAAACCGCAGACGCCAAATGAACGTTCATCTGAACTCACTCCGCTCCATCATTCCACCTTCATACATCCAAAGGGTATAAACAAAACCCCACAAATCAAAGTTCCAACCTTTATCAAATGATGTCGAATTTCCTTAACTAATTTTTGTTTGTAATTTCCATAGGGAGACCAAGCATCAATAGTAGGAGGAGCAATAGACTTCGTAAAGATCCTAGAGCAACACTTGCAATCCCTTGAAGCACAAAAGAGAAGTCAACAGAGTGATGATAACAAAGAGCAAATTCCAGAACTCAGTGACATTTCGTCGAACAAGTTGCGTGCGAGTAGTAAAGAAGAACAAAGTAGCAAACTCAAAATCGAAGCAACAGTGATAGAGAGTCACGTCAATCTAAAAATCCAATGCAGGAGGAAACAAGGACAACTTCTCAGATCAATCATATTGCTGGAGAAACTTCGATTCACTGTTCTTCATCTAAACATCACATCTCCAACCAATACATCTGTCTCTTATTCCTTCAACCTCAAGGTACTTCTTACTTGCATAAAAAAAAACCCATTTTTCAAAATCATCGACATTATTGAAAAAATTCAATCTTTTGTTGTTTTTTTTTGTTCAGATGGAAGATGACTGCAATTTGGGATCAGCTGATGAGATAACGGCGGCGATTCGTCAGAGTTTCGACAGCTGATTGATTAATCGAATTAAAAGACGTCCAAAAAGTAAAAATAAAGTAACGTTTACTTTGGTAACTTCGTTTTCATGAGTGGCGAAAATTAAATTCTTTATTTGGTCGTATGTGATTGGAGTCTTCTCGGCATGGAACTTGACTTTCGTTTTAGGGTACTACTCCTCTACAGAACTTGTGGTCCTACTTTGGATTGATTTATTATGAAAGTTTGACCTCTCTCTGCTCTCTCTTTTTGTTTTGCTTTTGCCCTCTCTCTTGGGGTTTGACTTTTGTATCATAAATATCTTATCGTAGTTCTGAGTTCTGACTTCTGAGTATGGGTTTTAAAAGTTCTGAGTAACTGCTAGGCCCAGCCCAACGACTAAAAGCCCATATGTGTTTGTGTATATACAAAATAGGCCCGTCTCATGTTTTTAATCAAGTCACAACATTTCAAATTGTTTCATGAATGAAGTGATTTTGTGTAAACAATAAAGAAGCATCTAGCAATTGACTAATGTTGTTGAACTAAAGTACACTGTTTTCTCATCGTAATGGAAGGTCTAGAAGAACAATGTATTCGGTCATGTTTATGAATTATGATCTTGATTGTAAATTTTTTTATCAAAAACCAACCGTAAAAGTATAGGAATTTCGTATTTTGTATAAGGATTGTGATTAAAAAGTAAATAAAATTATAATAGTTTTATAAATTTCCAAATTGGCTATTAAAATGAGCTCTTTTTATATAATTATTGTACACTATATATACAGTAGCAAGAGAAAGATGATTAACCTTGGATTGAAAGTGAAATTTTGTTTTTAGAAATGAGTCCTAATTTTATAAAAGGAGCCAAAAAACCCAATTCTATCTAATCCAATGAAACTCCAAGATCGTTTCTACGTCCGCCACGTCAGCACTATCCTGATCGGGAAACCCAAAACGAGTGGTCGAATAGTTTCCGACTGGTCACAGAGAAACCATCTCCACAATCCCCAAAACTCTTTCTTTCAACACTTGCTCTCCATTAATCTTTAGATAATAAACCTAATTGTTTCTGTGCGATTCTTCCGAGGCTTGAAGCTCAAAAGCTATGGCTTCTCTTTCAGTCTCTTCCTCTTCGACCATCATCGATTCGAGAGCTCCTCCTTTTCGACAAGCCTCCGCCTCCGCCTCTTCTCCGTCGTGTATTTCACTTCCCACACTTCCTCCGACGCCAATTCAGTCTCATACCCGCGCCGCTAAAGCCACTGCTTACTGTTCGTTTTCCATAAATCTGAAAACTTTTTTTCACTTAATTTCTCGATTTCGAGTTTAAAGTTGCAAACTTTCGAAATGGGTTTCTGATTTTAGGTCGGAAGATTGTGAGGAACGTTGTGACAAGAGCTACTACTGAAGTTGGTGAAGCTCCTGCCACTACTACCGAAGCTGAGACTACTGAGTTACCTGAAATCGTCAAGACTGCTCAAGAAGCTGTAAAAACTCTGCCACTCTATTATACACTTCATAATAATGATTCTGCTTCTTGTTTCTGGGTGTTATGAACTGAATTTGATTGTGTTGGATTGAAGTGGGAGAAAGTTGAGGACAAGTACGCTATTGGTTCTCTTGCCTTTGCTGGTGTAGTGGCTCTTTGGGGATCTGCTGGAATGATTTCGGTGAGTAGAAGAATCATTCCATCTTGGAAACCCTAGTGTTAAGTTTCCTTTATTTGATTCCAAAATTTGTTATTGTGAAACAGGCAATCGATAGGCTTCCATTGGTTCCTGGTGTTCTTGAACTTGTAGGCATCGGTTACACAGGAGTGAGTTTCTTCTTCTACCATCTTGTCTTTGTATCATTTGAATTAAGCTTTAGTGATCCTGTTTTGAGGATATAGGTGATTCATCGCATCACTTTTGGATTTAGGACCGAACCTCTGCAATTTAGTGTATTCATATAGAGATATGATATCAGAAATGGATTGCTGCTTCTCACTAGTGTTTCGAATCTTAAGACTTGTTTAGTTGCTTGTTTTCATTTGTGTGATGGACCTTAACATGTGATTTATTTCTGTTGTTTTTCTATGGCAGTGGTTCACTTACAAGAACCTGGTCTTCAAACCAGACAGGTTAACTAATTCTCTATAATGCTTTAAGCATGTGTTTGCTTTCATATAGTATTATTGAGAATATGAGACTCAAATTCTCGAGGAAATTGTTTGTTATGTGTTTCAGGGAGGCTCTGTTTGAGAAGGTTAAGAACACATACAAAGACATATTAGGGAGCAGCTGAATCAAAGGAGGAAGAAGAAGAAGAAGAGCCTTTTTTGGGGGCCATTCATGAATTCCAATGAAGGATATCAAAAGAATCTAACACAAAGGCCACGTCCTTCCTTCAATCTTTCCTTCTTGTAACTAAATAATTTTCATCCTTTCTTTCTCTGTCTCTGGTCTTTTTAGCTCAAAATATCATCCATTTATGTCAAGTGTTGTAAATTCCTCAAGACTATATATGAGATGTTTTATTTCATTTTCCAAATTTTCAAACTTTTTCACCATTTTGTTTTCTACTTTCTCACCATTCATGCATGGTCTGAAAAATCGACCGAGATTACAAACTGAAATTACAAAAGAAGCACAACAAATTTCCATGAACATTACAGAATAAAGCCTTTTATGGGTCTAAAACAAATAAGCCCAATATAAAAATATGGGCATGATAACTTTCGGTCCATTTGACTATTTGAGTGTGAGAATAGCGCGTGTGGTGAAACGCACAACGATGCGCGTTCGAATGGTGGAGAAGTAGCTGTCTAGATTCCCGGGTCCACTGTTGTTTCTAGTGTACAAGACACGTGTCGATAAAATGGTGGGAGAGATTAACGATCTTTAAGTAGGTCCCACAATATCATGATATTATAACGAATTGACCTTTTTAACCTTTCCGGTAGTCCCTGAACTCGTGGCCTAGAATACAGAGAAGGTTGTGAACAAGTTGGGGTTAAGATGGACAAGAAAGTAAATTCGACAAAAGCTGAATCATCGCATTAGCCACTAACATGTTGACATATGGCAGTTTCTTTGGTAGCCTCGAAATAAATAAATAAAAAGAAATAAATAAGTTTGAGGGCAAAGATAATTATAGTGGCTGAGATTTCTCCATTTCCGTAGCTTCTGGTCTCTTTTTCTAGTTTCATTGATCAAAAGCAAATCACTTCTTCTTCTTCTTCTTCTTCTTCTTCTTCTTCTTCTTCTTCTTCTCAATTTCCTACTGTTTTCTTCTCCGACAAAATCTGAATTTAAAAATGGGATCTTAATCGAATCCAAGCTGACTTTTGTTTATTTCATTGAATCATCATCTCTCTAAGGTACTTCAAAATCGTAAGATTGATGTTTGTCTCATGGTCTTTCTTATTTCTCAATTTGATGAAAAACTTGGCTTGATTGTTTGTTTTTTTCTGTGGATTAGGGGAATTTTGGAAAGAGAAGATCTGAAGTTGTGTGTATAGCTTTTGAGGAGCTTAGTGATGGAGACAAATTCGTCTGGAGAAGATCTGGTTATTAAGGTAATTTAATTAAATCTTTAGGGGAAAATGATTGTTTTAGGTGAAAAAGATTGAGAATTTAGTGAAACTTGAAATAGACTCGGAAGCCATATACGATAACGAAGCAACGTGAAAGGTGGACTGAGGAAGAACATAATAGATTCATTGAAGCTTTGAGGCTTTATGGTAGAGCATGGCAGAAGATTGAAGGTTGGTTTTTTATTTTCTTTATATGTTTTTGTGTTTGCAGAGGTTTTTCTTGTTTTGTTTCTTCTTCAAACTGATTTTTGCATTTTTTTTTTTTGTGTCATTTGGACAGAACATGTAGCAACAAAAACTGCTGTTCAGATAAGAAGTCACGCTCAGAAATTTTTCTCCAAGGTAAAATCGGTTAATTTTGAACTGATGTTCTCATCTTCATTGGCTTAATGGTTAAGACTTATTGAAGCCAGGCAAGTTTTCTGCTTCTTTTTCTTTAGTCAGGAGATAGATTACGTATTAGAGTTTAGTAATGAGTTATAAGTCTTAAGATAGTTGGAGAAATGGTGAGAGTTTAATCGTTTTGTTTGCTTTATACCTATATGTTGTTAATCCACAAACATGTACATAGCATCTTCAGAAGAATGTTAGTTTCTCTTGAAAGTCAGGGGAGATCAAATTCTGTCTTCTTGAAAGTCTTATCGATTCTGAGGTAGTGGCAAAAGTGGGCTAAGTCCTAGAAATTTTTGTCTCACAAGGTGAACCATTTGAATATGTTTATTGTTCCTTGTCACAAGCCATAGAGGTAAACCATTTTTGATTTTCTAGTTTTGTCATTTAAACTTGTTAGTGTCATTAGATTTTTGTTTCCTTGCGTTTGTCTAGAGGGTAACAAGATTACTCTCATCTCTCTCAGGTAGAGAAAGAGGCTGAAGCTAAAGGTGTAGCTATGGGTCAAGCGCTAGATATAGCTATTCCTCCTCCACGGCCTAAGCGTAAACCAAGCAATCCTTATCCTAGAAAGACGGGAAGTGGAAGTATCCCGATGTTAAAAGCGGGTGTGGATGATGGAAAAGAGTCCCTTGGATCAGAAAAACTGTCGCATCCTGAGGTGATTTTCATGGTCAATGACATCTTCTTGTAGTGTGTCATATTGCTCTCTCATGTTATTAATGCAGATTGTGTGCTTTGTTTTTAGATGGCCAACGAAGATCGACAACAATCAAAGCCTGAAGAGAATAATAATCTGCAGGAAGACAACTGTTCAGATTGTTTCACTCATCAGTACCTCTCTGCTGCATCCTCCATGAATAAAAGTTCTATAGAGACATCAAACGCAAGCACTTTCCGCGAGTTCTTGCCTTCACGGGAAGAGGTAAAAACCAATCTTTCATTGCTATTTGAGGTTTTTAGACTTTTCATGAAACTAAACATTGGGGAATAACAGGGAGATCAGAATAACAGGATAAGAAAGGTGTCAAACTCAGAGAATTACTGTGATTTGAATGCAAAATCTCTGGAAACCGATAATGAGCAAGGACCTCAGACTTATCCGATGCGTATCCCTGTGCTAGTGCCATTGGGGAGCTCAATAACAAGTTCTCTATCACATCCTCCTTCAGAGCCAGATAGTCATCCCCACATTGTTGCAGGAGATTATCAGTCGTTTCCTAATCATATAATGTCAACCCTTTTACAAACACCGGCTCTCTATACTGCCGCAACTTTCGCCTCATCATTTTTGCCTCCCGATTCTAGTGGTAGCTCACCTGTTCAAGGGAACTCACCTCCGAATCTGGCTGCCATGGCTGCAGCCACTGTTGCAGCTGCAAGTGCTTGGTGGGCTGCCAATGGATTGTTACCTTTATGTGCTCCTCTTAGTTCAGGTGGTTTCACTAGTCATCCTCCATCTACTTTTGGACCATCCGGTGATATTGAGTATACAAAAACAAGCACTTTACAGCATGTTTCTGCGCAGAGCCGAGAGCAAGAACACTCTGAGGCATCAAAGGCTCGATCTTCATTGGACTCAGAGGAGATTGAAAATAAGAGTAAACCAGATTGTCATGAGCAGCCTTCTGCAACACCTGAGAGTGATGCAAAGGGTTCAGATGGAGCAGGAGACAGAAAACAAGTTGACCGGTCTTCGTGTGGCTCAAACACTCCCTCGAGTAGTGATGATGTTGAGGCGGATGCATCAGAGAGGCAAGAGGATGGCACCAATGGTGAGGTGAAAGAAATGAATGAAGATACTAATAATCCTCAAACTTCAGAGTCCAATGCACGCCGCAGTAGAATCAGCTCCAATATAACCGATCCTTGGAAGTCTGTGTCTGACGAGGTACTTACTTGGACTAAAGATTAACTTCCTTTATTTCAAATCATTTTCTCATACTAGTCTGTTGAAACTTGATATTGTACATTCAGGGTCGAATTGCCTTCCAAGCTCTCTTCTCCAGAGAGGTATTACCGCAAAGCTTTACATATCGTGAAGAACACAGAGAGGAGGAACAACAACAACAACAACAAAGATATCCAATGGCACTTGATCTTAACTTCACAGCTCAGTTAACTCCAGTTGATGAGCAAGAGGAGAAGAGAAACACAGGATTTCTCGGAATCGGATTGGATGCTTCAAAGCTAATAAGTAGAGGAAGAACAGGTTTCAAACCATATAAAAGATGTTCCATGGAAGCCAAAGAAAGTAGAATCCTCAACACCAATCCTATCATTCATGTGGAACAGAAAGACCCCAAACGGATGCGGTTGGAAACTCAAGCTTCGACATGAAACTCTATTTTCATGTGTTCTGTTTGTACTCTGTTTTTAAATATTCAAGATCACTGGTACATTTTCTTTGTCTTTTGAGGCCTTTGTATTTGTTTCCTTGTCCATAGTCTTCCTGTAACATTTGACTCTGTATTATCAACAAATCATAAACTGTTTAATCTTTTTGTCCAACTTCCTATTACTTCAATTTTTGCCATGAGCCCAACTAATTAGGCCCAATGACGTTTGGTAACGAAGGTCAACCAATCCTGAACTGTTATAACTATAAGTATAAGCCAAGATAGTGTATGATTGTCGCTGTTACCAAACGATAGTGCATCGTAACGTGAGTCCCCAAGTTTTTGTTGCGGAGAGAACGATTAACCTTTAGATCTGACACATTTCGTAATTTTTAAATAATCTTTCTTTCAATTCAAAGAAAAAAACTTTGCATACTTCTTCTAGTATTATACGGATACGTAACAATAACAATAGTAAATTTTATGAAAATTGATTAAGACAAAGAGAGTAGTAGCGTTTTGGAGTAAAAATAGGAGAGCTCGAGGTCCAATGGTGCAAAAATGTTAGCTATTCAACGGACCATTAGTCTACTATTCCCCAACTTCTATAATCTCTCTACTTCGCATCTCCACCCTCCATTTTCCCACGTATACCCCTCAGGATCTCAACACGTGGTATATCTCTTTCGCGCTCTTTGGGTCCAATATCCAATTGTCTTTTATAAACCAAAATAATTCGGAAACCAAGTGATTTCTAACAAAAACAACTGTGCACACACGCTTGTCGATATTCAATTTTTTCACAATTCCCAAATTAAAAAATTTAACAAAAATTTCATAATTCCAAGTCCCACGAATGTAGCTTTTGATGCATTAATACAAAGTCTTAAATATTCGTTTAAACATTTATATACAAAACATCTTTTACTCATTGATTGTTCTTGCCGAAAACCTGAGATGCCTCCTCTGTTTCTTCCTTCTTCTTCTTCTTCTTCCTCTGCTCTGTTTCTACTTCTTCTCCTCCTCTTAACTCTCCAAACCCTAACTTCCATCTCTCTCTCTCAGCCAGACGCTCTCCGTTCACCGGAAAAGTGTGGAAACTTCTCAGTCTCCTTTCCTTTCCACCTCTCTTCCTCCTCCTCCGCCGCCACTTTTCGACTCTCCTGCACAAACTCATCCACTCTGTTTCTTCATATAAACCACCAAAGTTACCGAATCATCGAGTTCTTCACCGACGGTCTTCTCGTAGACTTCCCTTCATCTCCTTCTTGTCGCCAATTCAACGACTTACGATCTTTCCCTTTCTCTGCAAATCAATTCTTCTCCATCTCTTTCGAAAACGTAATCGGTCTTTATGACTGTGAAGATTCTTCTCTCTGTAAATTTGGTTGCGAAACCAACGATCTCTTTGGTTGCGACGGCAGAGAAGAAGACGAAACATCCGGCGGAGATATCGGTTGTTGCTACCCTCTGTCCGATCACAGCGCGTGGCGTGCAGGCGATGATTTCTCTGTTTTTAGTAAATATGGATGCAGAGGATTCTCGTCGTGGTTTGTTCCACGAGGGACGAACAGAGGAAAGCGAGGCGTTAAGTTGGAGTGGGCTATTCCAAGAAACTCGTCGGAGGCTATTTGTGATCGTGAGGCTCGAACTGTTAACGCTACGGCTATTGAAGGAAGTGTTCGTTGTGTGTGCCGTGATGGCTTCGTCGGCGACGGTTTCGTCCATGGCACCGGTTGCTTAAAATGTGAGTTTTTGTTTTCTACTTTTCATGTTTTTCGTGTATGAAACAGAGTACGTTTCAAGTAACCTTATTTTACTATTCTAAACAATAAATAAACATATCTGTTTCACAGTTTCACTATGAATATGGTTCGTTGACTTTCCAAAAAACTTAGTTTAGATCATTCAGCTCAGTAATTCAGTTTGCCCTAGTTTTATCAGACAGGTGTTTCTTGAGTCACAAGCAACTTACTTGGTTTACTGTTATAACAGCTTGCTATAAAGACGGAAAGGAATTATATGGAGACAAATGCAAGATCAAGAAACACAACGGAAAGAAACTCACCGTTTTAGCCGGTACTTAAGATAATCTTATCTGAAAAAATTCAAAGTTTCTTTGAACAAAACTTCTTGCTAAAATCATTAATCATATGCAGGTGTTTTGGCTCCTCTGTTCATACTAGGCTCACTACTTGCTCTCTTCTGTCTCCTTAAACGTCCGGTAACAACTCATAAAGACCAGCAGTTCGATATCTCTACATCAACTACTACTACTACTAGTGTTTCGTTTCGCAAAGGTTACAACAAGACTCGTCTCTTCACTTACCGTGAGCTAGATGAAGCCACCAAAGGGTTTCAAGATTCACAGAAACTCACACAAGGGAAAACTGGAACAATCTATTCAGGCAATCTAACAAACGGAACACGCGTGATCGTTCACAAGGTTCTTTGCGAAAACAAGATTGAATTCATGGAGATTTCGTCTCAGATCGATCATCTATCCGCGGTTTTGCATAGAAACCTCGCGAGAATCATTGGTTTCTGTATGGATATTGGATATAACCCACTCGTTGTTTACGAGTATCCGGTAAACGGAGCGCTTGGAGATAGATTGCGTCTAGGGCTTGATTGGTGCAAGAGAGTTAACGTTGTAGCTGAAGTAGCTGGTTTACTCGCGTTACTTCAATACGAGAACTATCCACCGATTCTACACAACAACATTGCTTCTGGATACATCTTTTTAGACGAAGATTTTCAAGCTAAAGTCACAGGTTTTGGTTTACAGAGGAAACAGAGGATTGATACTAGTATGTACGATTTCGCGGTTTTGCTTCTAGAGATTGTGACTGGTTTAAAGCAGAGAGAAGAGACAGTGACTCAAGCGTTGCAGAGGATTAGAAGCGGTAAACTTGAAGAAATCGTGGATCCTTCTATGTATTTTCATGAGCAGCCTGTGGCTTTTAGAGAACAGATTGGTTTAGTAGCTGATATCGCGACTCGGTGCGTTTTGTTTGGTGGTGATGGGAAATTTGGAATGGTTGATGCAGCTAGAGAGCTGTTACAGATCGCTGGAAACAACGGTGGAGGCGGTTGCGATAAGAAAAGAGATGGAATTGAGGAAACGTTTTCGAATTCGAGTTTACTTCAGATGATTTCTATGTCTCCTGATTCTATCTATCTCCCTAAGACCTAAAACAAAAACAGAGGAAGTTAAATTTGTTTTGAAAGTATGTAAATTTAAAACGCTTTGCTTGAGAGTAAAGAAACGTTTTTTCTCGATTACTAGATCGTGTTCTGAAAAAAAAAATCGTGACTGCGATTGGAATACACGATTATAACAACGTGCAGGCGAAGAGCAAGAAGAAACACCATAAACAAGTACAATGTTTTGTATTTTTCCCATTTTTAAACAAATTAAATATTGAATTTTCTAACAAGGAAATTGAAAGGCTGAGAAAGAATATCTCTGGAATCATCAAATTCGATTTTGACCAAATCGTTATGCTATTATTAAACTCTGATTTCTCGTGTATATATATACGTAGCTCTGTTTTTGCAGAACTTACATTTCTTTTTGTCCCTTTGAAACAAAAGAAGATCCAAAGGTAATTTTAATACTAATTCTCTGATTGTTTCTTTGTTCTGTTTTCTACTTTTCTTCTTTCCAAATGCTCTGTTTTCTTCTTCACAATCAATAAGTCTGTTAATTTTTGCGATTGATTGATGTGATCATCATAGATGAGTGAAGAAGCATATGAAGAAACTCAGGAATCGAGTCAATCTCCTCGTCCAGTTCCAAAACTGAACGAGAGGATTCTCTCAACACTATCCAGGAGATCAGTAGCTGCACATCCATGGCACGACCTTGAGATTGGTCCTGAAGCTCCACTGGTCTTCAATGTGGTATGTCTCTAACCTAACAACCCAAATAAGCCCTCTTTAATCTATCTCTCTTGGTCTGTTAACGAGAGAGACGCTCTTGTCAGGTGGTTGAGATCACAAAGGGAAGTAAAGTGAAATATGAACTCGACAAAAAGACCGGTCTTATCAAGGTAATGTGAAATCCCTCAGATTGTGATTTTCTTTTCTTTTATACGTTATGATATTGATGACATTGAAATCGATCTCAGGTTGATCGGATCTTGTACTCGTCCGTTGTTTATCCTCACAACTACGGATTCATCCCCAGGACATTGTGTGAAGACAATGATCCTCTTGATGTTCTTGTCCTTATGCAGGTAAGCCTGTTTTCACAACCATCAAAATTTTCATCAAATACCACATTGTGTTTTAACATGAGTTAGCTTATGATTCGTGTAGGAACCAGTGCTTCCCGGATGTTTCCTCCGTGCTAGAGCCATTGGATTAATGCCCATGATTGATCAGGTTTCTCCTCTCAACTCCCACACATTGCATAGATATTTCTTAGAGATCATCCAAAAGTGCAAGCTTTTAAAAATTGATATTGCATAAGAAATCATCAAAATCAAACTTGCAATCCAAGAAATCCAAAATTTCCCTTGATCTAAAAGTAAAAGCTTTGGATAAGGATCAAAACCTGCAGTAATGCCAAATACATCTGAGCTTTGATCTTGGTAATAATTTAAGCTTCTCCGGTGAACATTTCAGGGAGAGAAAGACGACAAAATCATCGCCGTATGTGCTGATGATCCAGAGTACAAACATTTCACAGACATCAAACAACTCGCTCCTCATCGTCTCTCTGAAATCCGCCGTTTCTTCGAAGATTGTAAGATCCTTTTTCTATCCACATCTGACAAAAAAAAACAATCAATCAAACTAAAGAACCCTAATTAATCGCGTTTGGTTTTAGATAAGAAGAACGAGAACAAAAAAGTGGCTGTCAACGATTTCTTGCCATCAGAGAGTGCACATGAAGCAATTCAGTACTCCATGTAAGATTTAACAAAACCCTAATTAAACCCTAAAACCGCAAACTTAGTTTGAAAAATAATAAAAAAAATCTGCATTGTTTGTGAAAATTTACAGGGATCTATACGCTGAGTATATTCTCCACACGTTGAGGAGATGAACAACGACAACCACCACATTATTTTTCTTTACGCGAAAGAGATGATTCTTCGCAGCATCCGCATATAATTATTTCAAATATCCACAATCATATGATCGGCTTTTGCAGTTTTTTTTTTTGTTTGAATTTTTTTACTTGTGATGTTGCAATTTTGTTCAATTGTATAATTTGAAACTGATATGATGATATAATGACAAACGCAGTTTTGCCTAATCTCCGTTTATTATTACATGGTGCTGACTTTTCCACTAAATGGCCTTTAAGAAGCTCTATAGGCCCAAATAAGATGGGCCATTCCGTTAGAACCATCTCTGATTTCATATAAAATAGCTAGAATTTAGGGAATAAAAACTATAACAAGTGTATACGAACCAATCAAAAACCAATATATGAACCGACACGTGCTAAAATCGACTTTAAAGAAAAAAAACTAACGAAAGATCTCTGTGCACTAGATTACAGTACAGTGAATAGAGAGAGATATACATCATACAGATTTATTATAGTTGGCAAATATTGAGATAGTGTGGATCCAAATGAGAAAGCGACTAAACATGAGTAGCACATATTTAGACAGAGAATGGGCTTTTGGATTTATCATCTATATATAATCGTATTTACTTTGGGCCTCACTTATTTTTTTCCCCTCTTTTAGGGACCACACCTACTCTACTCCAATTTTTTTTTTTTAATAATTGTAATAATCAACTAAATGACGATTTATTTTTCTAAAAATATGGTCCGACATGGGTACGTGTGTGTATATATAGTTATGAAGATTTAAGAGTGTGAACAGTAAAATGAATGTGAATATATAAGAGCTGCAGGGGAAGCAGACTTTCGCTGCTACTGCAGAGCCTTTTTATATTCATGGAGTCAATTAATACATTATTATATAACCTATGAAAGTGTAATAATATAAAGTTACAATTTTATAAGGTCAATAAATACACATAAAATCAAATTTTTGCAAACAAAAACCTCCAAAGTCCAAATTCAATAGTGTTTTTGGCCTTCAGAGTTGAGACAACCTGAGAGGTTTGATTCCTTTGTATCCATCCTTCCATACAAAACTGACCCCACCTTATATATATGCATTTATATTTCATCAATTTATTTGTTATCATTATCAGTTTATCACTCATTTGTTTGTTTGCTTTTAGTTGTAATATTATATAAGCTAAGTGATACCATTAAGTATATATCTATACACTAACAATAATTTAAAAATATAAACCTTACTAAGAAAAAAAATGTGAAACTATTTCGAAAACTTTTTATTATTTTCACTTTCTTATGAAAAATAATAAATTCTAAAATATATCTGTATCAGACGGTAAATTCAAATAAAATTTGAATCCACTATAATCTTTTTGAATTCAATCTATATGTTGAATACTATAATAATTAAGGGTAAACTTAAACAAATAAATTCTTCATAATATGTAATTAAGTTACATATATAGATTGAATAAAATAATACTATTGAAAACAATAAACATGATGAAAAAATGGAAATCTTGGCTATACGAATCTAAATTTCAGGAATTGGATAAAGGCAATAAGCATTAACTTTTCTTCTTCTTTTTTTGGCACATGAACTTTCAAGATGCATGCTTAAAGACCAATTATGTTGTTTAAATAAAGGAGAGGGTTGGCTAGAGAGAGAGAGGGAGATGGAGAGAAGAGAGTCCTAGACTCTGGGGGCAAATTGACAACTGGAGCATGTTGTTGCCATTATCGCACCACCGATTCTTCATTTTTAAAAGTTATAAAATTAAACAAAAAAAATGGACCGCCTTCGACTTCACCACTACCTCTTCGATGGCGACCGATCTTATATGTATTATTATCATATCTCTTTTATATTCAATAATGGTCGATTTAATTTAATTAACACGAGTGACTCTACGCAGATCGCGTCGGTCCAAAAACACCTACAACAAATTTATATTATTTTACAGTTTCTTTATGAAAAGAAAACAAAGAAACCCTAATTTTTAAAGGCTACGTTTTCTTGTCTTGCCCTCACACACACCTCGATGGATCGAGCAAAAGCCAGGCCTGCCCTTGCCCCAATCCATTCATCAAACTATTTATATCATATATATTATATTCACCAGTGTTTTTTCTCTTTTTTTCTGCGAATAAAATGTATAGATTGGATAGATATTTACAAGTTTTGGTCTTTGTTAATGGTTAATCTAAAAAAACTTTCCAGATGATTGTTTTAATTTTGAGATGCAATTACAATTCATGAGGGTAGATATAGAGTTTGGCGTTGGCATTTGAAAGGAGGGGAAGACTCTAGTGGGATAAGAGGGTTTAAGGAGATGGACAAAAGAAAGTAGCAACGAGTGGGCATTTAAATTAACAAGACTTAAATAAGTGCAAGTCTGTTTTTTTCAGTATATAATTACAAAGTGGTCCTTACCCTAACCCCATCTTTTCTTCTTTCATTATCATATGCTAATATCTCTCTATATATTCACACCAACTCTCCATCATTATCATAAGCTAATTTGGTACATTAAACTACTACCATAAAGTGGGTTTGCCAAATCATAGTTTAATCCCACAAACAACAACTAATTTGTGTGGGTCAATTCAAACGTTTGTGTGGGTCAATTCAAACGATAGTGTGACATAGATTAGGGTACAAAATTGGAAGGTTAGAATCGAGAGCTAAGAGACCACTGAAAGATTGATTTGTTACGGTTGTAATTATTAGACTATTTTTTATGAAATTGGTTGTAAAATTTTGACTCTATTTTTTTATAACAAATTGTTTGCCGTTAAAAGTAATGAACACTACATAATACATATTATTGGCTTTTGAAAGAAAAAACAAAACAAACAAAAAATGGACTGTGAGAGATTTTTTGAAAGTAAACTTATGCTCCAAACAACTACATGCTCCATTAATCATTTTAGTCGCATTGCAAATTTGCAAGTTTATCTACTAAGAAGATTGTCTATAGGCTAAGTTGATGCATTTTTGAAGTTCAATTCAAATTTAAAACTATGAATGACTTTGATAGGAATTGAAGAGTAAGATGTATAGAAATAGAGAGGTCCCCTTGGCTAATAGGGCATAGCTTTGAAAAGGACGACGCTACAGTTTCCTCGTAATTTCTTGATATTTATTGTGTTATTCTTTCTCTCTCTACAAGAAATTAAAGTTATAGAGAGATGATCATATGTAAATATTGAGAAAGAAAAAAAAATAGAGTGGAGAACAAAAAGAATAGTGGTCATAGATATAAAGAAAGAGTTGATCGTATTGCCTTTAGTTGTGCTTCGCTATTTTTGCAAAATTTGGAAAAAAAATTATCCGTCATATTTATGTTGCTGATATTATCCAGCCTAATATTCAATTCATTCAGTCACATATTAATTAGGGGTGACATTATAAGATGCGCGTGGGCAACAACCCCCTTTTTTTATAAATCAACAAAGAAAAGAAGATAAGCCATGCAATGATATGATTAATAAAAGTAAATTATAGCTAGTACTTATCATATGCAATTTGATATATATTATTAGAATTTTCATTAAGATGCAAAACTTTCCTATAGTTTTGATAAAGATTCGAATCAATAACGATGAAACAGAAGAAAACAATGTATCGACTAGAGGCTTTAGTGTCCAACCAATTATGTACTGAGGAGTGAGGATGAGATATTGGACCACGTTTATCAATGTTCCTTTACCTACTGCTTTATCATGTCAAGTTTCTAATTTTCTTGCAATCCAGTTCAGCCGTCAATGAAAAGATGTGATAAGACTGATGGTAAAAAAGAAGAAAGTTTAAGTAGTACGTAATCGACTAATAACGTCGATTAACATGAAAATACGACTATACTAGCTACTACATCATCAGACTAGTACAATTCTATTTTAATAAAGTTATAAGCTTTAATCATTAACCAGCCATTCATTAGACTTAAACCGAAATTGGATAAAGGGAAGTGAAGGGTGCTTAGTCTCTTTCAGGACCACGTACGAACACAATTATAAGATTAACACTGACTATACGTGAAAACTGAAAACAATCAATTTATTAGTTGTTAAGGGTTTGCCAGGTTTCAAGTGTTACGTGTCATGTCTAGAGCAACATATGTAACGTTACTATACTAACATTGTTACATGCTGTTAGTACGATGCGCTGGAACAAACAAATGTATCGATTTTCGTTTTATGTAAGAAAGTTATATATCTTGAGCCATAAACTCTAAGATTCTTTGGCCGGTCCAAGAACAAGACCATGTCTATTATTATTATTTTATTGATTAAAGAGAGGTTCTTAACTTCTTATTTTTTTAGAAAGTTTTTCTCTCTCATGAGTCTCATCGATGGATTTTGTGACATTCCAAGTGAGTATATTATCATGATTTTGTGAATTCCATGGAATTGAACGCATATGCAAATGTAGTTACACATGAGTTAAAAAATATATATTTTGCAAAAAATGCTAATATAACTAAGAGTATGGGCAGTGGGGCAAGCCTGTGGGTGTGAGTCTTGGGGTGTAAGTATTAAAAAAACGAAAAAATTGTCTCTCTCTTCACACCCGGGTGTAAGTTTACACTCGGGTGTAACACTTTTTCTCTCTATCTCTCTCTTTCTTTTTTTTTTTTTTTTCTCTTTTGCTTTAAATTATAATACTAAAAAAATACTTACACCCACACAAACACATTTGCCACTGCTGATGGTCTAATGCATGATTAACTAAACAACTATCTCATTTTTAGTTTTTCGTGTGTTTATAGTTCAATTGCAAAAAAAAAAAATGCGGCTTTAATTATTTTTTTGTTGTTTTTTTTCTTTTTCGATTTGATCACCCTGAAATATTATAAAGAAGAACGATTACGTACGATATCAAGGTATACACATATTAGTGACTTGTTTTCTTTGTTGGGTTACCTTAATGTTAATTATATATATTCCAAAAGCTATCATAAACTTTACAGAAAAATCTTCATTCAAAACAAAACTTTAGAGAAAATTGTTAGGTTCTTTGGGGACAGTTACAAACAAATTAGGCATTAAGAGGATATATACCATAGATGGTGAAGGTATAATTAAATCAAAGAAGAAAGAGTAGATAGATTAAGAGAGGTTATAAAAGGTGTCGGCTAATGAACCTTGAAAACTCGGAACCAGAGTGACTTTTTTTTTTTAATTGGCTATAAAAGGTTCCGTTAACCGTATAAGTATAATAAGTTGAAGAGTTGTAAATTAATGTATATATTCTTATATAGTGATTATGTATCTATCAAGATCTAGATTGGCCTGGCCAGTTCATTTAAAGAAAAAGTAATCAGCCAACCAAACATTATTAAGATGGAGATTGTTAGGTAATCTGATCATAATATTGAGAAAGCGTGATTACCAAAAATATGATATTTTCTCAATCCGCAGATGAAAATTGACTATTCAAATACTATTAATCTTTCAAGCAATCATTTAAAGATAAACTAAATACCATCGGTAAGTAGATCAATTTAAGAATCCTTCATATTATTGGTTTATTAGGCAAAAAAAAACACTTAATACGTATTTTAATTTTAGGGTTAACAATCACGTTCCAGACGTACGAGATGTCTGTTATAGCTCAGTTGTTACTTGTTAGGGTTTATTCTGATCCTAAAAATGAAATTTAATTTAAGATAGAAATAAGAAGTTATTATGTCGTCGAAGATATGTATCAAAATAATATTCAAGAAATATTAACCAATACGTTTAATATCAACTTTTTTTAAGTTGGAAACTCATAAGATTTTTAAAATTATATTCACAGTTTTTAGCTAGTTTTGATAAAAAAGCACTATGGTTTTGATGTTTTATACCAGACATGATGCAACGTAGCAACGAGTACACAAAAATTGTAAGTGCAAGAACAAACGAAATAAAGTGGTCATTGGATTGGAATTACAATAAAGGACATGTAAGAGGTATAAATGTATGGATTAATATAAAAAGCATCTCTTACAAGTGGGAAAAGTATATAACAATTGTTGCAATTGTAAAACATGTAACACTCAAACAAACACAATATATTACACATATAGAGTATATGTGTGTAAATTGTATTATACCAAGAAAAAAAATTAAGAAAGAGAAGGGGAACCATAACAAAAAGTCAACAGTAAAGACCAAGACTAAAACAACACAAAAAAGCTTTGTGAAACCAAAATTGCAGCAAACCCATAAAAAGGTTTACTTTTCGATAATTAGCATTTATTAGGACGAGATTGTTGATTAATCATTTGATTATTTAAAGTTTTAAGATCCTAAATCAAAGAAAAAACAAGAATTTCTCCCTAAGCCCACGACATTATCAGCTCTCTTCTCCTCATATCCCAACCATCATCTACTTTAATTTGTATTCGTTGGACAAATCTGATTTTTATTTTTGTTCGATCTCAAGCATTTTAGGTGGCAAATGAATAATATGGGGAATTATTTAAAGAAATATTATTATGTAAGGAAATTAAAAAAGAAACTAGAATGGTGGTAAAAGGACAATAAGGTCACATGAACTGAACCAGATTTATTCATGGGTCCCTCTAAATTGGTTCTCTTGCCCATATCTCTCCATCATTCTCATCATAACACTGCTGATTTCTCTCTTCTTGTTTTCTCATTCTTCTTCTAAAAAATCTTGACAACTTTTTTTTTTTGTTTTTGTTTTCTTTCTCTGGATTTAAAAGAGCTATAGCTATTGCTTGAAACAGTAAGAGATATAGATATAGAGAGACAGAAGAAAGATGATGATCAGTGAAGTTAGGCTAAACCCACTTTCTATTTATGTATAATTAGGTCAATCACATCACCAATCTCACCTTTTCTCCTCCTCAAATTCTCTTCCTAAATCTAGGGTTTTGCTTGTATCTCCTCCTTTCTCAATTCCCTCCGGAAGCTGTGAATTCATCAATTAATTCCATTCTCAAAACCAATTCTTGGTCACACCCTTAAGAGATCTGAGTTCTAAAGATGATGACAGATTTATCTCTCACAAGAGATGAAGATGAAGAAGAAGAAGCAAAGCCCTTAGAAGAAGAAGGAGCAGGAACAAGACAAGTAGCAGAGAGAGAGCACATGTTCGACAAAGTTGTGACTCCAAGTGATGTCGGAAAACTAAACCGACTTGTGATCCCAAAGCAACACGCAGAGAGATTCTTCCCTTTAGATTCATCTTCAAACGAGAAGGGTTTGCTTTTGAACTTCGAAGATCTCACAGGCAAATCATGGAGGTTCCGTTACTCTTACTGGAACAGTAGTCAAAGCTATGTCATGACTAAAGGTTGGAGCAGATTCGTTAAAGACAAAAAGCTTGACGCCGGAGATATTGTCTCTTTTCAAAGATGTGTCGGAGATTCAGGAAGAGATAGTCGTTTGTTTATTGATTGGAGGAGACGACCTAAAGTCCCTGACCATCCTCATTTCGCCGCCGGAGCTATGTTCCCTAGGTTTTACAGCTTTCCTTCAACGAATTACAATCTTTATAATCAGCAGCAGCAACGTCATCATTACGGCGGTGGTTATAATTATCATCAAATTCCGAGAGAATTTGGTTATGGTTACTTCGTTAGGTCAGTGGATCAGAGGAATAATCCGGCGGCTGCGGTGGCTGATCCGTTGGTGATCGAATCTGTGCCGGTGATGATGCACGGAAGAGCTAATCAGGAACTTGTTGGAACGGCCGGGAAGAGGTTGAGGCTTTTTGGAGTTGATATGGAATGCGGCGAGAGCGGAATGACCAACAGTACGGAGGAGGAATCATCATCTTCCGGTGGGAGTTTGCCACGTGGCGGTGGTGGTGGTGGTGCTTCGTCATCCTCTTTCTTTCAGCTGAGACTTGGGAGCAGCAGTGCCAGTGAAGATGATCACTTCACTAAGAAAGGAAAGTCTTCATTGTCTTTTGATTTGGATCAATAATAATGATGATGAAATATTAGTTGGTATTTTAAGAAAAAACATACATATATAATGCTATATATATGACAACATAATGCATTGATTTCATTATAAATTTATCGGAGAAATGATATATGTTCTAATAATATGCATGGTCAATAGAGAAATTCTATGGATTCCGATATAGTCTTTTGTTATGTGTTCTTGAAAATGTTGATTATGTATATAGATGAAGTAGTACTACTTCTAGCATTTGTAAGTCTCTTTTTTCATTGCTCTCAATTATATATCAATGGATCAAATTATTATTTACATTTGGCAAAACAGCTCAAAGATTAAGTAATAAGATTGTAAGTCTGTATATAGAGTAGGAAAAAATGGGTACAAATAAGTGAGATATTATAAGAAGAGACATGAACTAGGATTGGGATCAGTGTAAACCCATGTCTCTCTTGTATGTCTCTGTGGTCAGAAAGTTTCAGAGTTTGATGGGCTGTCTTAGAAAAGTGAATTGTCTCTATATATGTATGTGTGTGTGTGTTGCATTTTGTATTTATATGTATATATGTAGGTCATTAATTATTGCCCCTGCAATTAATTTGGTGATGGGTTTCTATGTTTGGTTACTAAATATGGCTGCTGCTGCTGCTTTTTCTCTGAAGCTATTGCTGGATATTAGTTAGGCAGAGTTGCAGGAGATGGGCAGTGACAAAACAATAATTAAAAATCTTGTTTCTTTATATCATTGTGATGTCTATATTAGCAAAAAGAGAAGAGCTTCGTTCTTTTTCTTTTTTTCTTGGGGCGATTGAAAAAGGTATGATCTGTTTTCACATATATTTTCTGATGCATTAGTTAAATTATGAGACCCTATATTAACAAAAGCTGAAGGCTATATAATTAGGAAAATTTAAAAATCAATTTTACTTTGTGGTCAGTTATGCTTTCTGTTTTGGGTTTCTCTTTGCGTCTCTTGGTCTGAGCTCTGAAGTATTATTACACAATACATATACATTGCAGAGACACATTTAATGTAAATAACATTATGTTTATACACATAGGTTATTACATGCATGTGATGATGATATGTAGATCATACACAAGTAACTAGTATGATTTAATTATCACATGTGTGTACTATATAGCTAGCATCTAGTTATAGTTTTATGATCTGGTTAATCATTACTCATATGATGGTTATGGTTTTGTTATAGTTTTATAAACGCATAAGTTAATCTCAAATTTAGATTTAGGGTTTATGCATAGAGTATAGCTAACTCATCTCATACTAAAGGTTTGCAAATGAATTTTGGTGAAGTTTAAAGATGCATACGTCCACGTCCAGAGCTAACATATAAGTTTTTAAAAGTCGTGATATTAATCCATTATCATCAAACACATGTTTCCGTAAGTCGTATTTGAATGATTTTCAATTTTAGTTGTACTAGAGATTGCCAATTATTAAAGTACATATTGTTACTTTAAGAAAAATCATTGAAAGATTACAGTTACGCATCAACTGAAGTTTCATTTTAGCGAGTGTATAATATATACAATAATTATATACTCCCTCCGTTTCAGTTTAGTTGTCGTTTTAGGATTAAAATTTTGTTTCATAATAGTTGTCGTTTTAGGTTTTCAATGCAAATGTTTGGTGAAAATTAATGTTTTGTCATTAATGTTTTAATGTTTTGACCAATGAAAAAATTATAAAATATATTAATAAAGGGTAAAACAAAAAATTTAATGATTTTCTTAATTTGTGTGCAAAAACCTTAAACGACAACTAAAACGAAACGGAGGGAGTAGTGTTTTACGTTTTCGCATAAACATTTGTCATTTCAATAAACACTGATTAAGCTATAGATTTTTGGGAGATTTAATTTGCAGATACTTCTATTACTTTTACAAAACAATCACGTTGGTTGTGATATTAAGGGGGTGTTATTGGTTTATTAATTTGTAAATCCATATAGAATTTGAAAATTTCTATTAATTATGAAATCAAGATATATGGATTTTGAAATAACATGTGTTTACCCATGGATTTGAATTCTTCTATTTTTCTCTTTCAATTCCATTCAAATCCATTTAAAACATAATTTGGATTCTCAAATCCAAAAACAAATGACTAAACGAATAACAAAGGATTTTAACTAGTATTTATAATTCATAGAACCAATAACACATGATTTTAATTAGGATTTTAAAATCAATGATTGAATAACAAATGATTTTTGTTTGGATTTCTAATTCCTTATAAATCCATGAACCAATAACCCCTCCTAAGTTTCACGAAAAAATTATGGTAGAGTAGTAGTACATTTGAATAGATTATGTGTTCATGAAAATTTTGAAAATATTTATAAAATGGCAATTTATGAAATTTCTCTAAAATTTTAGATTAGTCTAGCAAGATAGATACATTAGAAAATATATAAATCTAGGATATAACCTTAAAATCATGCTTAAGATTGGCTTTTGTACTCTCTTAAAAATCTAGGATATATATAAACGTTAATTATCAAATTTGGTGATTTTATTTTTTCGTAATTCCTGGATTTGTTTCAATTTGATGTGGTGGATTATATAAACCGTAAGATAACTTCAAATCCCAAGAGATTGATGTGAATGAGAATTTTAGAAATTAACTAGAGAAAACGTTATATTTAAATGACGTGACAATTGAAAACCCTAGTTAGAGGAAAGGATTGGGGATTTTCCCGACTCTGTTGGCGGCAAAAATCCCAGACAAAAACAACATACAGTCTTTGATTGAAACATTCAAACGTCACGGCGTTTCAACGAGACAAAGTAAAGTAATATCCAAGTTTGACTTTGACCTCTGCGATTTCAGTATTCTAATATTCCTCACTCACTCCCTACATTATAAACTCTTCATAAACATTTCCCGAGATTATTAAATTTATTAAATCGTACCAATTTGACTCATGTCTATAGATAAAAAAAATAAAACTAATGTAACAAAGCAGAAAATTATAAGCTGAATGGTCTTCTTTCTTATTCGAAACAAAATAAAAGATAGTAAAACATAAATAAAGAAAATGAAACATATCATATCATTGTACAATTACTCCGCTTAATGATCAGTGTTGTGGTATAGTAGAGCAAGTAAACCCAAAATTTGGCTCAAGAGCTGTAATTAAACAAAAAGTAAGATCAGAACACCACTCCAAATGTTCAAGTTAATTTAAATTTGATATTACTTACTTGTGTTCTTGGACCAAAGAAGTTGAGTATCAATTAAAGAATGATTCTTATCATCGAGCCGTTTCCAAGTTTTGATTGTATCAACAGCTCCCCAACGTCCATACTTAGTCTTCTCAAGCTGAGCTTCAACTACTCTTGCTCTCCTCGCCCAACCAACCTTTCCATACCCATGATACCTAAAACCAGTAAAACAAATTAACGTGTGTTACAAGTAAGGGTTTAATGAGTAAAACAGCGTGTAGTACAAGTTACCCGGCACCGCCTGCGTAACAAAGGTTGATCCCATGGAGTTCGGCACAGAAGTCGTTGACGTGGTCGTGACCGCTGAAAACACCTTTGACTTCACCTCTTTCGACAAGTTTGGTGAAGAAACCAGAGTTGATAGGTGGAGAACATGTAGATTCTTGTCTCACTCCAGTCATCTCGGTCGATTTGTTGAACAATGCAAATTCCGGCATTGGAATGTGGAGGTAAACCAATCCCGGTGCCGAACTATTCTGTGGAAATGGCCACCTCTTGTGTTCCATCTCAAGCCATTTAGAAGTGTGTTCATACCAATTCTGTTGAGAGGTTCTGACCCAATCGTATTTGTAACCAAAGCCATCGAGCTTCGTGTAAGCTCCACCGTCGAGTAGATAGAGATTGAGAATGGATTTGAAGAAGAGAGGCGAGCCAAAAGGACCCTCGATTTGTAGATTGTAATTACCAAAACCGTCGATTTGGTATAGCCAAGCATCGGGAGGGTTTACTTGAGACAACGAGTTTGGGAGTTTCATGATGTATTTCATCATTGTTTCTCTAGTCATGTCGGCTTCTTGGTCGTGATTCCCCAAAATGGCCACCCATGGAATCCCCGATTCGATCGCAGGAGCAAATGCCATGTCCATCGATTTTGCCACGTCTCTTGTCTCGCACAATCCATATACATTGTCTCCTGCATTGTTTGTGTTTTTTTAGGTTTTTTTTTTCCACGCATAAAAACACACAATTATTGTAAAACAAGAGTAAAACCCTACACACATAAAATTCTGTATATTATTTGAAGAATTTGGTACCAGAGAAAACGATGAGATCGGGCTTCTCGGAAGCGATAGTTCGCTGTAAAAAGGAGGTGGTGTTGAGATCGGAGCAGTAAGGAAATTCTGCAGGTGATACGTCTGAGCATTGCGTCTCTTTGCCAAAACCGTAGTGCATATCTGACACTTGCAGTATCTTGAACCGACCATCTGTATTAAACCGGAGCTGCCTTCTACCGAAGCCGTAGGCCGAAACGTGACATGTTGAAAGACATAAGTAGATCAAAGAAACACTTAGGACAGAGAATAAAACAAATCTCCTCCGAGTTTCCTCCATTCTTTTCTTTTAGGTTAGTGACATGAAACTTGAGATGAGAACGAGAATAATGTGTTTATGTTGCACCCTGTTTTTATAGGATTTTTTCGATTTGATTTTTTCCCAAAGATATAATAGCATCAACAATATTTTATTCTAATGGTATATTCTACAATTTTATCAAGTATCTAACCATTTTGGCATATGCTTTTGATTTGTTGTTGACGAATATACATCAAATGAGAAAAACTCTCTTTTTTTTTTTGTGATTTTCTGAAACAAAATCATTTCATTTCTAGATAAAATAACTATGATTTTTGAAAACACTTATTAACACGACGAGGAGCCCAAATAGACGGAAGAAAAAACCATTATAATTCAAATTTACACAGACCAAAGAAAACATCCCAAGGAAACAAAGTGAGAGGAAAAAACACCAAAACAATGCTCATAATACACAATTAAGGATCTCTAGAAACCCTATTGAAACAAACTAATCACAGCCTCCTCAAGTGTTCTTGTCTTTAGTAGCAGCAACATGAGATTTGAACCATGGAATCCACACCGAAGTTGTCTTCTGATACGCTCTATAAGCGTCAGCTCTGTATTGTTGTTTCACCATCCGACGCTCCACAAGAATTGTTACATAGACCAGACACAGAGTATTGACCAATGCACCTATCAAAGTCCATCCTTGACCAAGGTTCCAAGCAAATATGACCAATCCCCACCACCACAATTGCTCTCCCAAGTAATTAGGATGTCTTGAGTAATGCCACAAACCCGTGTCGAGATTCGGGATTTTAGGCTTTCCTTGCTCCTTGAGTTTTTGGTTTCCGGTTACAAACTCGTGAAGCTGTGTGTCTGCGTAGTATGCCATGACGATTCCAGTCAAACAGATAACCGAGGAAATGAAGTCCCAGATGTTTAGTGGCCCATCAACGGAATGGATGACATATAAAGGCAGACATATCCCAATGAGGAAGATCTGAGCAAATTTTGGAAAAAGAAACAAAAAAGCGCAATGAGAAACAAGCATAAGCTACGCACCAAATATATATCAAGGTAACAATGGTTCAAGCCTTTATAACCAAAAGACTATCCTTTTCTCCAAATCATCCTCATAAAGGCAAGCCTAGATGAAAAACGAGCTCTTTGAGGCAATTCATCGAACAGGTGGTAGGCATGTTACCTGCTGAGAAACGTAGACAGAGAAGAAGGAGAGCCACCACCAGTGTTTCCCATACTGTTTCCGTAAGTCGTTGAACCTCCAGTCTTCTCTAGCGCCCCATTCCCAATTTTCCCGCCGGAAGTAGTTATGAGTCAACCTAATGCTCCAAATCCATGTCAGAGTTACGACAATCATGGATCTCAACTTATTGTACTGTGCAAATGGATGCGAAGCGAAGTAATGAACCAGCATTACAGGTATCACAGTCCAATACACATCGATCATCTGCAAAATTAAACAAATTAAAAAAAAAAAACTGAAAATTGAGAAAGAGATCATTTTTAACAAATGGGCAACATTTTTGGAGATTATGGATGCGTACCCAGTGGCTAGATTGGAGTAAACCGATGACCCAGAAGAGCACATTGACGTTTAAGAAGAAGAGAAGGTTTGCTAATAGAAGGGGACGATTCAAACACCATGAATGAATAAAAGAGAGCTCTGAATCGGAGGCTGGAGAGTGATTACGGAGAAATGTGAGGTAGAAGACGATAGAAGGAAGTGGAGCAAGGAATGCAATAATGGCGTTTCTAAGATTCCGATTCATTTTCTGTCGAATAAGTCTTTGATGTTGGCCTGTAGGAAGGAGAAAGAGAATGCAATTTATAAAGAATCTCTTTGGTCTTTTGGGTTGTGTTATTTGTGGCGTGTATGGGCCCATATTGGCCCACTTTGATCACTGATATAATTAGAGTCCTCTGTTTAATTATACTTTTGGTGAAAATTAAAAATATAATCAACTGTAGATAAAGGGATTAGCTTTTTGTAAAAGAGCCGAAAAAGTCAGTAATGAAGAAAATAATTGGACTATGATTTTGTATCGTAATGATGATGGTATGAGATTTCTGACTATTAAGTAATCAAAGTAATAGTGTAAAATATATACATTAATCTATATAAATTCAAAAATTATAAATGAAAGTTGTTAAGCAGAAACAGGGACTAATGATTATCAAATTTCAGAGCATGGGAAGAGGAAATCACAATAAAAGTGAATTTGTGATTAGTTTACTTTTTGAAGTAAAAGTGAAGATATCACTAAAGAGATTATTAGCGGTGCTCGTGGTGACTCTAATTATTAGCTTAGCCGAAAGCATTGGATTCTAATTTAATCAGATTCTCCCATATCATATTAACCAACTTTATATGCGGTCCAAATTCCAGTTGTGAAATATGGAAACGACGTCGATTTATGTGAAAAAGGGAATAAACAAACGATGACGTTTCTTTCTTCAGCATCTCGGTTCGTTTTCTATCTCTCCCGGTATAGCAATCTACCATAATACCGGTTACAATGTAACGGTTAAGTACAAACCGGAAAGATTCCTTCTCCTCGTAAAGGTCGAGAGAAGAGAAGCGAGGGATTAGCGTGTATCGACGAGATATCATCTAGTCGGAGTCGCCGCCTTTCTCCGCCGTCTTTAATCGTCCTTGTTCGATTTTCCGAAGACGAAGCAGGAGTAAACATGTCTGGGAGGTTGTTGAAGAAGGTTCTCCAAGAACACGAAGAATCGAAACTCCAGAAACATCACGAAGAAGAAGAAGAAGATGAGGAAGAAGAAGAAGAATCAGGAGCCCGTTCTTCGATTAATCCATTCGATCTCTTGAACGACGGTGATGAAGATCCTGAGGTCAGTCTCTCGGATTTCACCTCTGATGATTAGATTGTTTGGTAGCTTTTAGTATCTGGAATTTTATCCTCTTAGGTGTTTTAAGATAGCTAATGTCTCTGTGTTAATAAGTTTGAATGCAGATAGTGTGAATAGGTTGATCTTTAGATGTTTATGGTTTTTGTTTCTGATGTCAAGAGCTGATTCTTGTTTTGTTTGTGGTAGAAGTAATGATTACAAAGTGTTTCTGTCACAATTGGGTTTTATTGCAGGAGATAGAGGTTGATGATGAGACTATTGTTGAGAAGAAGAATGACGAAGATGCGGATCATCAGTCAAGGGTCGCTGATCATGTGCAGCAGCCGGTGTCAAAGAATAAGTCGAAGAAAAAGAAAAAGAAGAAAAACAAAGAGAGTGTTTCTACTAAAGCTGAAATCACTTTGGATGAAACTTTAGAAGTACTTGGTCTCAGTGCTAACTCTAAGCAAGAGAAGGTTCAGGAGACGAAAGCGAATGCTGATTCTTCCAAAAAGGCTTCTTCACGATTTGTGTTGGAAGTAGATCCCAAGTATCTGAATCTTGAAAACGAGTTGAGGAGAATGTATGGTTCAAAGGCTATGAGATCATTTGAGAGTGAGAGTGGCTCTCAAGGTGGTAGTAGCTCTAGACAAGGACGAGGGGGTAGACGTGGAATCCATCATATCACAAAGACGGTTCTGATATCTCCAAAGGAGAATTGGTCTAGATGGGATAGATCTTTCTCAATGGAGTTTCTAGAGACTAAAGATGGTAACAACTACTTCAGGTAACAATTTTACAGTTTTTTGTTTTTTTTGTTGGGTGTGTGTATAGAAATATAGACATTGAACTTTGTATATCTGATGAAATACTTTTCTTTTGATGTGTAGATATACCCATTCATCCTCATATGAGCAGGCTCAGAGGGCATTTCAGGCTGCACAGGCTATCCATGATTTGAATGGTGTAGCAAGTGTCCTTATACACCATCCTTACCATATTGAGTCGCTCATAACTATGGCGGACTACTTTAAGTTTGTTGGTGAGCATGATATGGCTGCAGATTCCATTGGAAAGTGCTTGTACGGATTGGAGCGTGCATGGCATCCTATGTTTACTCCGTTCCAGGGTAATTGCCGGTTGGAGTTTACCCACGAGACAAACAAGCTGTTCTTTAAGACGCTTTTCACTCACATGAGAAACATGGACAGGCGTGGCTGTCATAGGTCAGCGTTGGAGGTCTGCAAATTCTTGCTTTCGTTGGACATGAGTGATCCAGTAGGCGCTTTGTTTTGTGTGGACTACTTTGCTTTGAGAGCAGAGGAGTATGCGTGGCTGGAGCAATTCTCGGAGGAGTACCGCAATGACAACTCATTATGGCTCTTCCCTAATTTCTCTTATTCGCTTGCTATAGCCCGAGTTTATCTCGAGAAGATGGATTCTTCCTCTTCATCAGAAGCCACTCACGTAGATACTTCGAAGTCAAGCTCTTTGGATCTCATGACACAAGCTTTGAAGCTTCATCCAACAGTACTCAAGAAGCTAGTGGACAAGGTACCTTTAAAAGATCAGGCATGGGCAAAGATACTCAAGCATTCTTACTTCCGATCAGATGAATCAAAGATCCCATCCTTGGATCACCTTATTAACATATATGTCGAAAGGAATTACCTTATATGGAGGCTTCCAGATGTACAGAAGTTGCTTCGGAGTGCTGCTGATTTAGTCATTGAGTCACTGGAACAAAACGGAACCGAAGCCGAGAGCTGGCTTTGTGTAAGGAAAGAAGCCTTCTCTGCTGAGAATAACCAGTAAGCGTTTTGAACCCTCACTTGTCAATTTATTTTTTTGGCTAGAGCTGATCACGTATGGTTCTAACCCATTGCAGGTACTCTCATTTATCAACACATGATTTCTCTGATTCGATGCCGACTCTCCCACCAGACAATTTGCAGAACTTTGTGGCTGATCCAAGAATGGTGGGAGGAGAGCAAATGGCTGAAGGCGGCGGGGGAGGTCAACAACAAGCACCACCACGTCCACGTGATGTGGCAAATCGGAATCCATTTGCTGTGTTGTTTGAGTCAATACTTCCATGGGCTAATTTTGGAGATGAAGACGATGAGATTGCACATGATGGTCACCACCAACCAGACAACAATGGCTAAATCAATGGCTCTAACTGAAGAAAGAAGAAAACTGCTACAAATTTTACAAAATGTGGCCTTGCTTTTGTTGTACAGTGCCATTTTGATGGTTTAGTCTAAGGACTCGTGGAAATTTAATACTTTGGGTAAATCGGATTTAGTCATTTTCAATTCATGTTTCTGGTGGAATAATTGACAGCTTTCATTGCTCAAAGGCTCGGTTTAGGTTGAGCCGGTTCACAATGTCAGGTCAAAATACGGCCACGTATTAATGTCGATTTCGCGCGATAAATATCTTTAAAATAAAAAATGTAATTGAGTAATTACAGAAAATAAAGCTGTCCCTTCTTCCTCAGTTCTCAGGTATCGAGTAGCTAGCTTCTGAGCTTCGAAGGTATCGACTAAATATTTTTTTCTTTTTCTCGTAGACATTATTACTCTCAGGAATAAAAGATTTGAAATTTTGGAGAAAAAAATCTGATTTTTTTGTGGGACAAGACAACTCAGTAAAAGTTTTAATCTTGGATAAGCTTTTATCCATCGGGTGGTGATTGTTCGAAAATGGATCGAATTGCGTCTGCGACCTTCTCTTGCCCTGCGATTTCAATGTCTCGCGTCTGTAGAGTCAACCCTTTTGGCTTAAACATTAAAACCAATCATAGAAAGAGATTCTCGTGTCATATAGCTGTAACTTCTGGAGAGACGACGGCTCGGGTTTGTTCTCTGCACATTTTTGTTCTTGGCTCGTCTGAAACAAATGATTTGAGTGTGTTTTGGTGATAACTCAGGTCGTCGTAGACAATGAACTTGACTTAGAACACAAGAAACACGATCTACTGAGAGCTGTTCAAGACACTCAACGAGGACTCACTGCCACTTCTGATCAACGATCTATCATCGAGGAGGCTCTGGTACAGTCATTGCTTTGGATTCTATTGATGTATAATATGATATTGAGTGAATGCTGGTTTTTGTTTTGTTTCATGAGTCTGGATTTGCTAGAAACTTTTCAGGTGACTGTGGAAGGGTTTAATGGCGGTGAAGAAATTGATCTAGTGAAGTTAGATGGAACATGGAGGCTACAATATACTTCTGCACCTGATGTTGTTGTTCTGTTTGAAGCTGCTTCAAGACTTCCCTTCTTTCAGGTACTACTACCAATGATAATGAACAAAGCAGAGACTAGAGAGAGAGACTTTAGTTCGGGCTTCGGTTTAATCCTTTGTGGGTTTTGATCAGGTGGGGCAGGTCTTCCAGAAGTTTGAGTGCAGAGATCGATCAGACGGTGGGATCATTCGGAATGTTGTTCAGTGGAGTCTTCCAAACTTGTTGGAGGTTTTTGCTTCTTTACTTGTAACCCTTTCAATTTCATATTTTCTGACAGTCACTGTAAATGAATCCTTGGCAGGAGCAAGAAGGTGCAACACTTGTTGTTACCGCGAAATTCGATAAGGTCTCTAGTCGAAACATCTACCTTCAGTTTGAAGAGGTCAGTTAATTGTCTGCCTTTCAAAGCTTTCAGAACTTTGTTTTGCCAGAAGCAATCTGATTTCAGTTCCATGGAATCCTTGCAGATAAGTGTTAGAAACATTAACATCAATGAGCAGCTTCAAGCTCTTATCGCACCTGCAATACTTCCACGCTCATTTCTAAGCCTACAGGTGAAAAAAACACTTTCTAGTACCAATGCATGGAAACCAAGATATATCAAATAGGACGAACAAGCTAATAACTCTCTACTGGTTTTCCAGCTTTTGCAGTTTATCCGTACTTTCAAAGCTCAGATTCCAGTAACCGCAACCAGCCCAGGAAGGTAAATAATGATCTTTTGTTTATTTTCCATAACCTATGTTTTCAGATATGACTATGGATGCTAAAGATGTTTCTCTATTTCAGGAGATCTGTAGGTGGACTGTATTACCTGTCGTATCTCGATAATAACATGCTTTTGGGTCGGTCTGTAGGAGGAGGAGGGGTATTTATCTTTACAAAATCTCAACCCCTCGAGCTGTGAGAATCAGACAAATCTATAAACCTCTGTTTTTAACTGTATATCACAGAAAAAAGAAGAACACTATGTTAGATTCTGTTTATGTACAATCTATTCGGGTTTTACTGAAGATCTTGTACAATATAGCAAAAATGTTACTAGGTTGCTTCTTTCAAACACGGACTGTATTCAACCAAGCAGACTGCTCCATAGTTCTTTAAGCGACATATAAGCCTGAGGACAAGGAACAGCCTGTAGCTTGGTGTTGCTATCGACCAGTGTCTCTGTTACTAGACCAAGCCTCACCAACGTGCTTATAGCTTTTTCTACTCGCATCTCAACCTGTTAGTGGTTTTTAGTGAGTCAGCTACAAGGTCTAGTAATGTTGCTATAAGAGTTCAGTTTTAAACAGACCTTTATTTTGAAAGTGTCATACATGAATCTCTCGCATCTATCTCGAACTCCTTGATAAGACATATTCTGCAGGCAAATAGTTTATTCATAAGCATCTACGATAAAGCTTGAAGTTGAACTATCCTAATGAGGCATGGCATTAAGAGAAAAGAGTGACTGGTTATCTCTAACCTGATTTTTTCCCGCTTGAAGAATAATTGCATATGTCAATATTGCCTCCTTGTACTGCAGATAATGAGTGATTGGAGAGCAAAACCATATTAAGTAAAAGATATTCCAAATGAAATCGTTCATGCATATTTCCAAAGGAATAAGATAGGGAGAAATGAATGAGATCTTGCCTGTTGCTGCTCCGAGGCATCCAAAAGGAAATGGACAGAACCAAAGCCACTGGCTAAGGTTTTCTCATAAAGTGTCTTGTTTACTAACAACTGAGGAAGTGGATCAAATGCAAGGGAAATTTTCAAAATTAAACACTAAGACCCATTATAGTAAAGAGAGTATGAATCTGAGTTTCAACTCACTTGATATCTATCCCATGTCTGCTTGTAACCCAAAACCACGCGTGTTGCATATATTAACAGAGCTGTGACGGCGATCACGTCAAGAAAGAATGCTGATCTGTGTAGCAAAGGACTAATCTTAATTCTTTGTTACTGTAAGCGGCACAAAAGGAAGAGGATAAGAGATATACGGGGATGATGAGATGTTCTCAAACTTGTAGTTTACAAAGTATGCCGTAAGTCCCAAAATACTAGCAATATCCAAACGTACCTAACAAAAGATTCCAAGGATTGGGTCAACAAAGATAAGATCAACAAAATTGAGTCTGTAATGCAACCACACTTACTGTATCTATGACGCGAAAGTAAAGCTTCTTGTGAGGGAAAATTACCTACATACAAACAGTGAAAGAAAAAATGGTGGTGAAACCTACAGGGAAAAGCTCACCGGCAGAAAAGAAACATGAGGAGACACTCATGATGTAGATGTAATATTCTTACAGGTAAATCTGGAATTGGAATTCTTTCAAATATCTCCAATTGTAATGATGATCGTGTTTCATCTTTATTCTTATCATCTTTTTCACTTGCATCCTTCGTGTAAAGCAAAATTAGTTCTTCAAATGCAGGCTCCTATTCACCAAAAAGCACAAACAAACAGAGTCATCTAATGAATGTGATCATGTGGCCATAACTTATGATTGATTCATATAAAGAAGTTTGACAGTGCACTACAGACTGAAACAAATGCTATTATTTGCTTAGAAAAAAAGAATACCTGCAGAGTTGAAGGTGATAAAAGAATGGAAATCGAAGTTTTTATTCTTTTCCAGACATCATTTCCACAAGCTTTCTTTGAAGCAGGTTTCCATATATCAGCCAGTGTCATCCTTGATAAGAAAATCGGCCTGAGTGAAGAATAATTTACTTCTTAGCTCAAATCTCTAATCAGGTCGAAGATTTAGAAAAAAACGATGCAATTAATTTTGTGTTTCATTTAATGGTTCAACGACATGCTCAAACAAGTGATACAAAGTTACAAACACATTTAGGAACTTTCAGACTTGATATTACTAAGTGAACATACAGGTTCATTCAGGCAATCAAATCCATGAAAAACATATCTGATATTGACATAGAAGAGACCAAAAAAAAATGGCAAGATGACTGAGAAAAAAGGTCATGCACCTTAAATAAGGTTCAGATGCATTACTGTCATTAGCTAGCTCAGATGGTGTTTCATAATCAGGAGAAATGAAACCAATCCAACCAAGCAACTTTTTGAAGAGCTTTGCGCGAGGACCAACAGGTGTCAGAAGCCCCTCATACCGACTGACCGCCCTTTGTGCTGCTAACCGCATGGGGAGGACTGAATCTGGAAGGAACCCCTCTCTCAAGAAATTGTCAGAAGTTTGGTCAAGATATGATTCCTTAAAAAGGGATAGGTCCTTGAGCCAAACTTTCATTCTCTCTGATAAATCTTGAATTTCTTGAGTTTGAGAAGCCTCACTTAACGCCTGTTTATGAAATTTGAAGAAAAAATGTTATTCGAGTTTAAAAACTAACACAGCTCAAAGGTTTTTGAAATAGTAACACTGCATATATGCAATAAATGCAAAATTTCCCTTGGTCATATAACAAAATAGGAGTCATACCTTGTTTATCAATTTTCCAACTTTTCTCAAGGGTTTTGCAATAGTAGAGAAGATTCCTTGTAGAACTTTAGACTGGATATAGTCTAGCTTCTCCACAAGTAACAAACCCTTCTCCTTCTCAGTTGCAAATCCACGCCTGTAAAGAAGATGAAATTCATAAGCAGATTCTCCATACAGAACTAGATAGCACATTGGCAAGACAGAAAAAAGAAGTAGATAGCACATTTTTAGAAACGCATCAAAAGATATAACATTTACCTGAAAACAATAGCATTAGACTCTGATGCCTTCTTCCAATCAACGTATACAGGCAAAGTAAGAAGGTAATCCGTGTTCAGAGCCGACGTCAATGCCAAATCCCTAGCTGAAAGCTCTTCAAAACCGGCATTGTCTAGGAGCTGAATGAAAGAACGCTGGAACCGGGTTGCAGCCATTACACTGCATTCGAGAATTGTCAAGTTACATTCAAATTTTCAAAAACCACTTTCAAATCTTCTTTCAATGAAAGTACATGTTTCAATACAAAATTCGCCAAAAACACTGGATAATTTCTAATACCTTTCAGCAGAACGTTTCTTTGCATTTTTGCCAGAGGATATTAAAAAGGTCCAAATGTCGAAACCATCAGCCAAAGGGAATGATAAACCATCGTATCCATTAACACTCCTAGGTTCAGAGTTTTTGACATTCGAGTTAAGTTCCTCCTCTGAGTCAGTTTCTCCACCTGAAGTAGAACTTTCTTCGTCACCCGATGAATCACCACCAGTCTTTACCTCCTCCAGGGACTGAGTAGCGACGAAATCGGCTCTCATTTGCTCTAAAATCCTCTTGTGCTCCGCGTGAAGGATAGAGTCTAAGCACCTAAAGAGTTCCAAAAACAGCTCAAGAGAGAGTCCAAGATGCAATTCGTGTTAATTTAGGAGTTATATTCAGCTTACGAGGAAAGTAGGAGGAAGATATCAGTGTCTCCGTCTTGAGAATCGAGGAGCTTCGTTACAATACCATTAACGAGATCAGACTTGGAGACATTGATGTATTTCTCACGAGGAACATGAATACTCGAAATCCCCTCCTCCTCCTCCGAATCGTCATCTTCCACTCCTCCTTCACGTCCATCTTCCGCCGGGGGAAGCTCATCTTCCACCTTCCAGCCACCGCCGTTTTTCAGCTCAGTTAAGCTACCAATCGCTCGTTCCGATTCTCCGGAGACCACACCAAGAGGTGCAAAAGTTGCCGCCTCCGTAAGTCGACAACGAACTAAACGACGACGCAAAGACGGCGATAACGGCTTAGATCGAGATGGAAGAGCGACGAAGCTAGTAGTGAGGTTACGAAGAGATAACATAATGGATCTGAATCTTTAGCTGAAACGAGAGATTCAGAACACATTTGCAGAAGATTCGTGACCATTGAAGAAGAAGAAAAAGAAGCCGGAAAGTTGGATTTTGATTAGCTCCGCCCAGAAAAAATCGAATAAAGACGAAATTGTGAATTAACGGCTCAAAACGACTCAGACGCGTTGACTCTTCAGGTGAGAAGACCTTCTAGCTCATCCAGAGGATTCTGATTTTAGTTGATTAATGCTTTAATTGTATCGGAGTAAAGCATAACTAGCTATAATATCATGATCCATTTTGGATTGGGAAGAAGGAAAAATAGAATTAGGCCTTCTTTTTTTTTAACTTCTGGGAAATTGAAAGATTGTTTGAAAACAATAAGCCAATTACGGGAAACCCTAATTTCTTTTTGTTGTGTTTGGTTAATTCATCTATTGAATTTTTGTTTTCTCTCTGGATAATATTGTCCAGACGAACGCCAAATCCTTCCTTCAAGTGACACAACCATGACAGAGACATCATCATGGTACTTCCTTCGATCTCCTTGCGGAATATCCAACAGATCATGAAACTCCATCCCTGCCAACATGTTCGTGTCATTTACACATTAACCAGCTGCTTAACCAAAAAACCGTTACTAAACCGATTGTCAGTTAGACTTTAAAACTGTACCGTTTTTGGTGGCTGCACGAGAGAGAAGCTCTGCAATGAGGTATTGAGCAGGATCCCCTTCAGGAACGTTTTCGATGAACCAAGTCACGTGAGCAACAACCTCTTCGTTGCTGAAGTATTCATACAATCCATCCGAGGATAAAACCATGAAACGATCGCTTGAAGTGAGTCTGTGATGGACGGTACACGGTTCACAGGTGATGTATGGATCTGTTCCAATGTACTCTACTTGGAACATCTCTAGCAAAGCTTCATTGAAATTCGGCTGCAAATAACATTTGAAATATTCTTAAGATGAGTTAGTCTAAATGTGATTTGGATATGAGAGTTTGTTTGTAGCATTGTATGTGTGTGTACCTTTTTGAGAAATCCGGCACCAAAAGCTCGAGTGACTTTTAGTTGGCCTTTGACTCTATCTTTGAGTATGGACTGGTCATCTTCCGGATGTTCAGATCTAATCCGCGAAATTTCCTGAAACAAATCAAAGAAACTTGTTTTTTGGAAAACCAGAGCAAAGTCTTGCACTTTCACTACTTATCAGATGAATTTAGTCAGAGATATACCTCTTCCACACTTGTGCTATGGTCACTTGAGAGTTGAACTGCTCTCATCTTTAACCGGTATGAGGTCACATCTCTGTTTTTGTTTGAGACACTGATCGGAGTTGTTTGATTGTGTATTGGAGATTCCTCTGATATTCTATCCAGTTCCATACGCACAAGTGATTCTCGAGACCTACTCTTATGCCCGATACCCTCATCATTCCCAAAACCGGGATTAGAGTGACGATCATGGAGCCTTTCTTGGGCTAAGATAGCCCGACTATCCCCAACGTTCATCACGTAAACATCTTGATCTTTCATTAGCATTACAAGAACACATGAACCCATTAGTGCAAGCTCTGGGTTTATGTCAAGAGACTTCTCTACCATTTCCATGTAAGCCTCTTCGGTACTTTCTAGTGCTCTAGCCATTGCTCTTAGAACAGCATCATGGTCTACAGTTCCTGACCAGCGTCTCCTAATCGGTCCCGGTGACTCCACTATCTTCTCTTCAACGCAAGTCCCTTCTTCCCTGTGCCAATCATAACTCCAAGGAAACAGCTTTTTCCGCAAAGACTTCTGCTTTTGATACATTCTTCTTATCTTAGAGCTTATCTGTGATTTTTTAGTCCCATGGCTTTGTCCCAAGGTCGGAATACCATCAAGAACACTACGGTCGGTGGTACACGGATCATTTCCAGCTCCTCCACCTGAAGTAGATGGATTTTCAACCTGATTGGTCATATCGTTTAGAGCCACACTCCCTCCATGAGAATCTTGAAGCCCGATTTCTTCTCCTTCCCACCGTTCCAATTGAAGTAGCTCGTAAAGTCTCGTGCTTTTCTTGCCAGGACCTGCTAAATTTCCAGGTGGACCATCAGCAATCTGAGAATCGGCATTTCCAAGGCTACTGATATTATCAGTCATAACCTCCTGGCTTCCTGCCACTACTGGCTTTGAATGTTTCTCATTGATAGATTCTGGATCACACAAGTTCTCTTCTGTAGGAGGTTCCTGGTCTGGCTGCAATTGATTATCTACAGAAGGCTCTTCATAATCCCAAAGAAGACCTTCCAATTCCTTGTCGATAGCTTTATAAAGATGACTCATTACGAAATCTGGAGCATCCGGTCCACTAAACCCATCATATATCCCGATAAAGAGCCATCCTTGTTCCTCCGAAAGCACAACATGAACCCTGTCTTCTCCAGCTTTCCCATGAGCCCATTGCAAGTTACGGTTGCTCTCTAAACAACTTTCTGGGTCTTCACCATGAAACTTACCGTCCTTTCCAACAGGCCAGGAAACCCTAGTCTCTGGATGCAAGAAGAAGCGATGCATCCAACTTAATCCTCCAGACCGTCTGGAAAATGTCCTTGCTAGTGTACTTTTCATTGGTCCGCTCACACTCCTCATAAACCGTTGAAACCGAGGCTTTTTACGTCTAAAATAAAGAGGCGCCGAGAAATTAGATTTATCAGATACATCAAGGGGTCCAGACATTACTCCTTTTTCAATAGGCCCTGACATGAAACCGTTGTTTCTATCCAAAGGACCAGATGCAAAACCTCTCTCTAGAGGCCCGGACATGAATCCGTTTAAGGGTCCGGAACCACCACGAGGGAGCGGCTGCAAAGGAATTGAAGCAAACGAAGATGTGCTCTCAAATGAAGCAGCAGGCTCCAAAACATCACTTGAACACAATGCCATTTGATTCCCAGTCCTAGCCGTGGAAACATTGGCACTAACGGAAGCACCTGAGATTGCCTTAAACGTAGTTTCAGCCAAACCTTTACTGTTGTGTCTATTCAAGAAAGAAGGATCATCAACGACCTCGTTTCGAAAAGAACCACTGAGTGTCTCAGAATCAAGGGTGCTTGAATCAATCGTGAACCTCTCAGAGTTAGACGGAGTAATATCCGGAGACTCAAAGATGCTTGGCCTAACGTAGCAAAAGGAATGGCCTAAACCTTCATCTAAAGGTTCTAGAAACTCCAAATCAACACCGTTTTTCTCATTGGACGGCACGAAACAACCGACAACACGGGAAGTACCGTTTCCCATCACTCAGGCAATACTACAAACACCTTGGAGGCACAATCTCATCATAAACCTCTAAAGAGTTTGCGCAATTTCCAGCACCACAAGACATAACAAAGAGAAGAACAAGAGGCGAAATACCGGAAATTCTGATAAACCCAACAAAGATTCGACGCGTTTTGCAGAATCCAAGCATCATCTGAGGTTCAATCTCTGAACATTGAAACGCAAACAAGAACCTGCTAGTATCAAATTTGGATTTTTGAAAGGAAAAAATCAGCAGAATGCCCACAAACTAACAATCAGCAAAATTGGTTTCTGAGCTCTTAAAATGGAAACATAAACAGTGATCTGACCTGTTCAAAAGGAGATGGATCAAGCAGAAACTGGAAACAGATCTAAAGGAGCGGCAAAGAGAGACAGTGTATTGAAACACATCGGAAGCTAATAGAGACAGTACCAAGGGGAAAAAACACCCCTTTAGATTTCTATGGGAATCTGACAAAAAGTACCCATTATTTTAAAATTTATACAAAAAATAATTAAACGAGGAAAAAAAAAAGGAAGAGCCAGATTGAGATTGAACCATGCAGAGACGACCAGCTGTTAAAGATCCAATCTTTTCAGGAAGAAGCTAAAACCCAGAATGAATGCTAGTTTAAAGTTGTTTTCCCCTTCTTTCAGATGTTACGGAGAAACCAAGATTCAAAATCGACAACACTAGAATCACAGTCCAAAGAGCTGAAAGAAGAAGAGAAAAAAAACAAGAAAAGCTTGAAGATTTGATTTTGATTTTTGTATAAGCAGAGGTCAAGAATTATGTATGATTTCACCTTCTTCTTTTAATTTCCTTTTGAGCAGAGAAGAAAAGAGCTGTCTTGGGGTTTTCAAATGGTTTGGGAGGGTAAGAAAAAAAAAGAAAAAAAAAACAGAGTAAAAACTCTAAAAATTGCGTTGAAAAATGCAAAAGTGAAGATCGTCTTTTTAGAGTTTTTTTTTTTTTTAAATCATGGAATTATATTACACACAAGAAAAAAAATGAAGCTTTTAGAATTTATATTAATGGGGTTTGCAAATGATTGGAGGTATACAATTACATACAGGTGATTCACGTCATTATTGTTCTCATCCATGGACGGACCCTTTGCATGGGTTGAATTTTTTTTCTTTCTGTGGGGCCCCTTTTTATTCACACCCATTTTATCAATGTTTTTGTTTTATTCTTTATTTCTTTCTTTTTGTTTATATTCTTCAACTTTTTTTAATATTTGGTTGCATTGAATCTTGCTCCTCATATTGACCGGTGTTAATTTAAATTATATATAGTTTGAACGTTCAACTATGTTAACAACACTTAACATGTTAGTCTTCTTTTTTAAATATTATCATATTCTGTTTACCAAGTTTATTTTGAATCTCAACACTCTCTATACAATCTTATTAAACAATTCATGTCTAATATACAAGAAGAAAATGTAAACCGTAAAAATGCAACTTGGTTCATCGATGTCTTGTTATACGAATGAGATTCATATATAAATACTTAGTAAAATAAAGAGAAATTTGGAAGATTGTAATTTGTAATGATGTTTAACATGCAAAAGAGGCCAACTCCACGAGCTCATTGACATAGAGTCACGTTTAAAACAAACAAAAGAAAATGTTGACTTAACCAAATCCACTCTCTCGTTTTTTTTGCAATTGAGTTTCTGACTACTGACAAACTCTTTCAACGCCCAAGAAAATTATGCTTTTGGTTTCACATTGTTTGTTTTTTTTTGTATTCTTTTATTTATTAGTAGTAATTGCGTCCACTGTCCACAGATCCAAAACCAAAGCCATTATCATCAATATATTCATCCACTAAATTAACTATTTATAACATTAGTATATATTTTTTAATTCAAAATCCCAGAATAAAACAAAAGTTGTATGTTGGAGTGGGCTGATAGGCCTGGGCATAAAACCCGAAATCCGAAAACCGATCCGAAACCGATCCGAAAAATCCGGAACCGAACCCGAACCGAATGGTCACAAAATCCGAACGGATAATGAATTCTCCTATCCGAATTACCCGAACCGAACCCGATCCGATCCGAAAACCGAAAGGATATCCGAAAACCGGAAATAAAAATTATATATCCAAAAATATTAGTTATATTTAGTTGTAATTTTATAGCAAATAACAAAAATATCCTAAATATCCTAGATTTCCAAAAAATTTTAGTTATATTTGTTAAAATGATACATATTTTTTGCAAAATTGAACCAATTTTTATTTCAATTGAACAATTTTTAAGTTTTTTTTCCTGAAAACCGATCCGAATCCGACAATTATCCGAACCGAAACCGAACCGATGACTGATAAAATCCGAACGGATAATAAATTCTTCTACCCAAATTATCCGAATCCGAATATATCCGAACCGAAACCGAACCGAAAAGTCATAAAATCCGAACGGATAATAAACTCTCATACCCGAATTATCCGAATCCGAATATATCCGATCCGAATCCGATCCGAAATCCGAATGCCCAGGCCTAAGTGGGCAGGCATCTCCATAAAAAAATGAATTTTGAAGTTTTCCCGTTAAAATTCACTCTTCTGTTTTACGGTATTTATTTATTTACATGACTTAGCTTTCATTTTCTGGAGGTATAATACAATTACAGGTGATTCACATCATTATTGTTCAAAGCGTTGGGTACACAATTTCATATAGTCTAGGCATGTTAATATTCTGAATCTAATTATAAAAATTGTATCTTCAATTTTTGTTAAGCTAAACTACTGATTTTTTTTTTTTGCTTTGTCAAGCACTTTACGATGTTTTATTGGATGAATCACTTTGGGTTCAGTTTCAAAACAGATGTTATTTGAAACTAATCTACATTTCCATTTAATAAATTTTCAAAAACTAAGATGGAATAATCACTAGAATGGATCATATGATTCTTGAGAGAGCCAACAGTGAGCTGGGCTTGTGATGATTAAATAGGCCCAGTGGTTATAAAGGGCCTCGTCACAGACCATTACTAACACGTGGGATGCGCATGCGGCGTAAGATAGTGTTAAACAGAGCCGATGCCGACAAAAAATGAAATAAAACTATTTAAGCTTTTAATTAATGATTTATTAATTGGTTTTGGCAGTAATTGAGGAGGAACATTCAAAGACAGACACACTTTTGTCATCTTAATAACAGTAAAATCCTCTAATAATAATGCCTCAAAATCAAATAAGATAAATTAGAATTGCAAAAAATCAGTACTATCTTGTATTTTTAGAACCATATTAATTGCAGAAGAATAGATATTAATTATTCAAAGATTTTTTCCGTGACGTAAATCAATTTATTACCATAATGATGAAAGCGTGAAAGAATTACCAGAAAAAGCCATAAAGGCTTCTCTCACTATCACACATGCACTAACACAAGATTCACAGAAATCGATCTTTTCAAGTCAAATTTTGCAGCTGAGTGTCGTCTCCGGCGGAGGAGATGAAGAGTGTGTTGCGGATTGCGGCGGAGATATCATGGCTTTGGATGTGTATGGTGGTAGGTGTGATTGGGAGCGATGGAATCGGGAATGTGAGAGATACAGACGATGAGATCTCGTTACTCGAAAGTCAATTGGTGGTGACATCTCCGTCGCAGCTTCTTATGGTGCCTCTCACTTTAATTCAGGCTGCTGCCTCCAAAGGAGCTGGTTGGTTCTCTCTATCTCTCTCTCTAGTCTCTAGTTGCTTGCACAGATGTGTTGTTGGTGATATTTGAATTTTGAATTTCTTGGTCGGATTCATTAACACAATTTGAAGCTTGAAATTGTAATGTCATTCTTTGAATCTGTTTCCCTCATCAGATTTGTTCTTGTTGATTAAAACGAGTTTAAAGGTCAGTCCTTTATCTGAATTACTTGAATGATTCATTCATTACTACTTCATTGATGCAGTGTGCCTAGATGGAACACTACCTGGTTATCATCTACACCCTGGTTCTGGATCAGGAGCTAACCGGTGGCTGATCCAACTCGAGGTATATCTAATTAAAGCTTTAGTCTTTTGCATATTTTAGTTATGCTTATTGAGTTTTGACTACAGAATTAGATTCATTTAAGTTCTTCTTTTTGTATTGGGTTACTTGTGATGCAGGGTGGAGGATGGTGCAACACACGTAGGAGCTGTATCTTCCGGAAAACCACTCGCCGTGGTTCATCAAATCATATGGAGAAAGTTTTGGCCTTCACTGGAATATTGAGCAATAAAGCTAATGAGAATCCTGGTTTGTCCAATTTACTATGCATGACTCTGTGCGCACTTACACATTCGAGTTGCAGGGAGTACTCAATATCTTTACCTGCATTGGATCGATTCTCACTTTTCTGTTTACGTGTTTGCAGACTTCTTCAACTGGAACAGAGTCAAACTGCGTTACTGCGATGGTGCCTCTTTCACAGGCGATAGTCAGGATCAGGTTAGTAGTAGATTTGTGCTTTTCAGCCTTCATGTTTTTCACTTCTCTGAAACTTTTGGGATTTAATTGCTTCTAATTTCTTTGAACTAGAGCTCACAACTTTACTATAGAGGACAACGAATTTGGCAAGCAGCTATGGAAGAACTACTGTCTAAAGGCATGCAAAAAGCAGAGCAGGTTTTGCATTTCATTTTAAGCCATCACCCCTATCATGTTACTGGATTTTGCTCGGGTTGATGAAAGTAAAATGATCTATCGCAGGCTCTACTTTCTGGATGTTCAGCTGGGGGATTAGCTTCCATTCTACACTGCGATCAGTTCAAAGAACTATTACCGGGTACTACGAAAGTGAAATGCTTAAGTGATGCTGGAATGTTTATGGATGCGTAAATCTCTTTAACTTTTATTTTCCTTCCTATGAGATCTTTTAGTTAACTCTGCATTTGAACACAACACTATTCAAAACTCAAAACGTTTCCATTATAAATGTAGAGTGGATGTCTCTGGAGGCCACTCTCTCCGGAAGATGTTTCAAGGTGTTGTTACAACACAGGTAATCCCACAAGCAGATAATTTCTGGCTCCGGAGTATTCATACTACTAATCTTAACCTTATTGTAAATGATTAAATGTTTAATGTCAAAATGTAGAACCTCCAAAAGGAACTCTCCACTGCTTGTACAAAGCATTTGGATCCAACTTCGGTAAATTTCTCACTCTATATTTATAACATTCACTGGTCCACAAGCAAAGTTTCCATTAGACAAGACTTGAGCATCTTCAAACTAATTTACTATGTTCTGTTTCATTTCCTCAGTGCTTCTTTCCCCAGAACTTGGTTTCAGGCATTAAGACTCCAATGTTTCTTCTCAATGCAGCATATGACGCTTGGCAGGTACTCCTTTTCTTCATCTCTTATCACTCTCATTGCTTCTCTTTTCACTTCTATCAAAACATTTCATTTTCACAAAACAGAACGAGATAGTTTAGCTCCATCAGGTACAAGATTTCACTTCTATCTCCAACAGGTACAAGAGAGTTTAGCTCCACCATCTGTTGACCTAAGCGGCTCTTGGAAGGCATGCAAATCTGATCACTCGCATTGTAATTCGTCTCAGATCCAATTCTTCCAAGGTGAGTTTTTTATTATTATTATTCACTATCTATTGGTAAGCCTCATTTTCTAAATTATATGATCGCAGTTGTTTTTTAATTCTAAGCCCTTCTCTTATGTCAAATATAGACTTCAGGACACAAATGGTGGATGCTGTAAAATCTTTCGCGACATCGACCCATAACGGTGTGTTCATAAACTCATGCTTCGCGCACTGCCAATCCGAAAGACAGGACACTTGGTATGCACCAGATTCTCCTACACTTCATGGCAAGGTAAACATTTTTCGACAGTTCGTAAATAGTTTCTATATCGTTGCAAGCTACTGCAAACTTGTTTGCTTTCTCCATTTTTTCGCAGACCGTTGCTGAATCTGTTGGTGATTGGTACTTTGACCGAACAACAGTCAAAGCCATTGACTGTCCTTACCCTTGTGACAAAACATGTCACAATCTTATCTTCAAGTGAGTTGACATCTTCAAACTCAAACAACTTACTTGATTCTTACAAACTATACCATACCATTAGTAACAATTTCTGAAAAACCACAAATCGAAATCTCTAAAGCCATTTCATAGTTTGTGCTATTCTCTTTGTTTTCGACAAAAGTAATTAGTTATTTATTTCGTGTTTATTCTCTATCTTTGATATTCTTTATTTGCATACAATTTTAAGATATCTTTGATTGAATCAACGAATCTTGTTAGTGAGTAGTGACAAGTTTCATGTCCTAGCATATATAATATTCAATGAAAAAGGGAGGAATAAGATCATATAGTCCTTGGATTCATTGGATTCTAATACACAAAGCATCCAACCTATATCGATTAGACTCTGCTTTTTATAAAAGTGTCACTGTTTTTATTTGTGATTTGAATTGGGTGCTTGAGCTTTTAGCTTTTAGAGGGTCCCTTGTATGCAGAAAATCCATATTTTGATCGTTTTAACTTTTAAGACACTCAAAAGAGAACAATACTCTAATCATTAGGAAATAGTCTAATGACCAAAAAAGGTAAAAAACAATCCACGTGAATGGTTTATATCAAGTAATTGTGTAGCTTTCATATTTATACAAGAAACCCATAAAACGAGTTACTGATACAAGAAAAGACTTGAGGAACAAAAAGCTAAAATTTTGAAAGACAAGACCCTAATAGAGCAGAAGAGAGTAATAAGAAGCTTAACGTGACGCAGAAGCTAAAGCTACTGCTTGTGCCCACATCTTTAATCTCGCCTTAACCTCTTTCGGATCATCCCCTAATCATAGTTTAATCAAACAATTAATAACATTTTCTCTTATAGTGAAGAAAAAGTAAAAATAAATGTGAGATTAGATATGATTAAATAGTTTGATAAATTACCAGGACTTGAGATACGCCAGTTGGCAATGGGAGAGTTGCCGCCACTACTAGTCTCTCGGTTTGACCCGGGGGATATTGAAACCCGACCCGGAACATCCAGTTCGAACCCGAGATCTCTACAAGCTTTCACTTCTTCAAACCCCATCTTCATTGACTTCTTCCCTCCTCTCACCTTCGTTAACACCGTCAACTCTCCTCCTCCTCCTCCGCCGTCACTGTCTCTCTCCACGCCGTTAAACCAGTGACCGTACTGATTCCCCCTTTTACTCTTTTCCCTTAATACCCTCCGTTGACTAACTATATTACACTTACTTCCATCGATTTTCGTCGCACTCTCTTTGCTCGTTTCTAAACCGCCGGAAACTGTGAGTTTTCTTCTCCGGCGAGATGTGATCGTCGGGAGAGAGTAGAATCCGGAAGATTCCTTGTCGGAATCCGATTCGTCACCGTCATCGGAGATTTCTCCGTCAGCTTCGGCTCCGACGTCATCATTGAAGCTCTCTAGAGACAACGTAGAGATGAAATTACCCAACTCTGAAGGATGATCTTCATCGTCTTCGTGGAAGGAGCTTGTGCATATAGATAACCTAGACAAACTGTTTTGCCTTGTCTGGTAATGAAACCCATCATCTGTATCTTCATACTCTTCGTCTATAATGGAAGAAGAATTCATCATCATGCTCTCCTCAGAGGCCATTAAAGATTGACAGAAGAAAGTGAAGAGTTACAAATTCAACGTTTTGAGAATTCTCTTCTTTTTTTTTTCTTTTGAAGTGAAAAAATGAGTCAACTCATGCTCTAAGCAGATGATCTTTATTTATACGAGCCTTGGGTTTTGCGCGATTTACGTATTTGCCCTCCCTAGTTGATTTTATTTATATATGGTATATGAATTAAAAAGCCGAATATTCGGATTATGCAATGGTGAAAAAAAATATAATATTCGGATTTTGCAAAAACGTTAGATTATTTCACAAATCACTAGCAAAATAATTGTTAGTTAACTACATAATAAGAATTTTCCACAAACCTTACTCAAAAAACATAACTTAATCGAAATCCAAACACATAATAAACGAAGGGTTATGAACTAAAGATTACGCACGACAAAGTCAATTATGGAAATTTAACAAATTTATGTTCTTAGATATTAAGCTCCACAGTTGGTGATTTTATCTTAGTATCGACTGTTTTCTAATTTGTTTAGAAAATTCGACACTTTTATGTTCTTTAACGTCACCAGATTAGTGACCGCTTTGATTTTGTCTTAGTTTAGAGGCCGAGTACATTCAGACATTTTTCCAAAGCCTATCACTCTCGGGCATTATAAGTAGCGACACCTGTAACGCGTGTTTAATTCATTAATCCAAAATTGTAGCTTTAGGTAATCGACCGTTTATTACATTTTTAGTATATGATAATATATCATATGCATCTGTATAAACTATTTTTTCCATAACGCGATAACGTTTTGAGGATCTCTGTTGCTTTTTCTAAATTGCCCCTTCTTATTAAAGGCATCGTTGGTCCCATATGCCTTATTTGGTGAGGGTAATTCAGGAATTACAAAAGATATTCGTCAACTAATCAATACAATAATACCAACACCTTTGTTGATGTTTTCTACAATCAATAATTAAGAAATGAGATTTCTTTTTTTGAATGAAAATTATTAAGAATGAGATTTCACTAAAATAATAAACAAACAGCTAGTAACTGTAGCTTTTCCACGCATTACTTACTTAAATAAATAAAATGTGTATACACACTCTGAAAGCTATGTTTAAATTTTAAATTATTAAGTATAATCGATATCATAAAAATATATATAAAGGTCCTAACTCCAAAAATTTCAAAATTTTACAGAATATAAATTTACAAATTGGAAATTATGTTTGCAAACACCAATTATTACATGTACACGGTAAGGAAATTTTTTTTTTTTTTTAATCATACTCGTAATTTGGAAAATTTGATGAAATGGTATTATATACAACTATATAAACATGTGAATATATTTGTTTGGCGAAGGTCGCATCAAATAAGATATGTGGTGTATGAACAAATAATAGAGATATCATTCTCAAAATTAATTACACAATAAATGTTAAGAGAGTTAGTGGTGCCGGCAGGGTTAGTCGTATGTGGCTTACACTTTTCTCCGTCACTCCTATTCAAAGTTTATCATGTGGATCCTCATTTTTGTATTTTATTGATTTTTGTTTCTTTCACTTACGAAATTTCTAATTTATATGCTATTATCTTATTTAATCTTGTGCATTTTCATCGAATCATGAACCAACGTGTACGAGCACCGGACCGGACCCATAAGATGTTTACAATTACATCTCCTTGTAAACTAAGATCATTTTTTTCTTTATTATATTGGTCACTTTCTTATTTAAATAAAATTACTACATTGATATTGTTGTAAATTGTTGTTAGTAGGATATGGATTTATATGATGGTGGATTTTCCGGATCAAGCTGACCGTAGGATCATTTGACCAGTCGCTTTGACTTTAGTCTTTGGCGCCTGATATCCGAACACGTGCTGCGTTAGATAGCAATGGGTTTACCATCGTTAATGGGCTAGCCCGAATGATTCATAGTAATAGCCCAATATCTTAATTAAGTCTTTAGCCCATGAAGGTTCATATATAGACAAAGTAGAAGCATTTGCTTCAACCGTCGATTGGTTGAAGCATCACAGGTAAGTCGTACTGAGGCTGAAGAGTGAGGTGATCTGCCGGCGCGTGTTTATAATCGGCGGAGAGTTTGATCCGGAACCGTTGAAGAATCATGGCGAGAACTGTCTTGGCTTCCATTATGGCAAAGTTTTGGCCAATGCAAGCTCTTGGTCCGATTGAAAACGCGAGAAGAGCGTTTGGGTGATTAGCGGCTCGAGAATTGCCGTTTTCAAACCGCATAGGGTTGAATTTGTCGGCGTCACTTCCCCAAATGGCTTTGTCTCTGTGCATCTTCACAATCGGAAGGACTATAGTCGTGCCTTTAGGGATCTCTATGTTTCCTAATTTCATATCTTCTGATGCTAATCGGAGCACATTTAATACTGGTCCGTATAGACGAAGTGACTCCATAAACACCATGTTCATCTGCAATAATTATTTGTAGTTAGATCAAAAAAAAAAAAAAGGTTTCTTCAGCCGCAAGAAACTACTTTGAAATTTGCATTTACCAGTTTGAGTTTAGCGCATGTCTCTGCATCTGGGATTTTGTCTTTACCGCATTCGTTGAAAACTTCTTCTCTGAGCTTCTCTTGCCAATCTTGGTGCAAGCTAAGCAACATTGTACTCCATGTCAATAGATTCGCAGTTGTTTCGTGTCCTGCGAAGAAGAACGTCTTGCATTCTTCTATGATCTCATCAATGCTCATCTTTTTCTCAGACTCGTTAGAGCTTGCAGCTGTTAACATGATTCCCAGAAGATCATTTCCGTAATTCTTGGATTCCGATTTTAGCCTCGCATCTATGATTCTTTTGGTCGAGCTATTCACTTTCCTATCAAGCTTCCATATTTGAAGATTCGAAGGCGTAGGAAGATACCTTGGGGGATACAAGAAAGAAAACAAATCACTAAAACAAAAACGAACTTTAAAAGTAGAAGAGTGATTATACTTGACACTTACTGGATTCCAGGGAAATAGACGTCAGTAAGAGCAGCAGCACAACACTTTTGGAGCTCTATTTGTGATTTAAACACTTCAATTCCTTCCGCATAACTGCTTCCAAACGCAGCCGTCGCTATGATATCAGCGGTCAATCTCTTAAACTCTCTGCTAATCAACACCACTTGCTCTGTTTCGCCACCATTCCTCTGTTTTCCCCACTCGTCGAACATTCTCAAAGTGCAATCCACCATCAATTGGGTCATAAGCTGATCATTAACATGAAGAAATTTATAGCAAAGTGCTATCTTTTACTGGCATCTAATTAGATATATATAAGAAGGAATGATTTTAGAAAAACCTTGAGTTTGTCCATAGAGAATGCAGGGTTTAAGATTCGTCTATGCCGAACCCAATCAAGACCATTTACGAAGATAAGTCCATTACCAGCAAGTTTAAGGATCTCAGGTTTTGTCTTTGATTTAGCAAAAAAACCAAACTTGTTCGATAAGATCTGTTTCGCTAGCTCATGATCTGAGATGCATAACCTTGGCTCTGTTCCTTGCCAGTAAAGAAAAGTCTCTCCTAATAAAATAGTACCATTGGTATCGTGTTAGTTACGCATCTTTGTCTAGTGAAACACAAAAAAAAACTAAAGAAAGGAAGATCAGATAGATGGAGAACTAAAACGGCACCGTATTGAGCCATCCATTGCTGAAGATGAGGTAAAACGCGAGGGACGATATCGTTGGAGTTTGGATCAAGAATCTTAAGCTTAGCTTCGTTCTTCACCTTCCTAATCTCACGGAGATTCCCGTACAAGATCCTGTATTTTGGGCCTGAGATTCCTTGCTTCTTGAATTTTCTTGATAGCATCAATGGCCGCCAAACAAGGATCCGACAAGCTCCATATATCTTCGGAACTACAAGGAGCACTAGAGCTATTGCTAAAAGATTGATCGTGCTCAAGAGCTCCATTGGAAGAACAAACAATTTTTTTTTTTTTGGTTTGAGTTTGCTTTGTGGTGGATTCGAAGTGGGGTTTTCAGTTTTATGTCTCTTGTGAGTGTGAGGTCGTCGTGACTTCTATTTCTGATATAAGCAAGCACAAGCACTTCTATTTCTATTTATTTATGTTTTGAAGAAATAATGAATAAAATTCTAACCGAACAAAAAAAGAGATAATGAAAAGAACTTTAGAGCATGAGCAGTGGTAAAGACTCATAGAGTCTCTCAAAAATTAAAAATTAAAAAGAAAAAGCAAAACCAATCAAATTTTGTCATGTGTAAAAGGAGTCTCTCGAGAGGTTCTCATATGTTCTCATTTGAGAATCGATTCTTGTTTCTCATTCCTCTTTTTCATTATTTTTCTTTTTAATATTGTTGAGAGACTTGGTGAGAGATTTCCACCGTGGATGCTCTTATGTTAACTTTGGCATCTAAAAAAGAAATATTCTAAGCATTTTCTTAATTTGAATTATGAAAGATAATTTGTCTTTTACTAGTTGAAGTTTATTCGAGTTATACAGATTAACAAAAGTAGTTCTGAATTTTATTTGAGAACTGAGATATGATATGAGTGACAAAAACATAGGAGTTAGCATCACACTTGGTTTTTAACAAAATTCAACGTAATTTAATGGAGTTTATTTTACATAAGAAATAAAATAATACTTCCTCCGTTTCATATTAAGTGTCGTTTTAGCCTTTGAATTTTGTTTCAAAATAAGTGTCGTTTTGTGTTTTCAATGCAGATGTTTGGTAAAATATCCAGTTTTGTCCCTACTAATTTAATGTATTGACCAATGAAAAAACAATAAAATATATAGATAATGGGTAAAACAGAAAATTTAATTGTTTTCTTAATATGTGTGCAAAAACCTTAAAAGACATTTGTTATGAAACAGAGGGAGTATTATAACAAATGTCTTTTAAGGTTTTTGCACACATATTAAGAAAACAATTAAATTTTCTGTTTTACCCAATGTAACGGACGATAAATAAAGTATGTTTTTTTTTTTTTTTTTTTTTTTACAAATCATATAATAAATGATTTTAAATAAAGTATGTTAATGGAGGTGTGGGGACAGTAGTCTTTTAAATTCATTGAACAACATCAATTATAATAGATGACGTGATTGCTTATGCAAGTAAATCTTATCTTCTCGAAGCTTACAAGTTACAACAAGTTAGAAACATAAGTTATATAGATGTTGTTTCTAGGGATATGACACACGTAGAAAATCGTAAGCTTACGTGATCGTCTCAAAAGGCAACCACGAATAACGCAAACAGCGATCCAGATTTTTCGTTTGGAATTTTGCCATTTTTTGTAATAAAATCTGATATACTTTCATCATCATAATATTTTGATTTTTGAAGTTATAGGACAATTTCTATTGTTATAACTTATTAACATTTTGCACTGTTTTTTTTTTTCTGAACAAAAGGAGGTTCGAGATTCCTATATTTTAGATTTATTATGATGCATTTATTAGTTTATTATCCCCGAAACCAATTTCTATGTGAACAATACTGGATTTATCCAAGTACAAAAACAATGACTCACGCAACAATATATATATTTTGTCACAAAACAACAGTTAGTCAGTTTCAACAAATACAATTCTTTCTCTGCACCACGGAAATCAAGAATATATATTGTCGGTTACTCATGTTTCAAGTTGCTTTTAGCTTTTTAATTCATGATGAAACGTTCCACTTTTCAATTACACATGCAATATACAGTATCACATCACATATACGCCGGCTTTAAGCACAATATATTAATGACTATTTAGCCCATCAAGGGTTCCAACTGTAAAAGCCCAATAATTTAACAAGGATTAGTTATAAAGCCCCCACCATAAGAAATAAGCCGGCCTATATGAAGACTTGTCACACACATAAGGTAGAGAGATACGTAGTTTCATTAAGACATCCGATTAATTTGGGCATTTTACTTCAGTCTTCCAGAGGCTGAAGCATTACGGGTAAGCCGTACTGAGGCTGAATAGTGAGGTGATCCACCGGCGTGTGCTTATACTCGTCACAGAGGCTAATAAACCGAAACCGTTGAAGAATCATGGTGAGCACAGTCTTGGCTTCGATCATGACAAAGTTTTGGCCAATGCAAGCTCTTGGTCCGACGGAGAACGCTAGGAGAGCGTTTGGGTGGTTGGCGGCTCGGGAAACGCCGTTTGCAAACCGCGTTGGGTTGAATTTGTCGGCGTCGGATCCCCAAAGGGTCTTGTCGCTATGCATCTTCAGAAGCGGGATGACGACGGTTGTGCCCTTGGGAATCTCTAGGTCACCTAGCTTTGTACTTACTGATGCTTCTCGGGACAAAGCTGACACTGGTCCGTAAAGTCTAAGCGACTCCATGATCACCATGTTCATCTGCAAGAAATAAACAGGTTTCTTCAACCGCAAGAAACATTTTCTCACAAGAAACCCTTTGAAAAAATGGAAAACAATACCAGTTTGAGTTTGGAGAAAGTTTCTGAATCTGGGTTTTTTTGTTTACCACATTCTTTGAATATCTCTTCTCTGAGTTTCTCCTGCCAATCTTGGTGCAAGCTCAGCAACATCGTTGTCCATGTCAATAAATTCGCAGTAGTTTCGTGACCTCCGAAGAAGAAAGTCCTGCATTCATGTATGATCTCTTCGATGCTAATCTTTGGTTCGTTCCCTTCAGTTTTGTAAGCTTTCAACAAGATTCCCAGAAGATCGTCTCCATAATCTGATTGTGACTCTAGTCTCGACCTTATAATTCTCTTAATGGACTTATCCATTTTCCTCTCCAGCTTCCATATCCGAAAGTTCGAAGGCGTAGGAAGATACCTTAGAATACAAGAAACACGACCAATATATTTCAAATCTTGTCTGATCAGAGAACTGAAAATAGCAGAGTGATTAACTTACTGAGTTCCAGGGATAAAGATTTTGTTGAGAGAAGGTATACAACACTTTTTAAGCTCCATTTGTGATCTAAACACTTCGATTCCTTCGACGTAACTACTTCCAAACGCAGAGGTCGCTATTATATCTGCTGTTAGTCTTTGGAACTCTCTATGCATTTCCTTTTTAATCATCGGTTGCTCTGTTTCTTCCTTAGTCCTCTCTTTTCTCCACTCCTCTAACATCTTGAGCGTACAATATACCATCACGGTAGTCATGATCTGATCAACAAAATGAAAAATTACATCTGTGTTCTCTAAGGGTTAATTTCTCAAATCGAGCTAAGAAAGAAGGACTAAAAGACCTTGAGCCTATCGATGGAGAAAGCAGGGTTCAAGATTCTTCTATGGCGAACCCAATCAGCACCTTCGATAAAGACAAGTCCTTTGGAGCCGACGAGTTTAACGGCCTCGGGTCTTATCTTTGATTTGACAAAGAAACCTAATTTGTTCGACAAGATATTTTTTGCAAGTTCAGGATCTGAGATGCATATCCTTGGCTCTGTTCCGTTCCAGTAAAGAAATGTCTCTCCTAGTAATATATAACATAAATAACTTGTGTGTTACGCATTATCCTCGAATAAAATCTAAAATTAAAGAGGAACAAAGAGAGAGATGGAGAAAACGGCACCGTATAGAGACATCCATCGTTGATAATGAGGAAGAATACGAGGGAAAATATCATTGGAGCTGGGATCAAGAGTCGAAAGATGAGATTCTCTCTTCATCTTCTTTATCTCGTTGAGGTTTCCGTGAAAGATTCTGTACTTTGGGCCTGAGATTCCTTGGTTTTTGAATCTTCTGGTCAACACAAATGGATGCCAAACAAGGATCATAAAAGCCTCGAAGATCCTTAGACCAATAAGGAGCAAGACAATTAGTGCCAAGAAAATTACGAGCTCCATTGAAAAAACCAAAAAAAGTTTTTTTTTTTTCCTTTCTTTGTGTGTGTGTATAATTGTTGTTGATTTGGTGTTTTAAGTTTTACATTATATAATGACATGCATATATAACTTCTTACACTTGAATTTGTAAAATAAGTGTGAGCGGCCAGTGAATTAGGCACTGAACATGCATGAAGTAAACACAAACACGTCTGTTTATTTTCAATTTGAGAACAAAAAAAAAAGTAATTAATAAAGTAAAAGGTGTCTTATATATGGTATGATGATAGAGTATATTCTAAATTTGTCTATAGCACAGATTGTTACGTAATAAGAAGATTAGAGAAAGTATTAAAGAGAAGTGGAAGTCTTCTAGATAAAAGAAAAATATAAAATTACTCATGAAAGTAGTACTTTTGGGAGAATAATTCAGGATTTGAATTCACACTTGAATAAATATAGAACGGTTAGCATTCATTGTATCTTAGGTTTACTGTCTAAAATGATAAATCTCTTCACATCCAACGGTGAGGTGCGATAGATTCGTGGTTGTAGATTGTAATCTTAGGAAATTTTATTTTAAGACGTCTCTTATTCCTCTGTTTTGTTTCGTATACACCTTTAAAAGGTGGATGCAGATTTTAATATTGTAATTAAGTGAATTTGTTAAGACTTAACTATCCAATTTCTTTAACTTTAGTATCTTGTTATCTTAGCTTTGAACAATAATCAACTTTTAAAAAGAAAGAGCCTTCACACTAACTATTTCAGAAAATCGGACTAGATTGTCTTGATACGATGATTTGTTTTAAAATATCCGGATCATGCTGATATAATATTTTTGGATACTTGTCCTACTAGTCATCCGTTAGTGTTTTCTTAAGCTGCTCCAAAATTTAACATCATAGATTCCCAATTTATTAGTGGGATTAGGCCCAAATTCGATGTAGAATAACACATACGAGACACATGTAAACGGTAGATATGTAGGGTTTCTTTTAGTAAAACGTTTTTTTTTTTTTTTTTCCATCTCATCAATTTGGGGGATTTAATTCAAATGTGGAGAGGCTTAACCATTATGGGTAAGCCGTACTGTGGATGGAGACTGATGTAATCCATCGGAGCGTGCTTATACTCGCGGGAGAGGTTAAGCCGGAACCGTTGAAGAATCATAGTGAGCACAGTCTTAACTTCCATCATGGCAAAGTTTTGGCCAATGCAAGCTCTTGGTCCGATTGAGAACGCGAGGAGAGCGTTTGGGTTATTAGCGGCCTGAGAAACGCCGTTTGCAAATCGCAGCGGATTGAATTTGTTGGCGTCATCTCCCCAAACGGCTCTGTCGCTGTGCATCTTCAGCAACGGGAAGATTATGCTCGTTCCCTTGGGGATCTCCACGTGTCCTACCTTCATATCTTGTGTTGCCACTCGAGACATTTGAATTATGGGTCCGTACAGACGAAGTGACTCCATTAACACCATGTTCATCTGCAAGATATAACATGTTACTTCAATCACAAGAAATCATTTGCTTTAACCGCAAGAAACTCTTTGAAAAAGGCAACATATTATACCAGTTTGAGTTTGGATAAAGTGTCTGAATCTGGGATCTTGTCTTTACCACATTCCTTAAAAACCTCCTCTCTGAGTTTCTCTTGCCAATCTTGGTGTAAGCTAAGCAACATCGTAGTCCATGTCAATAGAATCGAAGTAGTTCCGTGTCCTGATATGAAGAAATTCTTGCATTCTTCTATGATCTCATCTATGCTCAACTTTTTCTCGGGATCTTCAGACGTTGCAGCGTTTAACATGATTCCTAGAAGATCATCATCTCCATAATTCTTCGATTTTAGCCTAGTATCAATGATTCTTCTGATCATGTTCTTTACTTTCCTATCGAGCTTCCATATTCGAAGATTCAAAGGTGTAGGAAGGTACCTTGCAGTATAAGAAAGAATCAAAACTCAAGAATCTCGTCTGATCGAATAACTGAGATTATACTTACTGTTTTCCGGGTATGAACACTTTGGTGGCAGAAGTAACACAACAATTCCGAAGCTCTACATGTGCTCTAAAGATTTCATTTCCTTCGGCGTAACTGCTTCCAAACGCAGTAGTCGCTATAATATCAGCGGTTAATCGATAAAACTCTTTCTTCATCTCCATCTCCATCACATTTTGCTTTGTTTCTTCATATTTGTTCTGTTTTCTCCACTCCTCGAATATCCTCAATGTGCAATCCACCATCGATTTCGTCATGACCTAAACATAAGTTATCAACAAGTAATGAGATTAATTACTGATTGTTCTAATTAGGGCTGTGTTTCCCAATCCAGAAAAAAAAGATTAAAAAGACCTTAAGCCGGTCAGTGGAGAATGCAGGGTTCAAGATTCTTCTATGGCGAACCCAATCAGCACCCTCAGAGAAGGAAATTCCTTTACCGAAAAATATGAGCAACTCCGGTCTCCTCTTTGATCTAACCGAAAAACCTAACTTGCTCGACAAGATTTGTTTAGCTAGTTGAGGATCTGAGGTGCAAATCGTCGGCTCTGTTCCATTCCAGTAGAGAAATGTTTCTCCTATAAATAACAACAGATAACTGGTGCGTTAGACATTCTATTGTAAATTCAAAACAAGTAATGTCGACAAAGAGAGTAGAGAAATGAAACGTCACCGTATTGATGCATCCAATGCTTAAAATGAGGAAAAACGCGAGGGAAAATATCGTTGGTGTTGGGATTAAGAACCGAAAGGTTAGCTTCTATCTTCATCTTTCTTATCTCCCTGATGTTTCCGTAAAAGAGTCTGTATTTAGGACCTGATATTCCTTGTTTCTTGAACCTTCTAGATAGCATCAATGGCCGCCAAACAAGGATCCAACAACATTCCCATATCTTTGGGACAACAAGGAGCAGAAGAGCAAGTGTTAAGAGATTGGTTGTGCTCAGAAACTCCATCAAAAGAAACTATGAGGAAAATGGTAATGTGGGTGTTTAAGTTTGCTTTTGTGATGAATTATGGTTTTCAATAATTATGAGAAGCCAGTGATTTCTCTTTGTAATATGAATTGGGCTCAAGAAAGACTGTTCACTTTTCCTTTATCATTGTGAAAAAGAACCCAAAAATCTAACACTGATGAAAAAGTAAATTCACATTTTAAAAAAAGATGAGTAAATTCACATTCTATATGATAAATATGACCTAAGTAGAATAATTAGTACTTTTGTTTTCATATAAATCCTATAAAAATCTTTAATTAACTACACATATTTTTTTGGAGTTTTCATTAAAAAGAGTAATATAATGTGCTTATGGTATGATAGCATATGGAGTCGGATTCTAGTAATTTCTGTGGCAGATAACGAAATTAGTAAAGTATAGAGAGGAGATGCGGACAGAGTCTACTAGGTTAATCGAACAAATTACTACTTAATAAACTAAATATAGTAAAGCATTGTTTGGAGAGTTAATTTGGTATTTGAATAAATATAGTAAAGCATTGTGAAAATAAAAAAATAAAGATGAGAGATATTTATCAACCAACGGTGCAATGTGATTGATCGTGACATCGAATCTTGTCAACAAATTTTCGTTTGTTATTTACTTTTGCTGTTTTGCATGGTTTCAATTTAAAGAAAGTGGTTGAAAATTTTCTATTCTAAAGAATTGGTTTAGACTTAACCATCTCACTTTCTATAAGTATCATGTTAACTTTTGAGATAAGAGTCATCTATTTTAAAGAAAGAATCTTCGCATTAATTTCAACGCACCAGACATCAGCCGTTAATATCAGAAATTCAGTGTCCATGTGAGTCCCATACTCCCATCTTTATTAATCATTACACTACAATTTTACTCCCCTGTTTTCGCGTTTGAAAAAGCCCATTTAAGAATATTAGTCCACTGAAAAGCCCACCAAGCCCAATTTTAGCACGTTATCTCATCGTTGAGATTGTTCCTTATAAATCCAAAACATGGCAAAATTCGTTTCAAATTCCACGATTTAGGTCAAAAAGGTACAATGAGTCGTCTTCATGTCACATCTTAGTTGGGTTTAGGGTTTACTTGGGGAATACACAGTGTTTACTTGCAGAATAAGATAAAAGAAACAACGTTAAACCGACATCGAATCCGTTCTCGATCGAGGTTAATTTCATTATCCACAAGATTAATTCCAGTCGGCAAATTAAGTAAGTTTAAAAACCCTAATTGCTATTTTCTTAGACCACTCGTTTCTTGTTCACTTTGTTAGTCTGTTTGATTTCAACTCATCATATTTTGACTAGTAGGGCTTAGATTGGATCTCATGGACGGCAAAAAGGTAAAATATGGCTCTAAAGGTGCAATCAGCTCTCTTCCAGATGAGACTGCAATATATCCAAATTGCTCAAAAAAGTAAAATCTCCTAATTGATCACTCATAATCATTCACATCCTCTATTTATAACTTATATACAATCCATGATAACTTATAGTTGTTATATTGAACATTGTACATCCACTTTGAAAATAGTTGGAATCAAGTTCTATCATTCCAAGAATCAAGGCCCAAAAGCCCATAGACTACCAACACAAAGTAGACGATACTTGAAACAATCATTTTTTTTCTTCAAGTTAGTTAGTTGGAGAAAACATCAACTACCTACAATCTTTAGTTTTGCGAGCGATAATAACTATAACCGTTGCTTCCTCTATACTGCATTGCATCTTCTAAGTTTGAGGTGGACGCAGACTTTGGGAATTGAGTAAAAGAAGTAGCCTGAGTCTGAGGAACACACGAAGGCACCACGAATTGCTGACAGCAATTTTCCAATGGAGAAAAGATAGGAGTGTTTGGGATTAGTCCTGTGGGGTGATTAAGAAAGCTTAGCATTTGTGATGATGCATTGTTGATCCCGGGAAAACTGGTTCCTTGAACATTCATAGGTAGGAATTGCGGTACCGATGTTGGTGTTGCTGCTGCAGCCATATGCATTCCTAGACCCATGGGAGGGTAATGACCCATTGGCAACATCATAGGTGGTCGTATTAATCCATTTCCCATACTCATCATCTGTAAACATGTTAGGAATCCATTAAAAACAAAATGTAGTAAAATATATAATGAATAAAAAAATTCTTCTGTATTAATTAGTGTTTATGTTTCTAATTTGTATTGTTATTTTTTTCCTAATGAAACTAGTTTCTAGTGATTTGATCGAGTCATTTTTCAATAGTAGAGTTTAAAGCCTAAACGCAAAAATATGTGAAGAAAAAACATTTCTACAAAATATTTATAAAAAAAACACACAAGTTTACTTGTAAATGTAAATGCTTCAAACAATTGACACCTGAATCATTTTATATAATTTATCAACTCGTTTATTTTTTATGATCCATGAAATTTTATTGAATTGGTGTATTATTTTGAATACCTGAACTTGATGTTGAAGGGTCCTCATATATTTGATAGCCTCATCCAACAATGATGCCTTATCATCCTATAAACAATTAGACATATTCAGAAATCTCCACAAAGAGAAGATTAACGCTCTAAGTAAACAATGTAATGTGGTTTAAGTTAATCTCAAACCTTGTAACAGTTTGGTAGTATGTCCTGCAAAGCACGCATTTTCTTGTTGAATTCATCTCTTCGCTTCTGTTATCAAATCCTTAATTAGCATTAATTTTCATACATTAATTTTTTCTACTAAGGTGAAATTTTCATAAATATAAACTCACTCTTTCATATAACTTATGGACTTCTGTGCTTCGTTTTCTCTTAGTCACCGGCTTTCTTGTTCTCGCATGAACTTGTGTCTTCGCATCATCTGATTCATCATCGGAATTCTGCATAACAAACAAAAAGATTAACATTTTTTTTTTTTATGATCTACCATGTGAAAGAATTAAGACAAGAATTTAATGAACCAGCTAATTAATTTCTCTTACATTACTTAAATAGGTTGATTCTTCTTCTTCAATGTCTCCATGCTTCCTCTTTAAAGAACAAAAACTTAGATCTCTTGAAGTTCCTCGAGAAAACATCGATGAAGAAGCAAAATACAATTCCGTGGATCTTCCAACAGCTGCAGATTGCTCATCAGGAGGAGTTCTAGTAACTTCAACATTCTTTGGACCTTTAGAAGAATCATCAATTAATGTTGATGATTCAACACGTTTGTTGCTTTTCGAAACATTTCTCTCAAATTCGATTTTGGAGGACTTAAGCTTCTTCTTATTCATATGTTCGTTGTTTTCTTTATCTTGTTGTGGCTGAGACTCATTCACAGGAACAACTTGTGTATCACCAAGATTCTTGATGTTTTTCTTGAAACCCTCATTGTACTCGGTCTCATACAAATCCAAGAGAGATTGCCTACGTTGATTTTGAAAAGAACCGTTGTTCTTGAGTCTTCGACCCTTTGCAAGAATCTGCCCATTTTCACACACCAGTTCCATATAATCTTGATCTTTTAATCTGTAACAAAAGAGTCACTAATTAACAAAAAATAGTCACGTATAAACAAACATCACTCAATAGAAGTCGTAAAAAGTGTAGATGAAACCCATAAACTTACTTTGGTTTAAAGCTTGATGATGGAGAAATAATGTTTGGTTGAGATGATGATGATGCTAAGGGCTTTTCTTCCATTGAAGTGAACTGAACAAAGCTTTATTTACTTCTTTTTTTTCCGGTTTTTGTGAAATTGTAGAATCAGAGAGATTCGGACTTCACACACTTTGGTCTTCTTTATTATTGGGGTTTATGAAGAGCTGCATATATATAGTCGGTTGTATATATGTATACTCTGTTATTTATTTATTTTTTCGGTTATTTAATTTATGATTGATATATGGAGGATTTGTTTTTTGGTCCACAACTCATATATTTATCCTTCAATCGAGATTACGACACGGGATAGACAATTAGTATAAATTCTTACAATACGAATTAACTTCGGTCAATTTCAAATCATGTTAATTTCAGATTTATAGATATTTACCATATTTTGATATTTATAAATCTGAAATTTACGATACAGACTTTGGTCGACTTCAAATATTAATAAGTAGTATTCATGTTAATGTGTAAGTCTCTCATTTAGTTTTATAATTAAAAAATATTATTGAATTAATGAAAGAAGAAGAATATAATATTGGCATTGTATGGGAGAAGCAAGATAATGTATGGGCGATAGTGAAAGACAAAGATATGTATAGAGACATAGACATTCTTATGACCGACTTCTCCATCCTCCACCGCTCCATTTTTCCGTGCTTCAGAAAAAGAACAGAAAATTAAATAAAAATAAAGTGAAATCTACGATTACAATTCTCTTTCTTTTTTTTTGTCTTCATATGATCTGAAATGAGAAAATCTTAAGCATGATCATTTTTTTAACGTCTGATCCATGAATTTTCTTTTGGGTTGATAGTTATACAATACACATTTTTTTTTTGTCATCGTTATACAATACACAGTCGTCAGATATGTTTTTGTGTACTTGCGTTTTAATTAAAAGCTCAAGAAACAAAATACATTAAATAGGTTTTTCATTGCAATTTATGGAATTATCTTCATGATATATAATGGTGGACCAAAAAAAGAGATAATTGGCTGAGAAGTAACGGATCCAGGCTTATTTAAATTTTCGACATTATGCTCTTCGACCCAAGACATTGAAGATTTCAGCCCATATTTCTTCCGTTTATACCCTCACGCGCTATAATCGAACAGCCCAATTTATAACGCGTTACATTGGAAAAAGAAGAAGATTTCTCTTTGTTATCTCCTCTCGAGATATTAAACAGTCACTTTATTATCTCTCTCTGGAAACTTTAAGTCTCGTCGTCTTCTTCCTTTGTTTCGAGGACCGAGTTTGCTCCGGTGAGATTGCTAATCGGCGTCGCCTCATATCACAAGTAACTCGGTATCCCGTAGACCCGAATTCGAAGAGGCGAACTGTCACTTTCATTCTCTTCCAAAACCAATTGATTTTTCCTTAATTCGTTTAGATCTCTCTGTTTTAACTTCTGTTTTCATTTTTTTCGCTATTACGATTTTGTTTTCTATTGTTAGGCTTTCGTCCTCAAATTTCCTTATACACATCCTTAGATCTGCATGTATCTTCACCTCTTTGACGTAGATCCACTGTTAGACATCCATAATTTTATTTGGAGCTTCATACATAAATTGCATCTCATCATCTTCCGTTTATTGATCTATATTTCTAATAAATTGGCTTCTCTGTTTTGCAGGAAAATGGCAGATATTGATTTCCTTCTAGGCTTTTTGCAGACAGAGAAGAACCTGCCGGTGATCGTGTTAACATGTACTTTAAGCTTAATACCATCAAAGCCGTTCTAAAGGCCCTGACCTCCAAGGAGATCGAAACCATTCGACCTTGCTTTGGGAAAATCTTGGATCTTTACTCAAAGCCGGTGTTCTCCGGGAAGTTGGCCCACTTTCTATTAACCCGTCAGATGCAGATCTTATGTTTATATCTCTCTCAACTCTTTTCTAATTCATTCAAACCGATAAGAAAAACAACGTCGTGTTTATTATGTTTATATGCTTGAAATGTCAGTGCAAACTTTTGCTAGGGACGCAACGCCGGTGGTTGATGACACATACCTCAAAGGTAACATAGCCAATGTAACATAGAGTTCTACGTTTGCAAATAATGAGTCTTATCCAATTGTGAATATCCATGTATTAACTTGGATTGCTAAAAACATGAACAGGTGGAGACAGAACAAGGTTGGTCTTGCTGGATGTGGATTACGAGGGGGATGAACAGTTAATGGAGCCGCAAGAAAACTTATGAACATGCAAACACGAAAGTATAGATCTATGCAGATTTGTGAATGTCCAAACTGGATCTAAGAAAATATGTAAAGACGTAAGTGGATCTGGGAAGAAGAAACGACCAAATATAAATAGCTAGAGTTTTTTTGCAAACGATGAAGAAACAGTAGATTTAAAACCAACGACGGTGACTAAGAGCACAAACAAAACAAGAAGTTTTGGAGTGAAAAGGAAGAAGACGATGGAGCATAGGCTATGCATGAAATCAATCGAAACATGTTTTTTTTCTGGAAAAAAATCGAATTTAATCAAAAATTCTCAATTAGTTAATGAATTAATATTTATCTATAAATTTAGATACATGTTCATATATTTTCATAGAGTCATATATCTTATGTAAATTTAGTATATTAGACCTCTATGTGTTTATATAAATGTTTAGTCAGTTTTTGTCAAACGACATTTGTTTAGATATACAGCTACATCCCTTTTTAACTTCTATAAACTACTGTTATAGATAACAGCCCTAGGTTAGTCCTTTAAAATTTCGCATCCCGCCTAAACCTTTTCGTTTGATTTCGAATCCCACACCCTCAAACGAGAGACACACGCATTAAATAACCATCACCTCGTCTTGACTTTTGCCGAATAACTATCAGTTCTATCTGACATATTAAAGGCAAGTCAGAATGTTATTTCGGTTGCACATAGAGCCACCTCTCTTTTGCCCACGCGCATACGTATCAGGCGGCTTGGTTTTTTTGTAAATAAAGGCTGTATGTAGTCCCTTTCTAATTTTTGATACTACCTGCGAACCGACAGCTTCTGATACTACCTCTGCACTAATTATTGTTCCCATTTCTACCTCTGCACAAATTAACTCCCAAAAAAATCTCTCCCGGTGATGCTGCAACAATAATGCAACTAATATCGTTTTTTGTCGTCATGCAAATTCCTGTTAAACATGTTCTTAGAAAGTGTTAGGAATAAATTCCAAACTATGCAATGACAAAGCGTCCAACAGAAGGTAATAAATAATCTCCAGTATTAGAACCACTATTTCTATATTATTTTTGTTCATTTTTTATTTATTGGTACCGACAGATAATTAAATATCTTGCCATAGAAGATAAAAATATTATCCATACTACAAAGCTAATACTAATAGCCATGTTCATAATAGAAACGAAGAGTTTCTGTAGTTATGAAATAGATGCAAAACGAATTAAGGTCAAAACTAGCTAGACCTAAAAATTCATAATGTTGTTATATATATATATATATATATATATATTTTCATTCATAATGTTGTTATAAAAAATATAACAAAACACTAAAATTGTAGTAATGTATGATTTTCTAATAGTGAGTGAGTGATGTTGTGGTTGTTGTGTGACATGCGAGAGAGACGGGCACAAAAGGCCCACGTGAGTGGAAAGAAGCTTCACGCCATTATTAAGACATATATGGATGGGCCCATTCTTAAAGGCTTAGTTCTTTTTCTTAAATGGGACCCATAACTAGGCTTTTTTTGGCCAAGTTCACGTGCACTTCACGTGATGCGCGTGATTGATCCACCCCTTTGTGTTATTTTGTCTCCCTCCCTTCTTTGTTGCTTCTAACGACTGCTACTATTTTGTCGTCTTCTGCGTGTTTTTTTTTTTTTTTTTTTTTTTTACTTCTGCGTGTTACTTCTCGACACATTCTAAATTCTTTTTACCGACCGAATGAAATGTGAAAAATCCTCTGTGATCTCTCTATTTCCAAACAAAAATTATCTTACTAAGTGGATATCATCACAGTAAAATTGGGGATCCAACATTTTATTTTTCTGTTTCATTCGATTGATACCGAATTGTAACCATTCTTTGTTCAGTTTGGTTTTGAGATACATACCAATATTAAAATGAAATACATCTCTGTAAAAGTTAAAATATTGTAATTAACATCTCTATCAAGAACGTCTGCAGAAAATATTCGGGTTTTTTTTTAGTTTGCATTAGTTTAGTTGGAAACTGGATTGGTTTTGTTTCGATATATATCAAGATATCAGCTGGCAAAATAATTTAAAATGAAACCTTCACAATGCTATAAAAGATACGGCTCTTATGACATAAGTTGTTTTTGTAGTGGGTTCACAAATTAACTATAAACTATTCTATACGAATACGAATCAATGAGTCAAAGCATCATCTACTATCTTCTTTATTCGCCTGTACTCATGAGACCACTAAACCAAGGCTGGTTTTGTGTGAGTTCTTTTTTTTTTCCTGGTTAACACAGCTCGTCTAATTATAGTTTCTAAGTGGAGAATAACGACTTACATGTAACGTGTGATTAATTCTGAGACTCAGTGTCAATCATCCCTCAAACATTCTGCGACAATCATCTTCAGCTGCAGCATCTTTCCTCTCGCAGACTGTGTAAACCAATACACCATTTTTTAAGTTATGCTTTGAATTCATGATTTAACCATTTTTAGAATCTGATTCTTTAGAGCAGAAGAATGACTTGCCTTGTTTACAGAACCGATTCTTTTGGTCGCATTGTCCAGTTTTGTCTCGATGCCTCCTTCAAAATGCGCAATGAGTTTTTGGTGTGATGTTCCTGCCATTAAGAGATAAAAAGTTCAAGTGAGTTTAGGAAATACTTGCCCTCATGTTATTCTATATTAAAACTCTCTTGTCAAGAAGAATCTAACTTCGATACTAAATACCATCATGTTTCATAGCAGTTCTAGTGTTAGGCTTCGTTATAGTAAAAGCAAGAATTACAAAATTGAACATACTTTGCTTCTTTATGCTTCCTTTCAACTCTGAATGGTTTCCTTCAAGCTCTTCAATAGTACTCTTGAAATCTTCAAGATGATGGCTGACATCGTCCTTGAACTTTTCATGGATCATTCTCATTTTCTCTTGTTGCTCTGTTAGACGATCAGATATTATCAGTGAACACAGTAGATCAGGACCGGTCTTGCATATTCTTATTCAACGAGTGGACATATGAAGACATTTCCAGACTCTCATGTTCCACAACAATACACAACTCAAGTTTTGTTATTCTCCAGTCTCCACATAGGAATTGAGCATTTAGCTTGTCTTGAGAAACTATGTTAAAGGCAAGTTTCATGTCTATATGAGAGACTAAATCAATTATATAGCATCTATCGGTGAAAATTTTCGGACAGATAGGCGAATTGTGTGTATGTGTCTATTCAAACAGATATGAAGGTACCAGAATGAAGCAAGATGGTGAGTACTTCAAGACTAAATGCAATCTAAAGAGTAATACTTGAAATCAAGTTTCTGATTTATAACCCTGAATCAGGATTAAACTGCAAAGATAGTATATTTGAACTTCTAAGCTTTCTTAATGTTCATGACTGTGAATTAGAGTACAATATTAAGATATAATGTGTTGATGTACCTTGTAATCTTGTTTCGGCATGCTTTCTCTTAGTTTTGGCTAGGTTACTCGTCTTTCCCCTGTACCATAATTAGCAAGATCATTGATTGATTATTTAAAAGAAGCAATACAGAATAAATTCTACAAACATACGCTTCTGTTATGATATGAGACTTGACATTCTCCAACTCCAGATGTATCTCCTCGGAGACTGATGCTATAATTTCTGAGGACTTCTTTTCAGCTGCAGATTTCAGTTTTTTCTCAAAGTTTTGAAGAGCCATAGCGAACAATGCAACAGCCCTGGGACATGGTAAATAATCAACTTAAGACAGGAACGAAGATTTAAGATAGACACGTGATATTAGTTATATCTACAAGAGACCTTCCCAAGCCTTCATCTTCATCCTCATCCATCTCTGAACAATGCTGGAAGGAATCAGTTTTATCGATCCCTGCTCAGTTTCCAGGACAAAACAAATGAGGGTGCAGTATATAAAACCACAACAGTGACATACAAATGAGCATTGTACCTTTGGACAAAGAGGAGGGAGGACTTAACACGACACGTCCAATGCCCTTAAGGTTAGAGTTCCGTTTAGCTGAGCTAGAACCTAACTTAGATTTCTCATTACTCCAATTGGCAGTTTTTCTTTCTTCGGGGCCTGAATCAGAAGATCAATAAAATAGGCAAAACATGGATTCTGTTAAGAAGAAAATAAGATCCTCCAGTTTTTATATGGTCTAGGAAAAGAATTAAGAAGCATACTGTTGTTATGGCTTAACACTGGTGAATCTTCTTCTGAACCATCTGAGTCTCTCTCATCAGACGACGGATCTGACAGAACTAAATCTTTATTTGGCTCAGGAGAACTTTCTCTTCTGAAAGAATAATCTCTTTTCTTCTCTAAGAAATCCTGAAAGTAAATAAGTAAATACAAAGGTCAAAGAGGAGTATGTAAAGTCAATATGCATAGTTCTTAAGTGTAGATAAAGCAGCTTCAGTTTATGAAGGTTACAGGCAATCTCCTTTCTGTATCTGACGCTTGGCCTGTTGTCACTTGAGAAGTTTTCTTAGTACCGAAGCTAAATATTGGTGTTTCCGTCTCTTCTAAAGTGGGACTAATATTCCGAGGTTGCAAAGGAGATGCTTCTGGAGAAAGACATGGGGAAGGACTTGAGATTGGTGCCTTATATCCAAAGGTTGGACTCTGGAATTCGTTTTCTGGCTCAACAGACTTTTCCATGAAAACATTATTCGGCCTTTCATGTTTCTCGCCATTTTTAGATAATCCCTGGAACATCTCTGGCATAGCTGCTGTCTCAGCTTCTGGCGATGGATGAAAATCTCCTTCCCTTGTGCTAATATCTGGTTTCTGTTTCCGGGCTTTGCTCTGTGGATGAAGGTCATGGGAACTTTCTTTTTTGTCTGAAAATGAAGATCTTTTGCCAGTTCCCCTGCTCTCAGAACGTGGTGGAGTATTGCTCTTGCTCGCCTCCTTCTGACTCCCATCAGCTTCATCATTTCTGCGAAAATGAGCCTTACGGCATTGTACAACAGTGTTTTTTCTTCTTCCCCTTTGTTTTTTTGGCATAACACTGGAATTCATAGCAGTGCCAATTTTTCCGCGAAAACCTTCTTCAAATGAAAATACATTATTTACTTGTTCTGTGCTTGTGCGACCTAAGTTGGCACCAGCTTTGGTTCTCTTCTGGACACCTTTGGCTCCTACCCTCCTCTGCAACAAAGATCTGGTTACTGGCCTTCTGGTAGCATTTTCAGGGCTTTCAGAATCAGTTTCAATAGAATCTGAATTGTGTCTAGGCTTAATAAGAGGATCATCTTTTGAACCCTTGTCTTGACTCAACTTGAAGTTGGTCTTCTCAACTTCTGGGGTCTCAGAGTTCACATCTTCATTATTTGCTGGTGAAGCTTTTCCCAATATTTCCCACAGTTTTGATCTCAAAACATCAGTAGTTCCATTTTTCTCCTTGTCTGGCTTATCCATCTCTCTCTGTGAGGCAACCTTTTGCTGCAAGACTGCAGATGGAGGATCTTCCATCCTCTCTGGACTCCTATCCATCACTGTATCGTTCCTGCCTCCATTCAGCTCACCATGACTCTGCTGAGGACTCGAAATGGGAAAGTTTTGAAATGAGTCACGAGCTGGTGCTGGATTGGCTCCATTAAGCCCCTTGTTTAATCCCTTGCTACCAGACAAACTAGACGTTTGCTTACAAAGAACACTCTCCAGAGTCCCTAATTTCCGATGAGACGATCTCGGAGACCTCCAAGGTGAGGTCACATGTCCTGTGACCTGAGCTGAATTCCTTTGCTTGGCAGCTAAATCACCTTTATCTTTCTTGTTCGCATGTAAATCAGTTACTGTGGCTGATTTCAACTTTTCTACTCTAGCAATAACATCTCCATCATCCTTATTTGGCACAAGATTTCTCTTGGGTTGTGAATCAGCCATTACTCCTATAGAAATCTTTCTAGATTGACTTGATGGGTGATAGTTACTGCCGAAGCTTCTATAGTCGCTCATCTTTTCCTGAAAATTATCATCACAAGGCTAACCATCAACGAACACTTAATCACTCATATATAGATCACAATAATTTCTGAATAGCAACACAAACTTGCTATCTAACGCAGATAACAAAAACGCAGGCTATATTGAGCTATAATGGATGATAATCAATAGGAATGTCAAATTTAGAACCCAGAGAAACAACACTCTGATTCTTCGTCTTCTAACTTGAAAAATCAAAACAGAATGACACCCAAAGAAGATTCAAAATCTGGCAATAGAAATACCCAAAAATAAGACAGGTGCTAGATCTGGATAATATGACGAAAACAAGAGAAGAAACAGATAATAGATGCTTGAAACGATGAATAACTAGCGAGATCTGATATCACTAGCAACGCATTTCATACCAATGCTCTCCGATTATGCAAGACAACACTATTACGCAGGTACTAAACTCAAAATCGAGACGATAACACCATTTTAACGAATGGGGGCATAGATCGCGACGATTTATCACTGAATCTGATAGTAACGAGCCATGAATCGAAAACAAAAGCAAAGAATCAATAGCTAAGAAATTACCTAATCAAAGCTCGCGGGTTGAATTGCGAAAGCCCTGACCCTCTGATTCCGGTGGAGAATAAGCGAGCAAAGAGAGAAAGAAGATCGCCGGAAAATTAACTGGAATAAGATCTGAGAAAACTGATAGAGAAAGAAGCAGAAATTCGAAATTTCTGGGAGAGAGAGAGGAGAGAAGCGGGGGAAATTAAAATTTTGATTTCTCAGAAACTGTAACAAACACTGTAGCTAAATTGCGTATACACGACGCCGAAAACTTTGGACGATTTTAACCCGATATTTCTTCGTAATTACACTACATCGTCACCGTCAGATTGAGGTTTGTACACGTGTCGTAATCTGCTTATTATTCTCAAAATTTTGGCGCCTTAATTCGCCTCTCAAAAAATTTCAATCTCTTCAAACGGAGATGGTCGTTGCAACTTGCATATGTCAAGTTTCCGTTAAACTTTGACAGTCCGGCACAGAATGTTTGATAAACCGTTAAGAAGAGCCGTCCAAATATCCGGTAACTAACGTTCATAACTGATCATTAATTATGATCCAAACTCGTAAAATAATTCACATATTTATTATATAGTTATATATATATATATATATACATCGTATTTGATAGTTTATAAACATACATAATATGTATAGGATAGATTTACAACAAAAAAAAAAAAAAAAAATTGAGTTGATACTTAATATGTAGTAGATATGGAATACTATAAGGGTATAACCACCAAATTGGGGTTCTAATTAAAACCATTTGTTTTCTATAAAAATTAGACTAAACATCCTAAAACTATTTTATGCATGTTGTGAGAGAGATTATGACAGCCCACCATCAAACCTCTCTTCTAATTCAACAAAAAAATTACAACCATTCAATTATCATCACAAGTGGTAAGTTGATTAAACTGTTCTCAAATATGATTAAAGTGATAAAATTGGTTTCCTTTTTTTACTTTAGCATCTTCTTGCATTTGATTCAAATGTGATCCTCATGAAGGAAAGGTAAACGAAATGTTTAAACATAAAAGAAAGTTACAAACTGAGTGAGTGAGAGTTAAGGGGAAGTGTTTGCTTACCATCTTGATGTCCCTTTCAAAATTAATATTCCAAAATGTCCACGTATCCAAACATGAAAAATTGGTTTAATTAAAGGGAGATTGACACAAATAGCCCCAAAAAAGTTGTTTTTTCCAAAAATAGCACCTCATTTGAAAAGTTCCACAAATAGCACCATAAACTTCAATTAAACTTAATGAAAATATAAGATAGAAAATAAAAAAGAGAGTAAACACTAATCTAATATTAAATTGAATCAAAATTGTTTTAAATAGTGGAAATATATACCCTAATTTGGAAATAGGGAACCCAAATATAATACCACAAACTAATATTAAAATAAAAATCTCTTTTAAATGGTGAAAATATATACCCTAAATTGGAAATAGGGAACCCAAATATAATACCATAAACTAATATTAAAATGAATCAAAATCTCTTTTAAATGGTAGAAATATATACCCTAAATTGGAAATAGAGAACCCAAATATAATATTTTAAATTTATTTCTAATTTATTTTGTTGAATAGCTTTTATATAAAAGTTGTGGTATTATTGAAAAAAAAAAGCTAGTGATAAAATTTTTAGAACAAAAACACTAATAGTAAGTTAACTAGTGCTATTTTTGGAAGTTTATGGAGTGTGTGCTATTATTGTCAATAAAACTTGTTTTAGGGCCATTTTTAGGAATTTCTCTTAATTAAAAAGATAGGAAAAAAACACTCGATTAAGTGTCATAATGTGAGGAACGAGATTACGTCATACAGAATCAACAGGGACAAAATGTCACACTACCCAGTGTATTTGCTTTGTAAGAAACTAAAAATCATTTCAAGATTTGGTAAATCTATATACAATTCATGAATTGCGTGCGTAATCTAAACATTTCTAAGGATTTAGACGAATATTATATAGTATCTATAAAAAGACACGCACGTAACATCTCGACTCAATACCTATACGCACGCATGCAAGTATCTTTACTTTATGGAGACTATCGTCTATTATAAACGTATTAAGCTTCAGCATCATAACCATATAAGACCTCCACTTGGTTGCCCTCGTGGGCTACTCTTCCATTCATATAAACATATATACATCCAATCAACAAATGAAACAATCCGATTAATTCAGTAATGTTAAAGCAAAGGGAGGAAACAAAAGGCTATGATTAGTCCAACAAGAGGGGCTACAAAAAAAAGCCACGAGACATGCAAATGCAATCACGCATCTTAAAAAGCAAGCCCAAGTTTTGACTGACAAGCAACCACGACGCAGTAAAGTGGAGTTCTCAAAATTAGCGCATATATAAAGTACTTGAACTATGTGTGTATGTTTCCAATAAAATGCAATTCTATAATGACTGCCAAAATGCAATTATTTTTGTGGAAATATCGTATATATCTTTTTCTAACAATTTTTTTTTTATTTTATTCAATATAAAAAGATATGAGGATATCTATAATTTATATATCATAAGATTAAAGTTGCAAAGAAAGAAAGGGAAGATGTGAAGGAAAATAATTGGAAAAATGAGGGGACAGAGAGGAGGCGGAGGCAGTAAGAAAATAAGAAAGTGAGGAAATTGTAATTTGTAGTGTTGTTAGGGAACATCTCTCCTTTATCTTTTTTCTCTTGATTTTTTTTGTTTCTTCAACATTTCTCTATAACTCAATAGGTTCCAACTAAGTCCACTTTTTCCAAACTGAAATATCGAAACCTGAATAAGGAGAACCAAGCCGGTTTCAACTCTAGTGCGTCTAAGTCTCTAATGCTTACATGGTTCACTCCAAACCAAAGCAGAATTTGAATCCGAATATCTGATTCTGATCTTACCCCTGAAAAACAAAAATTTTGAGTTTAATTTTGTTAGTATTGGGAGCGTCTAATAATTAGAAAATATTTATAAAAATAGCAACTATGATTAAAATCTTAGACTGAACAGTCTGAACCAAACTACACTATGCTTGCAAGTTGCATGTTGTTTTATTTTGTGAATTATGAAATTTATTACGACAAAGTGTGATTCATGACATTGGATTTTCAGAGAAATTAGTTTCACCATAAGGCACGCATCCATCAAAGTTTGATTCATTACATTGAATTTTCAAAGAAATTAGTTTTACCATAAGGCAATCATCCATTGTACAATGTACATATGTTGTGTTTGAGAGAGTCCACGTGGAAACAAAAGTGCCACGTGGGGAATGACAAGAAATGTAGTCGTTGGTCGTTGTGTCGTGAGTGTGTGTGTCTCCTTTTCCTCGTGCTTGCAAATATGAGAATTGTGACGTCTCCTTAAGTTCCATAGACAAAGGAACTCTCATTAGGTCCTCTCTTTAAGGTGAACCATTCATTACTCATGCCCCCCTCTTCCTTTGCTTTTTTTTTTTTTTTTTTTTCTTTTTAACTTTAACATTTTCTCTATTTGTTTAGTTATAATTATAACGTCTAACAACTTCTCTTCTCGCTAATATATTACGTATGATTTACATCATTACATAGGCATTTTTTGACCGGTTTGGAATGGTCTGTTTAGACCGATTATGGCAGTGCTTAATTGGTTTATTAGAAGCGTTTTGTATGAACGTAATTATAAAGTAAGAAAATGAAATTTATCAAAGGCTTACTTATTGGGTTTTGACTTTTGATTATTATGATCATCTGGTGGAACGAAGTCACATTGTTTTATGTTTAATAATGACGTGGACTCGAATCATCGTAGGCTCAAACATTTGTCATGCTTGCATATGATGGGTCCACAGCTCCACATCGTTATTTTCGTCATAATTTTTGTTAAACAGAAGTACAGAACTATACCTAATTAACTTAAGAAAGAAGTGTTAATCCGATTATTAAGCAAGCATTCACCCTAACACTTTTTTTATAAATAATTTGTTTGATTAAAATGTTAAGTGTATATATCGAGGTTATATGAAAAACACATTAATTTTGGAAATTAGAGAGAAACCCGAACCCACAAAATCATAACCAACACTTTGATCGAATCACCAGTTGACACGTGTTTCTGTCTGCTACACTAACAACATTTTTAGCGGACGCTGTCTCATCATTCCACCGTAGCTTTTTATTTGTGTATGAATTTTGAACAAAAATACGAATTAAGACCATATCAATTTAAAAAAATAAAAAAAATCCTAGTTTTATCTTCTATATAAACACACACGTACAAAGCAAGCATGGCGGCTCATTACTCATTTGTCTCAACCTTAAATTATACTATAAAAAAAGATAGATAGAGAGAGAGAGAGAGCTAGAGATATGGGAAGAGGGAGAAGTTCATCGTCTTCGTCGATAGAGAGTAGCAGCAAGAGCAACCCATTCGGTGGTTCATCAAGTACTCGGAACCTAAGCACGGACCTGAGGCTCGGACTCAGCTTCGGGACATCCTCAGGGACTCAATATTTTAACGGTGGTTATGGGTACTCCGCTGCAGCTCCGGCGGCAATGGAGGAGGAAGAAGAGAACGAGTGTAACAGTGTAGGGAGCTTCTACGTGAAAGTGAACATGGAAGGAGTTCCAATTGGAAGAAAGATCGATCTAATGTCTCTTAATGGCTACCACGACTTGATCAGAACCCTAGATTTCATGTTCAACGCATCCATTCTCTGTAAGTTAATTATATGCGATGCATAAATTATACATTCTATATCTATACATAAGTCTATGTCTATATATATATAATATAGCTTCGAGGAATCCGCTGATAATAATTAATAAAATGTTGCCATATCAGATTGGTTTATATATGTCTTAAGTAGCAAATTTCTAACGATATTTTTGTCGTTTAAGTCGTTTAAGTCGTTTTGGAAAAATAAAATAAAAATTAACAGAAACAAAATACTTCCGCCCATTACTATTCTTTTGTTTGAAGGTTAAGATCGCCGTAATCGATCGCCCATCACTATTTCATAGGTTTTTTTGTTTGTTTGTCAAAGTTTTTTTATTTTGGATAACATTGTTTGTCAGATTTATAATTCCATTAGGTTATATGGTTTATATATTGCGTAGTGTGTAATGGGTAAATTGTAAAAATGATGAAAACTGATGGCAATTGAAAAAAATGAAAACAGGGGCTGAAGAAGAAGACATGTGCAACGAGAAGAGTCATGTGCTAACGTACGCAGATAAGGAAGGTGACTGGATGATGGTTGGGGATGTTCCTTGGGAGTAAGCACTCTCTTAATCCCTTATTTTAAAAAAAAGTTTAACTATTTCCTTAGTTAGATTGTTATGTAGAAAATTATCATCCTTAATTTTTTTTTTTTTGGGTTAATTTGTTTTGTAGGATGTTCTTGTCTACTGTGAGAAGACTGAAGATTTCAAGAGCTAATTACCACTACTGATATATAAGTCTACGTACTTGTGTTAAATCGAAGTAATGCCAAGAAAGAAGTTTTTGTCGGATGTAAATCAATCGTCGGATATTTATTATATTATTTTCGTTTTTCCTCTGTGATAGTACATAAATCTTGAACTCACTCTCTGAGTCTCTGATTATTCTCTCCTGTCCTCATCTCCTCGGTAATACACAGAATATAGCAACAACAACAGAAAAACAATTATCCGAGAAACAAAAATTAGAGGATGTACTTTTCTTTTTTTGGGCAAACGAGGATGTACTTTTTATGTAGTTCAATTTCAGAAGTCAGAACATACTAGTAGTGTCAAGAAAATCAAGCGACAAATTAATGTCAAAACCAATGTCGAGAGACAAAACTTCCAAATTTTCGAAGAATTTTTTTATTTTATTACAGATTTGACAACAATGTACCTTTGATACAATGACACATCTATACTATAAAAAAAGTCGATGATTGCCTGACGATGTCTAAGCGTGGTTAGTTTTCGACGTGTTTAAAATTTAACACTTAAACTAATTTTTTAAAAAATTTAATGAAATTTCATGGTTTTATTCTTAAAGTTTAAGTGTTAAATTGTTTTAAGTTTTATTGAAAATCATTATTATTTTTTAAAAATGAGTTTAAGTGTTAAATCTATATTACGTGAAAACATTACTGAACTTCGAACACCAAAGCTTACGGACCAACTAAGGACAGGATGCCTAGGCGCGGTTAGTTTTCGACGTGTTTAAAATTTAACACATAAACTAATTTTTAAAAAGATTTAATAAAATTTCATGGTTTTATTCTTAAAGTTTAAGTGTTAAATTGTTTTAAGTTTTTTTGAAAAATCATTATTATTTTTTAAAAATGAGTTTAAGTGTTAAATCTATATTACGTGAAAACTTTCCCGAACTTCGAACACCAAAGCTTACGGACCAACTAAGGACAGGATGCCTAGGCGCGGTTAGTTTTCGACATGTTTAAAATTTAACACTTAAACTCATTTTAAAAAAATTAATGAAATTTTATGGTTTTATTTTTAAAGTTTTATTTATTTAAATGTTTTAGTGAAAGTTTTAAACTATTTAATGTTTGTTTTACTTAAAATAATATTAAAAAAAAAGAATGATAAAAGTAATACCTTGTTGGATTTGGTAGCAAAGAAGGCCCATTTAAAAAAGCCCATTAGGAACTTGGAAAATCTGAGAAGCTTCTTTGTCTTTGATGATTGCTTTCTTCCTCGACCATCGTCGTCAATGGAAACGAGAATCCTTTGATCTCCTCTCAGTCGTCTCTCTCTCGCCATCTCAGCCGTCGGTCTCAGGTTTCATCTTGGTCGAAGAAGAATCAGCATCAACTTCCATCACGCTCCTCTTTTGTTTGGTCTGGTTGGTGAAGATTTGGCGAAGAGCAACGCCAAACCAACAAATCAAGCGTCGAACAAGTTGGAGCCAAAGATGAAAAACTCATGAAATTCGATGAAATCAAAGATGAAATCGAAGACAATAGAGTTAAATTGAAGAAGAGAATCGTAAAATCAGAGAAATTGCATCTTTCTTGCTATATAACTATCTCTCTCTATATATATGTTTCTCGTTTCTCTGGTTTGTAAACGATTACACATAGAGAAGAGAAGGCTCGAGACTCTATATTTATAGACTTATGTGTTTGGGATCAAAGTTTCCTTTTTTCACTCTTTTGTGTTGTTTCTTTTTTTTTTTTTTAAGATAACGGTCAAGAAAGCAAAGTATCTAATCGTATCTTCTAATATACAACGGTCGTATACTCTTTTCATGTTGTGTTTCCTTTTTTAAAACAAATCTTCTGTGTTGTTTCCTATTTCACTTGTGAACTGGCGAGATATCAATACAATTGGTTTTTTTTGTGGGTATGTTTTTCAGGAAACCAATGTGAAATTGGATCATGTTGTATGAGTAACAAGTTCTTTTTGTGGAACATGCACTTCGTACATCACTTTCATGGCGAGAATCAAGCCAAGGTTGCCAAGAAATTAACACGCAAGTCTTACCCTATTTTCTGCCGGCCAAGTCCCAAGCTAGATCAAGATTTGTAGTCAAGGTCATTTTTGCTTTATTTCAAGGTCATTTTTGCTTTTGTATTTCTTTAAAATTGTAACTAGGTACTAACCCTTGCTACATCCAAAAGAAAATATGAGTTGTGGAAAAATAAATTTTTGTCAACTAGCAATAATTGTTATCGTCATAATAAAAATGATATATTTGGATATTCTTGTTTTGAACACCCAATGTCAAACTGTATTTATACATTACACTACCCCAAATCCCAATAATATAAGAGCAAAGAAATTACTCAAAATAGAAGAAAGACAACAACAACAATATAACAGGGCATAATTCACAAAAAAATAAAAGTAAAGTGGCAAAAAGATAATTAATTTAAGAAGCGGCGGTGAGATGAAGCTGAACTAACGAAGCATAAACTCCGTCTTTGATATTTATCAAAGTGTCGTGCTTTCCTTTCTCAACGATGACGCCGTTCTTAACGACGGCAATTACGTCAGCATTTTTAATCGTCGATAACCGGTGAGCTACCACAATTGTGGTCCGGTTTACCATAACCCGATCAAGCGCGTCCTGAACCACGCGCTCAGACTCAGCGTCAAGAGCACTCGTCGCTTCGTCGAGTAGCAACACCTTTGGATCTTTGACGATGGCTCTGGCTATGGCTACTCGTTGCTTTTGTCCGCCTGACAATTGAATTCCTCTTTCTCCCACCATCGTATCGTAACCCTAAAACAGGTAAGTAATCTCCGGTTATTTAGATCCGACCCGAGAACCCATTGATTTGGGAATTGGAGAATTAAGAACCCTAAAGGTTGGAATTGGAGAATTTGGGAATTGGATTTTTACCTGTTGCAGACCACTGATGAATCCATGGGCGTTAGATAATTCAGCTGAAGATACGATTTCGGATTCACTCGCGTCTCCTCCTTTGCCATAAGCAATGTTGGCTCTAATTGTCTCGTTGAACAAGATTGGTTCTTGGCTCACAAGTCCCGTTTGTTGTCTCAGCCATTTTAGTCGCAGGCTCTTGATCTCTACACCGTCAAGAGTGATCTCACCTGAGTCCGGATCGTAAAACCTCTGCAACAATGCGATCACCGTTGATTTCCCGCTCCCGCTTTCTCCGACCAAAGCAACTGTCTGAAATGTGAAACAGAGAAGAGAGATTTACTCAAAGGTTCTACCTTTTTTCTTAAAGAATGAAGTTTTTGAAATCCTAACCTTTCCAGCTCGAATGCTTAGACAGAGATCTTGGAAGATTTGAACATCTGGTCTTGCTGGGTATTTGAAACTAACATGACGAAGCTCAATGTCTCCTTTAACATTATCCAACACTCTTCCAGATTCCACACTTGGGTCAATCTTCGATTCCCTATCCATAATTGCGAAAATCGAAGCAGCAGCTACATCGGCTTTGCTGGAATCTGGAGATAACGAACTCGATTGAGATATCGCCATAGCCGCCATTGTCAAAGCAAAGAAAACCTGCATTGTTAAACATCACAAGAATCAAGAAACTCTGAAGGAAAGGCATTTATCATCAACCTGTTGTGTGTTTTGTTTTCGTACCCTGAAAACAGAGTCGAAGGTTGTTTTGCCATCATCGACAAGGCGTGCTCCAACGTAGAAACTGGCAGCGTAAGAAGAGAAGAGGACGAAGAAAGAGAAGCCGAAACCAATACCACTGACTATGCCTTGACGAATCCCTGTCTTCATCGGACCTTCACATTTCTTTGTGTACATGTTCATCACTTTGTCTTCTGCACAGAATGAAGCAACGGTTCTTATGCTCCCAACCGCGTCATTCGCTACTTGGCTTGCTTCCCCGTACATTTTCTGCCAATGATTTAAGGTAATTTTAATCGAATGAGAGAATCTAGTTGGTATATATGTATGAAAACTAGTAACTAGTTTACCTTTGCATCTGCGCTGAAACCTTTCATGAACTTCATATATAGAAATCCATTGAGTGCGATAAGCGGGAGCATCGCGAGGACGACGAAAGCTAATTGCCAACAAGCCAAAAACGCAATGATCAAACCAGCCAATATAGACGAAAGATTCTGAACTGTCTGAGCCAAAGAGTCTCCAACTAGACCACGGATTGTGGCTGCATCTGCTGATAGCCTTGCTCCTATGGTTCCACTCGAATTCTCTGGCTCGTCGAACCATCCAACTTCCATGTGAACCACTTTCTCAAAACACATACTTCTGATCCTCTGCACCAGTTTACATCCAGCTATGGCGAAGAAGAAGGTTTGTGCTGGGTATGCGATGATGGATGCGAAACCAAGAACCAGGAATATGATTGCCCAGAAGCTTGTATCTTCTTTTAGCTTTTTGGGTGGTTGGAAAAACGCTTTGATTACGCTTGCTATTAGTATGCCAAAAATTGGAAGAATAACGCCGTTTGCTGCTGCGGATATTGAGCCGAGTATTAACACCGGAATCTCTGGTTTGTTTAGAGCAGCAATTCTGAAAATTGAGACTTTTTTTTGTTTGGTTTTTGGTTGTGTAGTATCCTCTTCTTGATCTTGAGCATCGTTTCCGTCAATTCCTCCTGGAAAACCAAACATATTGAAAGAATGGCGGCTGCTGTTTCCTCTGGATGATCCTCCTTTGCTTAGAGACCGGCCTAGAGACGATTTTCTCAAACTAGATTGTTTGAATGATTCAATTGATGACATCTTTTGCTCATCCGATGCATTCGCATCAGAATTCTTCTCTTCTTGTAGACGAATAAGCTGAGAGTAAGCTCCTTCCGGGTCCTTTAGCAGTTCCGTGTGAGAACCTATTCATTAAGTTGGCCAAATCAAATAAAATCACACATATATATGCAGAGAGTGTATAAGAATCTCAATTAGTTACCTTTCTCGACGATCTTGCCTTGGTGAATCACAGCGATCATATCCGCATTTCGCACAGTGCTTAACCGATGAGCGACCACAACTGTAGTCCGGTTAACCATGATTCTATCAAGCGCTTCTTGAACCACTCTCTCAGATTCTGCATCAAGCGCGCTTGTAGCTTCATCTAAAAGCAAGATTCTTGGATCTTTTAAAATAGCTCTAGCCACAGCGATTCTCTGTTTTTGTCCACCTGAAAGTTGAGTACCGTGTTCTCCAACCATTGTATCCAAACCCTGTGGAAGCTTATCCACAAATTTAGATGCGTTTGCTAGCTCTGCAGCGGCTTTAATCTCTTCGATAGTTGCGTCGTCTTTGCCGTACGCAATGTTGTCTTTGATGCTTGCAGTGAACAAAACTGGTTCTTGACTCACAAGTCCAATCTTGCTTCTAATCCATTTTAGCTGAAATTCTTTTAAGTTAATACCATCTATGAGAACTTCACCAGTTTGTGGATCGTAAAACCTCTCAATCAGACTCACAACAGTAGATTTCCCGCTCCCGCTCTGTCCAACCAAAGCCACCGTTGTACCACTCGAGATAAACAGCGAAAATCCGCGGAATATTTGCTCGTCGGGTCTCGCAGGGTAAGTAAAGTAAACATCTTTAAGCTCAATATCTCCCTTAATGTCATCCAAAACTTTACCATCTGTACTATAAGAATCTATGTTAGGTTTTCTCTCAATTGTCTCAAACATTTTGAAAGCCGCGGCTTGTCCAGCTGCAAACGCGCTTAAGCAAGGCGATGTTTGGCCTAACGACCTAAGTAAGGAAGAAAAAGATATCTCAAATTAGTTTTCAGGGAAGTTAACAAACCAAAGAGGCATTGTTAATGAAAGGTCCTTACATGGATCCAGTTAAAACAGCGATGATGATATTGAGAACTTGCCCTCCTGTGTACCCTTTATCCAATATCAACTTTCCTCCATACCATACCGCTAAAGCGTAGCTACAAAAGACTACAAGAAAGAGCGTTCCAAGACCCAATCCAGTTGAACCACCTTCAATGACTCCTGCTTTATAAGCAGTGACAAGATGTTTATTGTAATTGCTTATCGCTTGTTTCTCTCCTGTGAACGACGCAACCTGCAAAAATGTAGATAGTAAGTCTTTGTGGTTTTGGTATTTATGGCTAAGTAAAAGTGTATAAGTAAGCCTAATTACCGTTCTTATAGAACCAATTGTTTGCTCAACTACAGTCGCAGCTTTCGCGTAAGCAGTTTGTCCACGAGAAGCTGTTTTAGCAATGACAATAGCCAGAAGTGCACCCGCCATTACAAGAAGAGGAATCGAAGACAACATGACCAAAGTTAGAAGCCATCCTCTTACGAAAGCTATCACAAAGCCTCCTACAAATGTTGCAAGAAGTTGTATAGCTTTTCCCACCTGCCACAAAAAAAACGTCGTCGTTTTAACAAATATAGTTTGAAACTTTAGAATGGTTTGTTGACTTTTTTTTCGTAGTTACCTTCTCTCCCATGGCGTCTTGGATTAGCACAGTGTCACCGGACATTCTTCCAACAACTTCTCCGGTATTTGTATCGATGTCGAAAAAGGCGATATCTTGTCTTAAGATTGTCTTTAGATACAAACTCCTTATTCTTGCTGCTTGTCTCTCTCCGGATATCATCCAACCAGACAATTCTGTACATTCATAGACATCAAGAACGTTGAAACTCTTTGTTTTGTTTTAAATCTTTCTCACAAAGTCTAAATATTTCGACAGATCCAACGAACTTACGGAGAAAAGCAGCTGCGAAAGTACCGATTCCAAGCCAAACAAACTTCAGAGCAACCTGTGAGTGAATTACAAAAAGTATTAAGCAAGTCAAATCTTGAAATGAATCCCAATAAAAGACAGAAACATCGTTTGATTTACTTTGGAGACTTTGGCGGTAACATCTGTATTAGTCTGATTCTGTCCAAAAGCATCTATGAGATCTCCGAAGAGTAAGGTCATGAGAGGGAAGCCGAGACCGTTTCCAATAGATCCAAGCGTCCCGAGGATCATCAAGAGGAAATCAAAGGAATCTGCAAAAGCAAAGAGCTTGTAAAACGGCACCGTTTTGGTTTTCTCATGTTCCTCGTCCTTCTTCTCTGTTTTCTTCACTTCTTCTTCTTTGCCTCTTTTGGTCTCAGAAACCTCTTCTACTATATTTGAATCTCCATTTAAGCCGCTCTCTGAAGCCATTAGATATTCACAGATACCTCACGATCCTAAGGATTTAAAAGAACAGAGGAGAGATGTAATAAGTTTCTAAATTACGAGCTGATGAGATCTTCAAGAGAGAGTATATATCTAAATAGGGAACATAAAGGTCAGGCCAAGAACGAAAAAAACATATCTGAAACAAAACAAAGACTTTTAACAATTAATATATTATCCTTTTTTGATTCAAGATCAGTCTTCACCAACCATGAAAACACCCTAACGATCTGCTTTGTTATTTTCAAGAACATGTGAAAAAATAACGAAACCTGAAGCAAGATCCGTCGTTTACAATAAGGAATAACCGAAGCTACGGCCCAGACAAGAACATAAAGTACAGTTGTCCAGTAGAAAGATAATTAAAGCAGAGAATATAAAATTATATATACCTCGAAAAGCAACAAGAAGAAAGTGATTAGGGTTTAGCGGCTTCTTGGTGTCTGCCGTATAAACAGCAGTTGAAAAATGTGAAGAGATCTCTCTCTCTCTCTCTCTCTCTGCTTAAATATATGTACTAATATATTTATATAATTGTAAGTGAAGTTTGGAAGGACTCATGTGAGTTCTATATATACTCTGTTTATTTCTTGACGAACAAGCCGCGATGTGTTGAAGAGAAAGAGTTAATGGATGTCAGGATATTACTAGTAAATTTTGTGAAAAAATATAGTCTTTTTTTCTTAAAGTTAAATTGGACCATACCACAATTGGCGTAGTAATAAATATGGCCTTGTGATTATACCTTTTATGAATGTAATAAAATATAATAGGTAAGAAGAAAGATAGTTTTTGTTGTCTAATGCTGACCAAGATGATTAATTATAGCATAAACAAAATATAAAGAACGAATTGATCACAGCGATTAACGAGTAGTCTAGCTGTTTTGTTCAACTACAACTCTATTATTTTAAAATAAGGTTTCGATACGGAAGGACCACATAATTTGTATAATCTCGTGAATCATTCATTTATACAATAAATTTTGATCTCTTAAAGCTAGTTAGCTATGTTATTAGCAGCCTCCATATGTCATAATCATCGTTTCATATAATAATATATGTACACATCAAAAACCAAAAACGCGATTTTCTTCCAACGCTTTAGTTGACTTTCTCGTTGGCACTGTGACTATGGATGGACAAATTGACAAGTGCAAAATCCCATTTCTCACTAGCAATCTTTGTTATCATAATTGTGTTTTGCCAACGGATGTAAAAGCATATGCGCTTTTGCGTTAAACAAAACAAAAATCGATTTTGTCATTAGTTTATTTTGTAGTTAAGCATTATAGTATTATATTTTTATGATCAGATCATATTCATATCTTTGCACAACCATTCTAGGTTGGAACCACGTGAAGCTGAGTTATTACTTTACGAGCAAGAAACAAGTCAAAACTTGAATTGTCGATTCAAAAGGAAATAAAAGAAAAGTCAAAACTACAGAAAAAGGGACCTTTCTTGCTTCCAGGGAGGCAGGGAAGGAATGGTCTCGCATTACTTCTTCTGTGCCTTTTTTCAGAATCAATGAATCTTATCTAAAGTCTTTAACCAATAACGATCCTGACGTCATTCCTGACATAAATGATCCTTCAGTATTTATCACCAACCCACGTATATCTTTTGTCAAATACTTTTCTGGCAAGAATTACTACTTGGGGAATAAGTTATCAAATACTACTTTTCTAAGAAAAACAAACTACTACTTGCAATATTATTCCAAACATATTGATGCGAGAGTGACTACACATTAATAAATCGTGTGAGGCGCTAATCAGATTTTTCGATGATGTTTGGACTTGCTTTTTTTTTTTTTAATGTATTTTTTTTTGTTTTTTGGGACAGAAATATTTAACTTCTATTCATTTTAAATATCTTTTGAATGACACTAAATTATAGTATTGGATTTGCTAATTCACTTGATTATCTTTATTACAGTCCAACTAGAAATTGACATTTTTTCAGTAGGCGTGGACCTTTTTCCGGGGAAGAAATAAAAGTTAAGCGTTCGATTCCCACTAAAACCTTTTGGAGAATCGTATCACGTGTCAAATAGACCCAAATCCTTACCCTACATGTTTGAAACTAAAAATTCCCGGCGTAAATCACACGCCTAATTTTGACCCGGCTCGAGAACCCGAATCTATGGATTTTGAATTTTGAAACCCAACCTACAAAGTACAAACTTTTATATATCCCTCTGACAAAACCACTAGCCCATGGGCCTAATGACATAACAGAATGCACTAATGTGACACACAACTTTTGTGTTTTGAATTGAGAAGAAAAAGTTTGAAACTGTAACATGTTTTGTTGCTCTCTAGAGTGCAATCATACCATTGTTGCATTTACAAATCAAAACACCAGTTATTTTCGGTTTAATCTCCATCAGGGTTTCACCTTGGTTTAACCCTCCTATAGTTTTTATGATTATAGTCCTGTGTCTCAGTCTAGGTATTGTTACATGTAAACATTTTAGGAATCGTTTTCAGCTGGTTTAAGATATAATCACTCTGAACGCAAATGCATATTTAGAATGTATTATGATCCATGTACTGCTTTGATCTAGATCGAAAAGAGCAAGTCATGGTTACTCCCTCAATAATCGCCACTAAGAAGAGTAACAGCTTCTTTGACTTTTGGAAGCATTTATTACATACAGAGTGAATCATTACCAACTCCCACTACAGTCCACACAAAAAAGCTTAAATAGATTAACCAAAAAAAAAACAAGGAAACTAAATGCAGAAACAGAGGAAAAAAAAACAAATGAAGCAATTGGCTCCAATCCTGGCCGTGATAAACTTGCTTCTCCTGGTTCATGGAGACGATGGATCAGCGGTTGGAGATCCTGGGATGAAGAGAGACGGTCTCAGAGTGGCGTTTGAAGCTTGGAACTTTTGCAATGAGGTTGGCTTTGAAGCTCCTCACATGGGTAGTCCTCGAGCCGCTGATTGCTTCGATGTTTCATCTAAATACATTAAAGCATACAGAAAAAGCCAGTCAAACAACACAAGAAGTAAGCTTCTTTTTCTTCTTCTTGTTCCTCCTCTGTTTTCTCTGTTTCTAACTATGATTTTTGACAGGTAGTTCTTCCTTGGTGCACAAGGTATCAGACTCGGACAACGAGCTAGGGATAGGGAAGCCTAAACCAGGAATCATATCAGAATCAGCATTGCATAACCCTGACCTTTACGCGGTCGAGAAAGAACTCTATCTAGGATCTCTCTGTCAAGTCTCAGACAAAGCAAACCCGTGGAGTTTCTGGATGGTAATGCTCAAAAATGGAAACTACGACACAAAATCTGGTCTTTGCCCTAAAAACGGCAAAAAAAACCCACCTTTCAATCAACCCGGATTATTCCCCTGTTTCGGCAGCGGTTGTATGAACCAACCGTCGCTGAACCACGGAAAGACCGAGCTTCTGAGAGATGGTCAGACCATGAAGGGATGGTTCAATGGTACGTACGATCTGGATGCAGCATTGGGAAATGGGTTGGATGGGATAAGTTATTACGAGGTTGTGTGGGAGAAGAGAGTTGGTGTTGGTGGTTGGGTATTTAAACATAAGCTTAAGACTTCAGCTAAGTACCCATGGCTTATGCTTTACCTCAGAGCTGATGCCACTAAAGGATTCTCTGGTGGATACCATTATGACACTAGAGGAATGCTCAATACAGTAAGTAACACTAACTTTAGTTTAAACCTTTTTGAAAAGTTTTTTTTTTTCTTGTCTAGAAAAAATCTCTAATCTACAAATAAAGAATTAGTAGTATTTGTCTAAAATTTCTCAAAAAGAAATGATATTTGTGATGAATATTGAAGGCCAAATATTGAAATGTGTTGTGTTTTTGTTTTAGCTTCCGGAGTCACCAAACTTCAAAGTGAGACTGACACTAAACATAAAACAAGGAGGAGGACCTAAGAGTCAATTTTATCTTCTCGACATCGGAAGCTGCTGGAAGAACAACGGCGAGCCCTGCGACGGTGACGTAACCACCGACGTAACTCGTTACTCGGAGATGATCATAAACCCTGAAACTGCACTTTGGTGCAACCCAAAGAGTCTCCACAACTGTCCACCGTACCACACGTTTCGAAACGGCACCAGAGTTCACCGTACGGACCACCGGAGCTTCCCTTACGAGGCTTACCACGTTTACTGTGCGCCGGGAAACGGCGAGCATCTAGAGCTTCCGGTGGGGACTTGTGATGCTTTTAGTAACCCACAAGCTCAGGAGATTCTTCAGCTTTTGCCTCACCCAGTTTGGGGTGAATATGGGTATCCGACCCGGTTGGGTGATGGTTGGGTGGGTGACCCGAGAACTTGGGAGCTGGATGTTGGTGGCTTGTCTAGTAGGCTTTACTTCTACCAGGTGATTGATTGATTCGTTGAACCGGTTGGTCTTCTTCTTGGTGTTTCTTTTGATTTTTCCGGTTTGGGTTTTGATTTGGTTATGTTGTAGGATCCCGGTACGATTCCGGCGAGGAGGATTTGGACATCGGTTGATGTTGGTACGGAGATTTACAAAGAAGATGACGCAATTGCAGAATGGGATCTCTCTGATTTCGATGTTCTTATTACTTAAATCTCTCTGATTTCGATGTTCTTATTACTTGATTATTTTATCAATTTTTCAACCAAAACTGAACCAATCCAAAGTTTTTGTTTCAAAGTAAACCAAACAAATTCCGAGAGGCTGTGTAGTACCGGTACTGGAAAGAGAATTGTGTGTACTAATATAACCATCAAGCAAAAAAAAAACAAAACAAGAAAAAGTGTACTTGCGATGTGCTTTGGGTCCTACCACGTGGTAGCTTCATTATTTCTCTACCTTCCGATTTACCAATAAAAAAACACACAAAGTCGTACAAACCAGAACCCTCCAGCTAAAGTAGAGGGTTAGCAATAGAATGGGAATAATTAACGATGTACGCTTCAGCCAGATCGCAGTACAAGACTTTGCAAAACAAGGGAGTACAAATATTTTTGGTAAATTCTGGTGTAGTACATCACAAAAGGCGTACAGAAACACGATTCCAAAATCTATTTAAACCCTAAGACATAGCACAAACACAAAGAAACTCAAGGAACTGGCCAATTTCAAAGGTTAGATTGGTATTGCAATGAAAGAAGTGGTAATCATAGAGAGAGACAGGGAACAAGCAGAGCATGGATTGAGTTTACTAAAACATTAAACGACTCTGTTTTGTCTCTACCCATGCACTGCCTCTTCCCTGGCTCCCTCTTTTCTCTCTCTCTCTATTTCTTTCTCTCCTTTAATTTCAATGGATTTTATTACTACTGCTAACGTTTGTGACAGCTGACGACAAGCTAAGGGTTTTTGGGTTTGGTCTACCTCTCTGTCATTCATGAAGTAGAGCTGAAAGAAGCAATGGCGTCCATTTCTTGGCGTAAGAGAAGGGCATCAATGAAGGAGTCCAGAATCTCTCCTTGCATCATATCTTCAATGGCATGGAGAGTGATTCCCACACGGTGATCCGTCACTCGCCCTTGTGGAAAATTATATGTACGGATTCGTCCAGATCGGTCTCCGCTGCCAATCTGTTCATGGGATTTAGACATTGATAAGCTAGAAAATAAAATTATGTAAGATTGACTGAAAACATAAGAAAAATATTGTTGATTTGATATGTACCTGATCTGACCGTAGCTTTGATCGACTACTCTGTATTCTCAACCTTTCGATTTCATAAAGCCTTGCACAGAGTACTTTAAGTGCTTTGGCTCTGTTCTGTTACAAAGATAATAAAATTTTCAGTAGGATGTGTAAGATTAAGGGAGTAAAGCGTAGTGGGTGAAACAAATGTTCAGTACCATATGTTGTGACCTTTCATCTTGGATTGAGACCATCATCCCCGTTGGAAGATGGATTATTCGGACTGCGCTGTTTGTTGTGTTGGCGTGTTGACCGCCTGAGCCACCAGACCTATAAGTATCAATCCTCAAATCTTCATTCCTTAGCTGAACATCTACCTGTAAGTAGCCACCAGTAAGACAGATGATCAAAAAGTATATACGTTCGTAAGATTAACCCATAAGAAAGATAATAGAAGAAAATGTACGTTTGTAAGATAAAATTATCAAAAATAAGATTGGAGAAACTTTGGTTGGTACCTCATCAGCCTGGGGAAGGATGGCAACAGATATAGCGCTGGTGTGAATTCGTCCAGATTTCTCTGTGATAGGAATACGCTGTGCAAAGATGTTCAAGTGTGATTATTTGATATTGTATGACTAGTCAAGAAAATCAGAATGTGATTCATATATTATAACGTACCTGAACCCTGTGAATTCCACTCTCGAACTTTAGTTTTCCGTAGACACTGGCTCCACAAATTGCAGCACTGGCTTCCTGGCAATTACATTCAAGATCTTAGCTTCAGTAGAACAGAGCAATATTGGAATACTAATATTCACATAAGGAAGATCAAAAGTTACTTACTTTATATCCTTTCATATCCGACTCGGTGATGTCTACAATATCAAATTTCCAACCTTTCTTCTGTGAATACCTTTCGTACCTATCGATATTCCAAAACCGGATAAAAAATAATTAAAGTTCAAGTACAAAGAAGTATACTTGCTTCTACCTGCAGTATGTGGATGGACTTACATTCTGAAAATGTCCATGGCAAACAAAGAAGCCTCTTCACCACCAGTACCTAACCAAAACATTCAGTTGTCAAAATGAAAAAAACTACAGACAGCTTCTATAAATTCATGGATAATGTCGGTGTTTAAGAACCATTAGTTCACAAGTGTACCTGCTCTCACCTCCAAAATGCAATCCCTCTCATCAGCTTCATCTTTAGGAAGCAAAGCCTTAAGCAGCAAAGTTTGAAGTCTTTTTTCTTCTTCCACCGCCTCGTCTAATTCACTAACAGCCATATCAAGCATGTCCCTATCATCCGAACTTTCCGACACCAGAGATTTCAGTCCATCAATCTCCTGCCAAAAGAAATTAAACCTAATCAATGATGATCTTTGGAACAGATTAAGACTGTAAAAGCAAATTCACTACCTTTTGTTTGGCCCTCAAATCATTGATGAGAAACATTGAATCTCTCAGCTTCCGAAGTTCCTTATTAGCTCTTGAAAACTCTTCTGGTGAGTACTCAGGCTGTCTTCAAACAACGGAAAACACAGTTTATCGATCATGTCAAAAATCAACTACCAAAAGGAAAGCTTAATACAAGAATGAGCTTAATCTTTGGTTTACCTGGTTGATAAGCTTCTGAAGAAGAGCATTTCGGTGCTCTATCGCCGATAGCCTCTGATCCATTATCTTAATAAGATCTGGAGACAACTGAGGTTCCATTCCTGCCATTACACATCCCAATCCAATCAAATACTAAACTAACAAGCCTCTTAAACGGATTGATACTAAGTGATCCAGATCATATAAACGTACCGGTGGTGTACAGACGAATCATCTTCGACGATCGTAGGCTACGATCGTCTGAATGCGTACCTCTAGAGCAATATCGAATCAGATTGCTCAAGAAATTTGCCCGAATCAACCTCCTCATGTTTTTTAGCACAAGTTTTCGAATTCTGTCTGGTTAAGTTTCAGACCGAACGGTGAAGATGAAAGAACTTTTGCCGGAGCTCGTGACGGCGGTTTCTCTCGTCGCCGTCGAGAGAAGATAAAACGAGGGTTTTGGTAAATTTGCAGTTCCAAATCTTAATAAGGGTATTTTCGTCATTTCCTTCTCCATATATTAACTTCCCTAAAATAGTCATTACTATATATATATCGTATGCATGTCCATAGTAATTCAACAAATTAGAGAATTAACAACAATAGAAAACAAATTAGATAAATTATATAATTTAAAACGATTATTAAACAAAGGTACAACACAGCTGATAAATTTCATATTCCAAAACATAAAAATAGAAATAAAAATCAAACAACATCAATTTTTTATTTTTTTCCTCATCTTTCATAAGTGAGACAAACGGAAAATAAATCTTACAATTTCGGGACTAAGTGGTAACGACTGTTAATTTTCGTATTCACGGTCACATATATTAGATTTTTAAAATTATAAAAGTAGAGTTGAACTTCACTTCGCGAGGGCTTCGATTTGACATATTATTTGTCAAAATTTTATAAATTTGGTAGTAGCAAAAGCATATTTTTTAAACTTTATATGATTAATCTGAATTTTCGGTAGGTTGAATGTTAAGTTGCAAAAAATAGCGAGTTTGATAAAAAAAAAATTGCACAAAACCCTTTATTTTATTTTATTTTATTTATACAGTTTATATAAACCAATTGTGACAGGAACATTGGCTTGTTGAATCCAGTAAATAGGACCTAACCAGTTAGCAACAGTGAAGCCATTGACCTCACCTGCAGACCTAGCGACCTTAGCCCAGTTAACTCTTCTGTTAGTGAATGCTCCTGGTCCACGGTTGTTGTACTCAACGTACCTACATGACATGTGGTTGTTTTCCCCATCCCAAATCCTCCAACCTTCTGGTCTAATCAAATCTCCCATCTCGGTGCTCATTATCACGGTGGTCGAGAATTTCTTCCACGGCCTTCCCAAGTATGTCGCCACGGCAAATCTCTCTGGCGTTAGTTTCCTGTCGGGAACGATGCGGCAGTTTTGGAGGACGATACCAATTTTCATCCCTAAGCCGAGTTCGTTTCCATCGGCTGTGACCGTGTTGTATTGTCCCTTGCTTCCTTTACGGACAACAATTAGTGTGTTTTGGATCACGGTTGCGGATTTGCCGAAGATGAAGTCGACTGTTCCCGAGACGACACAGTTTCTGTAGAACTGACGACCGTTGTTCACGTACAAGGTGTCTTGGTAACCGTCGAATCTGCAGTTGAAGATCACGGCCCGGTCTCCGTTCACTCGGATAGCCGCGGCTTGGTGTCCCATTGGACCGGCGGTGTTCTTGAATCCCATCCATTTCGCCATGAATCCTTCCGATTCAACCTCTGCACAATATATATCGAAAACATGAATTATGTAGAGAAAAATATATATGTGTAACCTAACTAGTGAATTTGGGTTTGATGAGACTTACGAACTGTGGCACTAAGGGATGTGGTGGTTCCACGGCTGAGAGCAACACTTCTGTTGTAAGAAATGACTGTCTTTCTTGCACCATCTCCAAACATGAAGATGTTGTTCTTCTTCTTAGGGATGATTACTTGCTCTCTGTAGATACCAGCCTTGATGTAGATGATGCATCGGCCTGGGTTATTCTCAGGACAAGCATCAACGGCTTGTTGAACCGTCTTAAACTGTCCGCTTCCGTCCTTAGCCACCACAAAGGTCGCTCTGATCCTACCGCCTCTGCGGCCGCCTCTACGGCCACGTCTAGCCCTAGCCATGAGCTTCCTGTCAGCACCTGTAACCCATGTTGGGATTCCAGTCTCGTCAATGTCTTCAAGAAGACGACGAGCAGGACCATCTGGATCGGCCACGGGAGATTCATCAACAACAGGAGGGGCTCCTTTGTTGTCGGGAGTGGGGATTCCGCCTGTCATGTTCTTGAAGTCTTCTACCTTGTTGTTAAGCTTGGCCATGGCGCTAACGACATTGTGGAAGATGTCAATAGCGTTGGTAGTGAGAATCTTGGAGTCTGCAATGCCCTCACCAATCGTCTTTCTTAAATCATCTTCTTCGATATCGTCAAGACAATCAGTTTGGTAATTGTAAACACCGATTAACCATTGTTTGAGCTGGTCGATTTTGCTCCCGATCTGGTTAAGATCTTCACCCATTTCTTGAATAATGGTAGCGAGATCCTCAAGAGCGTACATGAAAACTCTCTTGCAGTAATCAAGAACGGCTTTGTTGTTCGGCGAGATGCTCGAGCCCATGTTTACTTCGGTTTGACCCGTGAAGTTAGACGATTTGGTTAATGCGTCTTTTGTAGCGAGCATGAAAGCCTTGATCAGCTTGTTTGGGTCATCGCTCTTGACCGGCTCGAGAGTTTTGACACATGAGGCTTTGTCGGAAGTCGACTGGCAAATTCCTTGAACCGCTTTCATTTGCGGAGACAGATTAGCATCACCATTTTTGTTTATGAAGGCAACGACTCCTATGGCTACTCCGACTATTAAGAGGATGGAGGCCACCGAGACAACCACTTTTCCAATCATTTTTTTAGATTTTTATTTGTTTTTTGAATATTTTTGGTTCTTTTTTTCTCTCCGATCCCTCCGGTTTTATCTAAAGGTCAATCGGAGAGGGAGGGGCTTTATTAGATTAAAGCCAAATTGTTGAATGACTTGGGCCAGTATCTATTGTGATGGATGCTTGAGGTTTATATAGAAGCTTTTTGGGTTCTAAAATTAGTAACTTGCATGGATTTTGCATGGAGAGGGATAGATGTGGGTCAACGAATGGCTGAGAATATTTGGTCAAAAAGCTTTATTTAACTTTCGCTGGAGCTCGTGATGTCGATCTTAAAAAAGGATGACGAACGTAAATTTGCAGTTCCAAATCTTAATAAGGGTATTTACGTTATTTTAATCTTACGTCCATATATATGGAATTTGGGATTAACTTTCTATAATAGTCATTACTATTAACAAGGTTAGATGAAATGATCCAAATCTGGTTAATTTTTCTTATTTATTATCTAATTTTTTATTATTTAAAATTCTAAATAAGGAATTTGTGTAATAAATCTACATAGCGTTGCAAATTAAATATATTAAGTTTTTTTTTGGTAAGTAATTAAATATACTAGGACTCCGGACCCCCGCGATGTCGCGGGGTAAAATATTTCAAAAATCGTTAAAAAAAAATATCAAACAAAAATTAATAATAACGATGGTAGATGATTAAATGTTATAACGATTTATAAAATAAACTTAAAGTTGCAATTTTTCGTGAAATAAACTAAATGTTGCAATGGTTCAACTAAACGGCTGCAATCATTTTATGAAAAATTACGATAAAAAGATGCAACCGTAAAAAATATTTACTCGGATTGCAACTTTCTCAAAAAACATAACGTAAACTAATTTTTTTAGTTTAAAAAGAAGTAAATGAAATGTTGCGATATATCAAAAGTTGTAGCGGTTCGTCAAGTTCGTCAAATAAACTAAAGATTACAATGGTTTGTAAAACAAAACCAAAAATTGCAATGATTGGTCAAATAAACCAAATGTTTCAACGGTTCAATTAAACGATTACAATCTCATTTAAATGCATTTTGGTAATTAAAAATTAAAAATATTAGTTTATGAAAATTATACCGAGAGACGCGACGGTAGATAATTAGATGTTATAGCAATTTGTAAAATAAACCAAAGGTTGCAATTTTTCGTGAAATACAAAAAAATATATATAAATCAAATGTTGCAATCGTTCGTGAAATAAACTAAATATATAAATCAAAGGTTACAATTGTTAGTGATATAAACTAAAGGTTTCAATTGTTCGTGAAATAAACTAAATATTGCAATAATTCAAATAAAAGGTTGCAACTGTTTATGAAGAGGTACAATAAAAAGAAGCAACAGCAGAAGATATTCGGATTGCAATTTTCTAAAAAACATACCCGTAAAATATAAATTTTAGTTTAAAAATTAAAAATATATCCATATGTAAACTATGAAATAAACCAATTTTATATGTAGTTTATTGGTTTACGTAAAAAAAAAATTCAATAAAACAACCGTACAAAAATAACTGAAAAAACAACCATAAATATTTAAACGAAAGATTGCAATAAAAAGACACAACCGTTTAGATGTACAAATGGTATTTATTGGAAACGACATAGCCGTAAAAAATAACCGATTAAACGAAAATTACGATAAAAAGACGCAACCAAAATAACCGTAAAAAAATAACCGATTTAAACGAAAAGTTACGATTAAAAGACGCAACCGTTCAGATGTGCAAATGGTATTTAGCCGTAAAAAAATAACCGACTAAAACGAAAATTACGATAAAAAGACGCAACCAAAATAACCGTAAAAAATAACCGATTTAAACGAAAAGTTACGATAAAAAGACGCAACCGTTCAGATGTGCAAATGGTATTTATTAGATTGCTATTATATATAGATTAAGTTTGTGAAAACCTCTAATTATCAATTGATTCTATATCAAATGACATGATTCCATATCCGGTTAGTTTTTACATCGTATTGCAAATTTATTACCTAAGTTTCTATTACTTAAAATTCTAAAAATTGAAAAGTTAAATAAATACAGTAATCTGTAAAACAAAAACTTGAATCAAAATTTTAAAACAAAAGAACTTTTAAAATCCTTGAAAAAAAAAATTAGAACTTGTATGATAAATCTATATGACGACATTGGAAATAAATTAAATTTGTGAAATCTTTAATGATCAACTGATTATGTCAAATGAAGAGATCCAAAATCCGGGTAGTTTTTACATCGTATTGCAAATTTATTATCTAAATTTTTATTATTTAAAACTCTAATAAACAAAAAAATATCAAAGACTTGAATGAAAAGTTATTAGTTTTTTTTAAAATCCGTAAAAAAACAAAAGAAAACTTATGTAAGCAAAAGAAATGTTAAAATATAGAGATGAAGACATACATACCATCACTAGGAAAATTAAATGATTCCAACGAAGAGCGAGGTGTACCAATGCAGACTGAGGAATTCATCACCGACACTCTGCAAAAACTAAAAAAATCGAACAGTACTGGTCAATTATGTAAAGTTGTCCAATGCGCAAATCAGTTAAAACGCAAATAGAAGACAAAGCAGAACTTTTCTAGGGTTTATGTAAAGTTATCGCCTAACAAATCAATTAAAACGTTGGCTTGTGAAGCAAGGAATTGTATAAATAGAGGAGAAATAGGATGCAAATATTTCACCTTTCTAGGTATGTATTATTAATCTTTACGATCGAGGTTTACTGATGTGAATATTAAACGAAAGGGTAAGGAAATTTACATGTGGATCAGTTGTAATCGCTTGACATAAATCTCCTTCTCCTGATCCGACGAGGCTATCCGAAGAGTATCGAGAAGAAACTCTACTTGTCTTCTATAGAGCTTGTTGATCTGATCGAGAAATCAAAATCGGATTTGGGAATCGGAGATCAAAATCTCCGTGTCGTTCTTAGGTTTCTCTGCAATTCGTTTTTGTTCGAAGAGCTATATAAAACTGGAGATGAAGAGAAGAAGAAAAAATAAAAGACAGGGAGGATTCATGAGAAAGAGATATGGATCTATCTATCGAGACAGAATCAGATGACTACGTCTAAGAAGAGAAAGGAAATTTTACGTCTTAGAGGATTATAAACTAGCCGTTATAAATACCCGTTGGAAGAAGATTAGAATCTTTGGAAATATGTAAAATAGCATTAGTCTCGTGCGTATATTTTAACTGTTTCCTTTTTTTAATATATTTTGGATTCCAGAAAATTGGAAATTGATCGCAACTGTTATCCATTTGTATGCAAAATAAAATACAGAAAGACATGATTGAGTTAGAAAAGAAGACACGATTGTTCCATGTTCCTCTGTCAGTCTGTCTCGTAGTAAAACCCAAAATGGAGAAATATCGGGCAAGTTATATGAATGTCCATAATAATTTCAGTAAATTAGAGAATTGACAACAACGTAAAATAAATTAGATAAATTATAATATTTTTAAAAGATTCTTAAACATAGGTACAACACAGCGGATAAATTATCATATTCCAAAACATAGAAACAAAAATCAAACAACATAAATTTCAGTTTTTTTTTTCCTCATCTTTCATACGTGAGACAAAACAAAAAGCAAATCTTACAACTTCATCTCCCCGCGCATATTACCCTACCGAAAACGACGTTGTATTTTCACCTTTTACATGAGCACGTACTACTCTTCTTTTTATTTTATTTGGTTTGATTTATACGCTTTATAATCCAAGCGTGACAGGAACATTGGCTTCTTGAATCCAGTTAATAGGACCTAACCAGTTAGCAACAGTGAAGTCATTGACCTCAGCTGCAGACCTGGCGATCTTAACCCAGTTAACTCTTCGGTTAGTGATAGCTCCTGGTCCACGGTTGTTGTACTCAACGTACCTACATGACTTGTGGAAACTTTCCCCATCCCAAATCTTCCAACCTTCTGGTCTGATCAAATCTCCCATCTCGGTGTTGATAATCACGGTGGTCGAGAATTTCTTCCATGGCCTTCCCAAGTATGACTCCACGGTCAATCTCTCTGCCGCTAGTTTCTTGTCGGGAACGATGCGACAGTTTTGGAGGACGATACCGATTTTCATCGCTAAACCCTTTTCGTTTCCATCGGCTGTGACCGTGTTGAATTGTCCCTTGTTTCCTTTACGGACAACAATGAGTGAGTTTTGGATCACGGTTGCGGATTTGCCGAAGATGAAGTCGACTGTTCCTGAGACGACAATGTTTCTGTAGAACTGACGACCATTGTTCACGTACAAGGTGTCTTGGTAACCGTCAAATCTGCAGTTGAAGATCACAGCACGGTCTCCGTTCACTCTGATAGCCACGGCTTGGTGTCCCATTGGACCGGCGGTGTTCTTGAATCCGATCCATTTTGCCATGAATCCTTCGGACTCAACCTCTGCGTAATAATATATAACATGAGCTATGTAGAAAAAATATATTTGTAACCAATAACTAGTGAATTAGGGCTTGGTGAGACTTACGAACTGTGCCACTAAGGGAAGTGGTGGTTCCAGGGCTGAGTTTAACACTTCTGTTGTAAGAAATGACGGTCTTTCTTGCACCATCTCCGAACATGAAGATGTTGTTCTTCTTCTTGGGGATGATTACTTGCTCTCTGTAGATACCAGCCTTGATGTGGATGATGCATCGGCCTGGGTTTTTCTCAGGACAAGCATTAACGGCTTGTTGAACCGTCTTAAACTGTCCACTTCCGTCCTTAGCCACCACAAAGGTTGCTCTGATCCTAGCAGCACCGCCGTTACCGCCACGTCCAGCCTTAGCCATGAGCTTCCTGTCAGCACCTGAAACCCATGTTGGGATTCCGGTCTCGTCAATGTCTTCAAGAAGACGACGAGCAGGACCATCTGGGTCGGCCACGGGAGATTCATCAGCAACAGGAGGGGTTCCTTTGTTGACAGGAGCTGCTCCTTTGTCTGAAGGAGCGAAGATTCCGCCTGTCATGTTCTTGAAGTCTTCTACCTTCAGGTTAAGCTTGGCCATGGCGCTAACAACAGTGTGGAAGATGTCAATAGCGTTGCTAGTGAGAATCTTGGAGCTTGCAATGCCCTCTCCAATAGTCTTTCTTAAATCATCTTCTTCGATATCGTCAAGACAATCAGTTTGGTAATTGTAAACACCAGTTAACCATTGTTTAAGCTGGTCGATTTTGCTCCCGATCTGGTTAAGATCTTCACCCATTTCCTCAACAATGGTGCTGAGATCCTCAAGCGCGTACATGAAAACTTTCTTGCAGTAATCAAGAACGGCTTTGTTGTTTGGCGAGATGCCCGAACCCAGGTTTCCTTCGGTTTTACCCGTGAAGTTTGATGATTGGGTTATAGCATCTCTGGTAGCGAGCATGAAAGCCTTGATTAGCTTGTTTGGGTCATCGCTCTTGACCGGCTCGAGAGTTTTGACACATGAGGCTTTGTCGGAAGTCGCCTCGCAAATTCCTCGAACAGCTTTCATTTGGGGAGACAGATTAGCATCACCATTTTTGTTTATGAAGGCAACGACTCCTATGGCAACTCCGACTATTAGGAGGATGGAGGCCACCGAGACCACAACTTTTCCAATCATTTTTTTAGATTTTGTTTTTTGTTTTTGTATATTTTTGTTTTTATTTTTTTGCTCTCCCTCCGGTTTTATTTAATGGTTAATCGGAGAGGGAGGGGCTTTATTAGATAAAAGCCCAAGTTGTTGAATGACTTGGGCCAGTATCTATTGTGATGGATGCTTGAGGTTTATATAGAAGCTTGTTGGTTTCTAAAATTAGGAACGTGTATGGATTTTGCATGGAGAGGGAGAGATGTGCGGTCGACGAATGGCTGAGAATATTTGGTCAAAAAAAGCTATAATAACTTTACAGATTTGTTTTTGTAATTGCTTAGTTGTTGATTAAAATTGGTCACCGCAAGATAAATATGGCGTTCGTCCCCTGATTAGAAGGTGTGGCGGCTTGATCGACTACTAAAATAAAATAAAGAGAGATTTATAATTTATAAGTGATAATCGCTGTAATTTTTTTTTTTTAATCCGTAGTTAAAAACTATGTCAATTCGGACCAAACAAACCAAACTTGTATGAAACCGAGTTACAAAAAATCCTTCTAAAATTAGTCATGTCATAGCTGGACTATGTATATACGAATCGGTCAAAACATTAAAGCATGCTCTTTTCACCTTCATTCCATTGGTTAACTGGTCTGCATGCAGTATCGGATATGAATAAACCAGATTATACCTAAATTATAAATATTCAGAAAACTTCTTTAAAACTAACTCTTTACTTCTTAAAAAAAAAAAAAAGAGAGCTCTACTATAGTTAAACCATACCAGTTTAATTTGTCATACAATTTAATTATACTTTGACTTCACGTATGCACCAACAAATAAAAACCATCCCGTACGAGAAAGAAAAAAACCATCCCGTAGTGTTGATTTATTGCAAAATGCTATGTATATAAACGAAGCTACCGCAGTTTGATTAATTAACGAGAAGCATTCTTTTTACATTTTTATCCCTCGGAACGTAATATATAAGTATAAGTATTATAATATGCGACCCACAAAAGATAAAACTTCTAAGTTGCTTTTTAATTGATTTTCTTTTTTTTAAATATCTAAATCTACATCTTTTCATAGTGAAAAAAAAATCAATAGTAAGAGTAAATCATCACATCTTTACATTAAACCAAAAAGATAGAGTAAATCATCACTACGAGAAAGAAAACAGACTTGTAGCAACAAACAAAATATATAAATTAGCGACAGAATGGTATTTATCTTCGGCTGATCAGCGATCAGTAGCATGTTTGGTAAATAAAACCAAAAAGTACTTATAATAACTACATTTTTTTTTTAATAACTACATTTTTTGCCCACTAAACATAAAGGGTATATACTACAAACAAAACAGATTGTATCCACAAAAGTATAGTACAGCGACGAAATGGTATTGATCTTAGACTGAGTAGGATGATGTATGGTAAAAAGTTCGTTAAACCATATGGAATTAATTAGCAATGGTTTAAACTTAATTTGTTTGTCACTAAGAACATGCATATGGGTGATACTCATATAGTATCATTAAGAATTTTTTAGTATTATTTATAATGTTTGTTTATTGTTTGAGATTTTTTGTGATACTCCTACTAAATATGTTTGCATTTGTGAGACCGGTTTAAGTATCATAAAAAAAAAAATTTGCAAAATCAAAAATTAATATATTAAAACATATGATTACAAAAGGTAATATTACAATTAAAAAAACGTAGAATATACTTAAGCAAAATAAAACATAAAATTTTAAAAAAACTGAAAAAAACATGATGATAAAGGAGGAGAGAAGAATGCGAAAACGAAGAATGAATTTTTTTTTTTCTCTCTTTTCCCACAAAAACGTGTTTCTCCCGACAAATCCCGAGCCGCCACGTCATCAGAGACTGGTATCAAGAGTATCACTTCAGTGATACTGCTCAAGCCCAAATCAGTTGTTTTACCTATTAATTTAATGTTTTTGGGCTTCTGATACCCATTAAAAATCTGCTATGTACATGGTCTAATAATGACGGATTACGGGGAATCAAATTGCGTTGGTTTTTGGTGTTTTAAAACAATGTATGTCCCATGTATGTACCCATTGATTTCAGAATTTACGTAAGAATGTGGTTCATCAATGAAGAAAGAAAACTAACGCAAATATGAGTAAAAGTGTATACACATAAAATACATATAACCAAATACGTTATTAATAACGTTTTTATTATTGGATAATCACATTATTCCATATCCTTTCCAATCACGAGGTCCATACATGATTATAATCCATAACATATTAATTACAAACATACATCAAAAGGAACCTTTGGTTACAAGATCCCCAAAATATCTGAAAAACCCAATCGATGCAAATTATTCATCACCATCGACCGAAGCAGTACATTTTTTTTTTTATGATATATAATATATATTGATAAATAAAATCAATAGTAGTAAAAGGACAAAGGTGGTGGGAGCAACGTGTCGGTATCTTTCTGGTTAAGTTTGGTCTTAATGTTGAAAGTGTTAAAGACTTTGCCCATTCCAGCGAACACATCCACAGACTCACCACTCATTCTTTTCCCAAGCCCAATTCCTCCTTCGACCACCTTGTGCAACGTCTTGTCGTAAATGTCATCGAGACAAGTGGAATGGTAAGTGAAGATGGAAGTCATCTTCTTCTTACATGTGAAGTAATTCTCAGCCATGCTCGTTAGGTTTTTTCCTGCGGCTTTCCAGAAATCTGCAAAGTCGTCTAAGGCGTTGTGTAGCTGTTTCTCGCAGCCGGTGATGCATGTTGTGGCGAAGGCGTTTCCTTTGTATTTTGGTTTGATTCCGGCGAGAAATTTCAAACCCTTTTTAACGGACAATTCTGCTGCAGTGGCTAAGTAACGGACCAAAACGGCGGGATCATCGCTTGGGACGTTTCTTAGGGTAATGCTACATAGACGTTTGTCTTGCACAACGCTGCAGATTCCATCGACGGCTTTTTGGTGGTGTGGTGAAACGGCGTCACGTTTTGGTGGGACTACAAATGCGGTTGCGGTTAGGGCAATGCAGAGAATGAGAAAGGCGAGTTTTATTGGAGTGTTCATTTTTTTTTGTCTTTTTTTTTTTTTGGTTTTGTTTTTTGGACGTGGATTGGAAAGGAATAGATTAGAAAAAGGAAGAGAAATGTTACGTATATATAAAAGATTTCTATGGTTTTTCTAAATTTGGGTGTTTTTTGTTTTTGGTTTTGACTATTTTCAAAATTGATTGGATGATAATGAGTGAATTGTGGCGTTTTTATCTGTGGACTTGCTCTTCAAAGATTTTTGGTACCGAGACACTAATCCTATTTTTGTTACGACCCAAATATAAAATGAGCATACTAAGTTACTAACAACGAGAACAATTTATTTACATATAAACTATAATTTTAATTTGTATGATGATTCTTGTTAATTGTGAAGTAAACAAGAGTCCAAATAATAAGGGTAACGGATTTAATGTTTGGAAAAAATAAACATTACAGAGATTTCTATGCACATTAAGTTTTGACTGCTGATGTATATGTAAATGAAATTTTCCGGTAAGAAGAGTAAGGCCGAGACAGCGGTTGCTAATGTACTCCTTCGCCTGGAGCTACGGCTCGAGCATTCAACAAAGGTTGAAGAGCTTTGACAACGATACTCATATTCGGCCTAAAATCTGCTTCATACTGCACACACAACGCAGCAACCGCGGCTAACTGCGAATCATCATCATCACTTGAGGTTAAGAACAATGCATTCTAAAACGTTTATGCAATCTGAGATTATGAAAAGTTTTGTTTTGTATTTTATACCTTAGCAACAGCTTTTGGAGGGTAATCGCCACCGAGTCTTGCATCAACGCATTGTTTAACCTTGTCTTCGCTCAGTTTAGGTGTAGCCTGATGCATAAGTAACATTTTATATGGTCGATGATCATGCTATATGTAAGAGGATAAAGATAGATAGAGAGAAATTAGTACCCATGTGACTAAACTTTGCTGGCCTCTGGGTAATCTATGATCAACAGGTTTTCGACCTGTAAGAAGTTCGAGTAAGACAACTCCAAAGCTGTAGACATCACTCTTGGCATTTAACTGCCCGGTCATTGCATATCTGTTAAGAAAAAAAAGGGAGAGCATTTGAGACTTGAGAGCTCAAACAATTCATGTCTTCTAAAGAAATTCTAGCAACTTACTCAGGGGCATGGTAACCGAAAGTTCCAAGAACACGGGTGGAATGAAGGCGAGCTGCCATATCAGGAGCTTGATTAGAGAGATCAAAGTCAGCAATTTTGGCAACATCATCTTCAAAGAGTAGGACATTGCTGGATTTAATGTCACGGTGAATGATGTTTGGATTAGCTTTTTCATGCAAGTACTCAAGGCCTCTTGCAGCTCCAACTGCAATTTTCACTCGTTGATACCACGACAAGACAGGACCTGGCTGTGCTCCTTTCACACCTTTTCTCCCTGAGGAATTAATCATACACAATATGTTGTTAAACTCAAGAATAGGTCTAGAGTACTCTAGAAGTGTGTTAATAGTTATAAGCAAAAAGTGTACCATGAAGAATATCATGAAGAGATCCATTTTTGGCAAATTCAAAGGCAAGTATCCGTGAATTCCCGTCAATACAGTAGCCAAGAAGTTGAACAAAGTTATCATGTTTAAGCCTAGAAACCATGGAAACCTACAAGCAAGTCAAATATTCCCAAGTTTTTAAACACAAAGTCAGACATTAATGTGACCATAATTAAACTCAGAAAACAGAAAACCACAAAACCTGGGCAAGGAATTCATTGTCAGGCTGTTTGTTAGAGTCCAACTTTTTAATCGCTGAGGGCAGATCGTTGTTCAATACTCCGTAGTATACTCTGCCATAAGAGCCTTCACCAATTAGAGAATTGGATCCAAAATCATCAGTTGCTTCCTTGAGTTCACTAAAAGGGACAATAGGTACTTCAATAGGCTGCTGCACCTTCACAATTGGAGTACCCTTTTGTGCAGTTTCAGAGGCTTGGTGGTGCCTTGCATCATTTCCTTCACACCAAAACCAAAACTCCAGTAAGGAAACAAAAACAAGTAAAGTCTTGATTTTTGGTTAGAAAGATCCAATTTTGATACCTGGAAAGTGTTTGGCTGGGTTATGACCTCCATAATCAGCAGTTTTATGCATATCATCATCCTCGCAACAGCTGAAGCAACTCATTTCTTCAAATCTGCAGCTATATTCAGTGAATTTATAAAGAATCAAAATTGGAATTCGAATTCAAAAGAGAAGAGCTTAAAACGGAAAATCTGATGAATCAAGCGTGACAGTCACTAATCTAATCGACACAATTATTGATAAAGGTTTAACCTTTGGGATCCACGAGAATCAGTAGAGTGAAACGGAATGTGAAAAGGTTGTGGAGAATTATAAGAGTGAAGAACAAATGACAAGAAATCCTTTGAGCTTAATTAGAGAGAAATTATAGGCGGATTTTCATTTAAAAGAGATTGGTGGAGTGATTAGCTCTCCAAACTTTGACTGGATTTTCAACGCTCTCACTTGACACCGTGTCAACACTAACACCGTTGGATTATTTGACATGACCCAAAAACCCAACGACCAGATTGCCACGTCATTTTATTTCATTCTTTATTGAAAGATATGCAAATTAAAATTCCGGATTTTTCGTTTGATAAGCAACGGCGTGAATTCCGCCGCCGGCCGCCATTCTACGAACCGGTGTTTTTTTTTCTTTTCCGTTGGTAGTTGGAGATAAGTCTTACATGATATAATAATTACAATCATAATTTTTTTTTTTTTTTTTTTTTTTTTTTTTTTACAATCATAATTTTCTTAAATGACACTTTCTATATGGAGTATTTTCCTTTGTTTGGCTAATTAGTGCCATATCTTTTAAATATGACTATGGATATAGTACCATTAACTATGACTTCGTAATTAATACGTAGATATTATATCTAGTCAAATACCCTATGTTACGTTTCTATGCATTTTTTCTTTTTTAAAGTGTAAGAACCAATACTAGCTTGAAACTTGAAAGGAAACGAGTAGAAATCATAATAAAATAGACTTCAAATGTTAATTATCTTTTAAAATCATTTTATGTTTACGCGTTACCTTTTGAAATCGCCTTGCTTTTTTTTTTTTCCTCGAATCGCCTTGCTTTCGTACCAAAAAGACAAGAAAAGAAATAAATTAGAAAGGTGGTTTGGTGAGTATATATGGGAGTCGTTATCGTGCATGTGAACAAAATATGGGCATGTTCGAGACGAATCATGGTGTCTTTTAATTTAGTGACTACATTATTTTAACACTAATCAATATCTTTCTCGAACCATATGATTATTAGCCGTTTCTATACTTTTTCTTGGGTTTCTATATTTTCTGTTTTAGATAGATTATGGGAATTATTAGCCGGAACTTTGCCGCTGCGGTTGGTAATTACCTTTTAATACAGCATACTTATGATTTGTCTATTTATTCGGTTCCTAATTCAATTATATTTTGATTTTTATAAATGGCTTGAGTTTGAAAGGATCAAAGGAATGTATATTATCTCGCATACCACCAATAATTACCAGCATCATCATATATGCATGGTTTCATTTACTTTAAGGACGATAATGAGATTATATAATTGAATGAAATTAGATCCATTGAGATTCTAAAGCTACCAAGACGAGGAACATGGAAGACGTGGCGCATTGGATTCTTCGTTCTATAATTTTATCATCATGTGACTGGTCTCTCTTTGTACTCACACAAACAAAACTCGTTGTTTTTTTTTAATATGTCACATTAAATTAAATTATTAGAGGCCATCCAAGGTTAAAAACAAGAACCAAACCAAAATAACAAGAAACCAAATCTTATTTTATAAAAAAAAAGAAAAAAAAGAAAGTGGGTTTTGTAAGTGGGCCAAAAAAAAGAGTGGGCGAAGAAAGCCCAGAGCATAATGAATGACCACATGGAGACCGAAAGGTTGACCTAATCAGAAAACTAAGGGGTCAAAGTCAAAGCGCGTTTACAAACACCGACACTTTCTTTGTCAACTAGCGATTACTGCGGTTGTTCACTAGTCGCGGAAACACTCGATTTCTTCCCAAGAACTCGCAACCAACCTTATTATGTTCCGCGAAACAGGTGATTATTGACTACCATGTCCATGAGTGGGGTAAGTTAGTAAGTACACTGCTTCACATGGGAAAAGAAAAATCAGATACACAAATAACAATTTTTTATTATTTTATACTAAAAAAACTATAATGTATTTAAAAATCAGTGTATAAATGGTCCCCACCACTATTTTGTTTTTCCTTAAAATTAATTATTTTTTAAGCTGTACTAAATAAAATTGGTTTTTTTCTCTATCTCCTAACTCTTTTCTATCTCTCTCTCTCTCACTCTTTGTCTCTCCCCTAACTTTTTTTTGTACTAGCATAACCATTACCATACATACTCTTCTCCATCACGCTACAAACGCAGATTCACATCTTCTTCTTCTTGTTGTTGTTCATAGCATCTCCATCACCGGTGGGCTCCTCAAAGGTTGTATTCTGGGGTTACTTTTCTCTTGTGTTGAACAAACAGGTCTCTCTGTTTCTATCTTATTTTGTTGCGTTGAAGAGCTAGCTTTAGGAATCTATCAAGAGATTTCCAGAGGGTATTGGGTTATGGGCATCTGTGTTTGGTTTAATTGGATCTGTCACTCTGTTCCTCCTCTTTAGGTTTCTGGGCAAGAGTAATTGAGTTTGATCAGGACCAAAGTTTGTGTTTTTTTTTTTTTTTAAAAGTAAAAAAAAGAAGCACTCTTTCGATCTACAAAGATCAATTTTGGCTTTTGTTGTGTTTCTTATGTTCCGTACCCTGAATTTGATCTTCTTCTTTGGAGAGTAGAGAAAACAACTATCTCTGTGAGAATGGAAGGTGAGGAGGCTCAACATTTCTATGGGTTTAGAGCTGTGGATCTAAGGTCCGTAGGTAAAACAAGTGTGGAGTGGGATTTGAATGATTGGAAATGGGATGGTGATCTCTTTCTCGCTACTCAATTGAATCCTGCCGCCAGCGAAACTACGGGACGTCAGTTTTTCCCTTTAGGAAACTCGTCCAATAGCTCCTCCTCCTGCTCTGATGAAGGGAATAATACTAATATAGTTGAGAAGAAGAGGAGAGCTGTTGCCATACAAGGAGACAGTAATGCTGGTGGTGGTCTTACTTTGAAGCTTGGAGACAATGCTTGTCATCTTAATGCTGCCAAGAAGACCAAATTCGGAGCAGCCGTTTGTCAGGTGGAAAACTGTGAAGCTGATCTTAGTAAAGTTAAGGATTATCATAGACGTCATAAGGTCTGTGAGATGCATTCCAAGGCTACTAGTGCCATTGTCGGAGGTATCTTGCAGCGCTTTTGTCAGCAATGTAGTAGGTATGTCTCTCTCATAAAAAGCCTCTTAAAATGTAGTAATCCGAAATAAATGAATCAACTTTAATCTTCTCTCTTGCAGGTTCCATCTTCTTCAGGAGTTTGATGAAGGAAAGAGAAGTTGTCGTAGACGTTTGGCTGGGCATAATAAACGTAGGAGGAAAACAAATCCCGAACCTGGCGCTAACGGGAATCCTAGTGATGATCAGTCAAGCAACTATCTCTTGATTAGTCTCTTGAAGATACTCTCCAATATGCATAGTATGGTGTTTACTCTGATGATATCTACGTTGATTACTCTTAAAGTTTGTATCAGCTGCTTAATTTCTATCCCTTTGCAGACCATACCGGTGATCAAGATTTGATGTCTCATCTTCTGAAGAGCCTCGTAAGCCATGCTGGTGAACAGTTAGGGAAAAACTTAGTTGAACTTCTTCTACAAGGAGGATCTCAAGGTTCCTTAAATATTGGAAACTCGGCTTTGCTTGGAATTGAGCAAGCTCCTCAAGAGGATTTAAAGCAACTTTCGGTAAACGTACCTCGGCAAGATGGGACAGCTACCGAGACCAGATCAGAAAAACAAGTCAAAATGAATGATTTTGATTTGAATGATATTTATATAGACTCAGATGACACAGATATCGAAAGATCTCCTCCTCCAACCAATCCAGCAACCAGTTCTCTTGATTATCCTTCATGGATACATCAGTCTAGTCCACCTCAGACAAGTAGGAATTCAGATTCAGCATCTGATCAGTCACCTTCAAGTTCCAGTGAAGATGCTCAGGTATGTATATCTCTTACCTCATCCATTCCATTATTTTCTGGATCTATTTGCCTGCTGATAATTTGCTGTAACCTTTTTATTTTTATTGCTTCCATCTCAGATGCGCACAGGCCGGATTGTGTTCAAACTATTTGGGAAAGAGCCAAATGAATTTCCTATTGTCTTGCGTGGACAGGTACTGGTCTGCTTTAGTATTCTCAAGTTCTTACTTTGTGATGTTGGAAGTTAAATTGATGTGTTAGTTTCTCGATATTCAGATTCTTGACTGGTTATCGCATAGTCCAACTGACATGGAGAGCTACATTAGGCCTGGCTGTATCGTATTGACCATCTATCTTCGTCAAGCTGAAACTGCTTGGGAAGAGGTAAGCTAAACTTCTTTCTCTCCTCTGTGACATTTCATCTTGTCTTTTTTAAAACTTCTAGACTCCTGAAGGTGCATTCTCTTTATTTTTTTGTTTGGCAGCTCTTAGACGATCTGGGTTTTAGCTTAAGGAAGCTTCTAGATCTCTCTGATGATCCCTTGTGGACAACTGGATGGATTTATGTTAGGGTGCAAAACCAACTTGCATTTGTATATAACGGTTAGTTCGAGAATACTTTCACCTTGTGAATACTTCTCTGGATTTCTAAGTATATATCGTCAATCCGGGGTTGCAGGTCAGGTTGTCGTTGACACTTCCTTGCCTCTAAAAAGTCTTGATTATAGCCACATCATTAGCGTTAAACCGCTTGCTATAGCTGCAACGGGGAAGGCTCAATTTACAGTTAAAGGCATTAATCTCCGTCGACGTGGCACAAGGTTTTGTTTCTTTGAAATTTTGGCCTTCCTTGTCTTCTTTTTCTTCTTCTTTGATGTCTAACCGTCTTTGTACCTTTTTTACAGGTTGCTTTGTGCTGTTGAAGGAAAATACTTGATTCAGGAAACAACACACGACTCGACGATTGGGGAGAATGATGATCTCAAGGAGAATAATGAGATTGTTGAGTGTGTAAACTTTTCTTGTGATATGCCTATAACGAGTGGTCGAGGATATATGGAGGTGAGAACCTTCTCTGTTTTTACTCTGATCATTGATAACCGGTACATGTTATTCATCAGACTCAGAGCTTGCTTGATGATTATTCCAGATTGAAGACCACGGACTCAGCAGCAGCTTCTTCCCTTTCTTAGTTGTTGAAGATGATGATGTTTGTTCTGAAATCCGTATACTTGAAACCACATTAGAGTTCACTGGAACTGATTCTGCTAAGCAAGCTATGGATTTCATTCATGAAATCGGTTGGCTTCTTCACAGAAGTAAGCTTGGGGAATCAGACCCAAATCCAGACGTTTTCTCATTAATACGCTTCCAGTGGCTAATCGAGTTCTCAATGGATCGAGAGTGGTGCGCTGTGATCAGAAAGCTATTAAACATGTTCTTTGATGGAGCTGTTGGTGAATTTTCTTCCTCCTCTAATGCCACACTATCAGAACTGTGCCTTCTTCACAGAGCCGTGAGGAAAAACTCTAAGCCTATGGTCGAAATGCTCTTGAGATATGTTCCCAAGAAACAAAGAAACAGCTTGTTTAGACCCGATGCTGCTGGTCCAGCCGGCTTAACACCTCTTCATATTGCAGCCGGTAAAGACGGTTCAGAAGATGTGTTGGATGCGCTAACAGAAGATCCTGCAATGGTGACTTTGATTTTCCCTCTTTTTTCAGCCATGAAATTTGATTCTCTTAGCTAAAAGCTTATCTTTGTGCATCTGATATAGGTGGGGATTGAAGCGTGGAAGACATCTCGAGACAGCACAGGCTTCACACCAGAAGACTACGCACGCTTACGCGGTCACTTCTCATACATCCACTTGATTCAACGCAAGATCAATAAAAAGTCAACAACTGAAGATCATGTTGTGGTCAACATCCCAGTTTCTTTCTCAGACAGAGAGCAGAAAGAACCAAAATCAGGTCCGATGGCTTCAGCCTTGGAGATTAACCAGCTTCCATGCAAGCTCTGTGACCATAAACTGGTGTATGGGACAACACGCAGGTCTGTAGCGTACAGACCAGCTATGTTGTCAATGGTGGCGATTGCTGCGGTTTGCGTCTGTGTGGCACTTCTGTTTAAGAGTTGCCCGGAAGTGCTCTATGTGTTTCAACCGTTCAGGTGGGAGTTATTGGACTATGGAACAAGCTGAGTGTAAGTCTACTTTGAAAGATCTTCTAAGATATATATGAATGTTACTTATATAAAACCCATAGAGGTGTGATTTCTATATGTAACTATATGAGTATAAGATATAGAGACATGTTGGAGTTAGAAGATTGTTGTTGTTGTTGTTGTGTAAAAGCCTTCCATTTCTCTCTGGAACCTGAGGATGATTAGTATATTTTTTGTTTGACAGAATAATTTGTTTCTTATTGTAATTTAACAATGGAGATGTTCTTGTACTAGCCTTCTTTTTAAGTTCCCCTTGGATTCATACTTTTGAAGCTTTTTTGTACATCAGATTCATCACTTGACAAATAGATACATTAATTTATGACTTGGATGTCCATTCCAACACTCTGATGACTTGATCATTCTCTGGTACATCTAATGCGATGAGGAGGAGAAGCTCTAAAGCTGGAATCCGAATCTCACAACCCAAGTAAGATATTTCAACAAGTTTACTAGCTCCTCCAGCTTCTACTATTGCTCTTGAATGATCTTTGTGCAAGTAATTACACGGGCTAGCGAATTTAGTGAGTGCTACAACTGCTTCTCTTGATGGCCAAGGAGCTTCACCAATTGCTCAATCATTTGTGTATCAGACGCTCTAAATGCTAGCTGAATTTCCTTTGGCCAGCTCCCTCAAAGCTTTGCTGCCATTTCCTTCACGTGCAAGGAACCTTCCTGCTCTGGAGTCTTCCCAGACACCAATAGGCTTAACAGGAGCTGAATCACCTCGTGTTGTGCGAAAACGTTTTAGCTCTCGGGGAAGCTCGCGACCAAGACTGACGTGGTACAACTGTACAAGCCACCTCTGCTTGACCCCTCATCGACCCTTGTTTAAGAATTAAAGAAATGAACAACTAACGATAATAATAGTTTTAGATGTCTGCATCTGATAATAATTTTAATAAGGAATTCTGTGTAAATATATGTGGTGCAGCAAATTTTTAGTCTTTTATGTGGATTACATTTATTTTTTCTATATTTAGAAGAAAAAAAATCTTTATATACTAGGTAACTAATTGTGTCATGCACATTCTCATCAAAAAGAAAAGAAAAAAAATAAAAATCAAAAGCAAAAATGAGTAAAAATATATATGCGGTTGGTTTTCTGATTCATATGGTGTTTTTCTTGATGATTTTAACAGGTATATATACATTACTATGTGTGGATTTTGTCAATATATTGTTTGTGTTTGATTTTATGAGTAGTGTTTATTTTCCAATAGACTCATATTTTTTTTTAACATCTTTTAACTTTACAAAATTCACTAGCTAATTGTAAATGCCAAACACACACTAGAACTTATGTTTGCGGTTTTCGAAATTATTTGAGAAAAATAAAAAGAATGTTTAATTTATGAAAGAATTTAAAATTTGGTAAAATTTATGTATAATTTGTAGAAGTAAAAATTGTACGTATAATCTATATACAATTTATGTGTTCTCAGTAAAATAAAATTAAAACAGAAATATGCATTTTTAACCAACAAATTAAAATGTTTCTCATAGAATTAGCATTAGGAAATGCTCATGCAACACCTCGTCCAAAGCCTCCAGTTCTTCATCCATGTGACGTTAGAGATACAACCAGAACGCCGCCGGGGACTTGTAATAAGCATAACGGTGCCTCATTATGCCAAAAACTTTGCTTTAATGGAGGTGTGAAAGGTTCTCCGTTCGGCACTTGTGTAACTACGCCGAAAGGAAAAATGTGCACATGTCACAATTGCAAGTTTTAAAAAAAATCGAAAAGTGCAGAATAAATATTATTATCTCATTATTAGATGATAATCCGGACTACGTCCGTGTATATTTGACATTTGATATTTTAATGTTTGTTAACTAAATAATTTGTTTTAGTTTCTTTAGTATACATTGTGAAAAATCATATAATATTGTATTTGACATTTTGTAGTTAAAACATATATGCTACTATTAATTTTTATAATTTTCTTTTTAGTATCACTGCCACAAAATTGCTTGCTTATTTTCTATAATTATAACTTTGAGTTGCTACAACTAGATGTCCTATTTCGCATGACTAATTTTGTTCTCCATTATAATAACTTTGGATGCATACAATGGTAAATGCCAAACACACACTAAAACTTACATTTGCGGTTTTTAAAATTATTTGAGAAAAATAAAAAGAACGTTTAATTAATGAAAGAATTTAAAATTTGGTAAAATATATGTATAATTTGTAAAAATAAAATTGTACGTATAATCTATATACAATTTATGTGTTCCCAGTAAAATAAAATTAAAACAGAATATGCATTTTTAACCAACAAATTAAAATGTTTCTCACAGAATTATCATTAGGAAATGCTCATGCAAGACCTCGTCCAAAACCTCAAAGTCTTCATCCATGTGATGTTAGAGATACAACCAGAACGTCGCCGGGGACTTGTAATAAGCATAACGGTGTCTCATCATGCCAAGAATCTTGCTTTAATGGAGGTGTAAAAGATTCTACGTACGGAACATGTGTAACTTCGCCGAAAGGAAAAGTGTGCACATGTCACAACTGCAAGCTTTAAAAAAAATCGAAAAGTGCAGAATAAATATTATTATCAAATGAATTTTGAATAATAATTCATAAAAAATGAATTTCACGTTTAAAAAAAGATTAATTAAATAAAATTTAGAGATAAAATTTATATTTCGAGATTAGCTACCCGATTAATCATATATACATATATATATATATATATAATTATCAAATGTACTATTTTTTTTAATAAACGAGTTTATAGACTATGTACATGTTAGTTGTAATCGATGACGACGTAATTTAAAAAGAGAAAATTGATAGATGTAGTTTTTCCTATAACTTTTCATTCTCACGGTTGAGCATACAATTTTTTCTTGTATGGGGAGACAAGAGTTGAAAAACGAACGACAAAAAAAAAAACATGGTTAGCATAAGAAAATAGGCCGGTTCAATGTTTAGCAGGTGGAGATCGAGAGCTTCGTATTAAACCGGAACCAGCCCGGGTTATTAGATTCCCGATTTTTGAATCGAACGATAATAAAAAAAAAAAAAAAAACGCTCGACCTGATTTAAAAAAATAGATTGAAGAAAAAACAAGTACAATGTTTAGAAGAAGAAGATATATAGAGTAGTAGTAGTAGTAGTAGTAGTTGGGGTTTCAAACATAAAAATTAAAGTCTGCGCCATACCGTTTGTTTAAGTCGGCGATGGTGGACTTTGAGAGTTTTTGTGAAGGAAACAAAAAAATCCTAATCGAAATCGATGGATTTTAGATTCTCTGTGGTGGTTTACTTGTTGATCCTTGTACTTGCGAATTCTTTTGATGTTGTTGATTCATCAGATTCCTTTTATGTTTCAAGAAACACAAGTCTCGTTTCCCCAGGCGGTGTCTTCGAGCTTGGATTTTTCAGTTTTGGTGATCGTTGGTATTTTGGGATATGGTACAAGAAGATCCCTAAGAGAACCTACGTTTGGGTCGGGAACAGAGACATACCTCTCTATAACTCTAACGCAACTCTTGAAATCTCTGGTGCTAACATCTGGGATACTGAGAGAGGAAACGAGAGATCCCCGGAGCTGGTGGCCAACGAAGATGAAGTTTTGAAATTGAGAAAGGGGTTGTCGAAATGATATACGTACCAGAAGATGAAGTTTGTTAAGGGAGCAGCTGCAGATATTTAATTAGCTCATTGAGTCTTTCACTGGAACGAATTAGTCTTACACTCCAATGATATAACTAGAACAGAGAGCTTAGTAACCAGAGAGACACAACTAGTGAAGTTTCAGAGAGCATATATATAGTAATTAGCTAGAGAGACATTGGAGGGATCCAGAGAGTGAAGACTGGTGTTTTGGAGAAGGCTGAGGGCGACTTGGGACGGAAGGAACGTGGTTTTCTTGTGGCGATATCGTAAACACCAAAGCCCTCGCCTGCAAAATATATGGAGTTAGGTTTTAGGCCAGGGAATGAGCTTGCCTTGACACAGAAGGGCTCACTACCGCCAAGGAATATGCAGAGATCTCCAATGTCCTCTGTGTAACACATGTTCATATCTTCCTCCTCTCTAAACACCATGAAACGCTTTGTTCCGCGACACAAGAATGTCATTATCTTGCCCGGTTGGTAGTTCTGAGCGTACCACTTGATTAGGAAACGCTGTCCTGAGGGAGACTCCGCAAGGTGTGCAGTCGGTGGGGAACATGAGTCCAAGAGCTCCCACTCAGACTGGGTCAACTCAGGAAGGTTGCAAAACCGCAACTCCTTCATCTTGGGGCAGGTCATAATCTCCTCAAAGCAAGAGTCCCAGAAAGCCAAGAAGTGGCCTCCAACACTAGGCGTGTAGAACTTTTCATCTCTCTTTGAATACATAACCTTTGATTGATCAAAATAGTGGGACTGGGTTTTAAAGCCGCCCGAACCAGAGTACTCTGGTTTGCCACAAGGCCTAAAGAAATTGATCTCAAGTCCTAAACAATTGGCAGCCACTACAAAATCTTTACTTTGATCAGGTGAACAAGTCATTGCGGCGTTAGTGATGATGCGCTTTTGGGTGATATTAGGTTGACCCATGGGATGCAAAGGAATGACTTTGGGATTTGGTTTGGAGCCACAAGGATTGCAGTAGTCGCTAACATAAAGGGCTTTGTGTTCATCACTCTCCACATTGAAAACTCCCCATCCATGGGACATTCCAACCAGACTCGTATTACGCAACTCCATGGGAAAGGCCTTGTCTCGGACAATAACTTCATCTTCCTTGACCGGATCAAAGTAGTGGATATTGCTTGTTACATTAATATCATCAAAAGAACTTCCATAATGTGTGAGACGATACATCAAGTACGGGTTGGTGGTGGTGGAGGAGGAGAACATCCGAAGGGTGTGGTGGCATTTCTGAGGGAAGAGTATCATGACATCAGAAGAAGAAAGAAGAAAACACAAACTAGAAAGAGAGAGGATAGACTTACCAGAGCAAGGTTGCGGAGAAAGGGCCTGGAAGGGAGACTTAGAAGCAGAGACGACATAGCTCTGTATCTTTCTCTAAAGGGTTTTCGAGTTAGTCAAGATCTAATACCAAACTGATTGCCACAAGACATTACAAACAAGGATTTTTCATTATTTGATGTCTCTTTTCTTTTTATTTTTTCCACTTTTCCATGTTTAGAAGAATCTTGTGACAAAGGAAAAAAAAAATATCTTGTGATCAAATTTGTACACAAAGATCTTTACAAATTTGAGAAAGAAAATACTTGGTGCATACTCCATATATAGTAAATAATCTTACATTTCTTTTTATAGTTCTCAACATTTATATTTTCTCCTAAACAA